GGTATGAGAGGAATTATCCACTTAGCAACTATCCAAACTCATGAGACAAACAGATTTGATGGATTAAATGGCCTGTTTCTTGTTCTAACATTCTATGACCCTATGCTGTCCGATTCTTAACTCTTAATTCTCAAAATACTTCTTACCATATCCCAACTGTGCAAGCATTCATTGCCTCCTTATAAATCTGTACAGCCTCAATCACACAAGGTCTGCATGCAAAAAGGTATATGCTTTTGTCATTTTAACTGCGGTAACTCTATCAATAGCCCACTCACATAATATCATGGGGTTGCACTGGTTCAACTGAAGATAACCACGTACCACGAGGTTTGCTGCAGTACAGTGCTGTTAGAACTTAGCTCAGGAAAGTGATGTGAAATTGACAGTACATTCCCAAGGCTGCCGTTCTCCTATCGTGGTCTGTGGTGTAATTAAGCCTTCGGTACCCACCACCACCACCTCAACACACAGACACACACGCACACACAAGCCTCACCACTTCAGGCTCGACTGGTAAAGCGATGTCGTCATAATGCTTACCTGCGAGGTGAATAGGAGTCACCAGTAGCATTAGGGTTAGAGTCAAGGGGTACAAAGCTGCCATTGCTCCATCTGAGTCTCAGTCCTCTGCAAACAGAAATCTGCCCATCTCTCACAGAAACAAGGATCTTGTGGCTGTCGTCTCCAGCTGAGTGCAAACAATACCTGCACATTACAATTCCGGAGCTGAAATTCTAGATGCAGGTACACTCAGCTCAGTCACACAACTAACTAGCTGCCTGCCTTGCAGTTTTTAGCACTGAATGTTTAAGATGCTCGCTTTCCATTGCTGCCTCAGATATTTCAAACATTCGATGAATGAGAGCAATTATTGAGTGCAGTATATTGCTGAGTTAATGCAAAAGCAATCTTCCAAATGAACTCCGATAGTTAACATCGTCATCTATAGCTCTGGTCAACAGAATACAATGTACTTTAAAAGGAAAATGTGTCTTTTTGAATCCCAACCTTGCCGATTTAATTCCTTTCCCAGACTTCAGTGGCAATCTGCACGTTGGCTGCTATCCCCTTTAATTATGTTTCTCAATTTAAACAAAATGTAAAAAAAACTTTTGATTGAGTTTAGTTGAGAAGCCGAGCTCCAATGATAAATATTTTAATAATAAATAATCATTGCATTTGATATAGCGCTTTTCACGTCTTCTAGACGTCTCCAAATGATTCACAGAATACACTGTAAAGTGAATTGACTGTATATTTGTGGGCGAAATGTGGCAGCCAATTGCGCACAGCAGTGTCCCACAAACAGTATTGGATTGAAGTGACCAATTTTTTTATTATTGATTTTTTTCTTGAGGGATTATTATCAGGCGTGTGGAGTAAGGAAATTTGCCCAAAGTTTCGCCCTCCCTGTCGGGAATTGAACTCAGGTTTCTTGCTTGCGAGGCAAGTGCTCTAACCACTGAGCTAAGGAACTCCCAAGATATTGGATGATTGGCTCTACAGCGAGGAAACACTACAAAAATTTTTGCATTTTCATAGAATCTTATCAAGCTAAAATGTCTCAAAGTGCTTCACAATTACTGTCAGTGTGGTCAGTAATTATCTGCAGACAAATCCCGGCAGCCTTTTGCACCAGCAATCTTCCACCAACCACCACTACCAACAACAACTTGCATTTATATAGCGACCTTCATGCGGGTTAGCTTCCCAGAACGCTTTATGGCCAGGATATGGGGAGAAACCTACCTTTCAAATGGTGTCATAGGATCTGTAATGCCTACTTGGACAGACAAGACCTTGGATAAACCTTTCATCTGAACCATGGCTCAATTCCAACATCCTTCTCCCAAACATGTCATTTTGGAGCCAATCCAGCTCCATGGAGATCATGCTTAACCCCCCCAAGGAGGACAGGTCTATGATTCTGGGACAAGTAGGATCAATGAGTCAGTAAATCTGAGACAGGACATCTGAAAGGTTATACTTGAAAAATCCATTGGATGCTGGTCACGTTGCTGTGCATTGTATTCTTTTTTAAGCAATGGGGGTGGGGAGGGGGGAATTTAAAGTTGAAAAGTTAACTGAACTGATTGCTGTTGAATCCCTGCATTTTACCGATCCAATTTACTCTCACTGCCAGTTAGTATTTTGAGATTATCAGAATGGAGTTGAAAAGTAATGAGGTACAGACAGTGAGTCAATAGGACTAGTACTCAATCATAGTTCACTCCACTACCTCTGCGTCCACTTGGCTGGCTCTGGCCTCCTGCTTGTCCCTTGTCTCCTCCGTTTCACCATCGGCGACCACACTTTCAGCCAATACATCCCAAAACTTTGGAACTCCCTTCCCCAATCAATTTGCCTTGTCCCCACCTTTAGATAAAAAAATGCAAGTTGTTGTTGTACTGAACATGCTTGAAATCCGCATTCCGGACACTTCTACTTATATATTCCGAAATAGAAAGTACCAGATAAGACAAATTCACCGAGTACAAGGGCAGGTTAATCAGTAGACAATCCTTTTGCTTTAATTAATAGAAAAAAAGTAAAAATGTTTATTCAAATCTCTCGTCTGATGTGGAGCATGAGAAATCTGCTTGAGCTCAATCCTATTTTGAACCTTTTGAACAGGGGACAATAGGGGTAGTTATCACTGTATAAATAATGAAAAAGACATCAGTCAGCAGTAGCATTCAAAGCTGACTGGCTTTAGAAACAAGGGAAGCGAAACTGAACCTGTCAGTTTCATTGTCGATTTGAATGAAAGCAATTGTGTTACTATGGTGACGTGTTTTCTCCTCTCAAAGCAGATACTTGTGTGAGTGAGGAATAAGATGACAAATTGATGCACCTATGTGCCAGTAAATATTGGGTTGCAGTCAGTTTAGTGAGTGGAATGAAGATCAGTTAGCTGTGACCTCTCATCTGACGGTTAAATTCAAACGTGGGTACATTTTATAATTGCACTTAATGCTTACTCTACTCCAGAAAACAAATGTAAACCATAGCAGGCAGTGGTAATGCAACTTTTGGCAATGCAAATAGGTAGTTCAGATGGTACAAATTGGCTGCCATGTTTGCCCAGATACAGTAAATCCCGTAGAAAATACTTTGAGACAATTCAACAACATAAGGTGCTATGCAAAATATTTGGGTTATTATAATCTTTATATCTACGTAATTCAGAGCAAGAATATAAATAGGAAAGTGAGGAGAATGAGAGACAAGTATCCAGATGAACATGACAAGATTTAGGGGGCTATAAGGGAAGTCTCATTTTGAGTACCAGAAGACTACAGATCACCCTTGGGGTCACACACCCCAGGATAAAGGAAAATACGATCAATAAATTGGTCCTCAACAACAGTAAGAATTATCACCATTACATGAAAATGTGAGAATTAAACTTCTGCAAAATGTGCTTCTCCCAATCTGTGCCAAATTTCATTGCCAAAAGTTGCATTACCACTGTCATTGATATAGCTGAGACACTAATGTCAAGTGGAAAATCCAGCCAACTATTTTAGGACAGATTGTTCTCTCTGTACCTTATTAATTCAATTTTCTCCAAAGTAAGTTAAAACATTGCTGGAAATATTTCTCTCCTCACGTTCTCGCAATTCTACCTAGCTCTAAATGACCCAGTCATGAATAGCTGAAGTTGAAAAGAACTGGCTTTTTAAAAAAAAGAAAAAAAAAGACCAAAGCTGGTTTGTCACAAAGGAGCTGGGTAGTTTTTAAACAGTTTTGAATTACAACTCAAAGAACAAGATCTTGTCCCTTTCACTTACATTCACCCTGGATCAAGTGTCTCAGACAGCAATATGCCAATGAGCTGTCAGCTTGCTGCTCTGCAAGTCATGTCACAGAGAATTAAGTTTTAATGACACTTTATCAGTTGTTCAAAATTCCATTCAAAACAGGATTTTGTTTTAAGTAACGTAAATAGGATTCAAGAGTACCTTTTAACCATAATGCAAAGTATAAATTCTCCAGGACCCTAACCCGGGTGAAGGGCATTGTTGGAAACTCAAACTTGTGGTTTTGGGCATCACTCAGTTTCAAATGCAAGTTTACTTTGTTGAGCGGTGTTAGCCCAAACCAAACATCTTCTAACTCTTGCTTTCATTCAATTTTTAATACGTCAATTCCTTTTCTGCGCCTGGATATTCTACAATTCTTACCTGTTTGACAGTAATGTATATTCACCCATTTTCCAGGGGATTTTTTGATAGCTTTCATTTTTTTCTCCACTCTACAAAAACAATTTGCATATCACATTCCCCTTGAGGATAGCTCAATATGCGTTGCATAGATCTATGGTGATAATTGAAACTATAGGTTCCGAGACTGATTGAATGCTTTAAAGATGCTAAGGATCTCACTTCCCTGTGTGCCAATGAAGTATTTGGCACTACAGGTTAATAAGTGTCTTTGGGAATTCTTTGAGAAGACTTCATCAAAATGTTACTAAACATTGTGCTCATATCTTACGTAGCCAGGAACACCCCTCACTTGCAATTGCCATGGCTGAAGAGAATGCACCACCACTGGCTCAACCAGTGCTCAAGCAGCATGCTCTTAGGTGGGGTCTAAGAAAGTTTCCACTGCAGAATCAAGTTAACTGCATACCAAAGATACTTTAATGCAACGGGTATAAAGAATCACACTGTGCCATCCTTACATGCTGCTAAAATCTTAAAAGTAAGTCCATCAAACTCAACATCTGTAACTTGTACTAAACTTATGTAATAAGCAGAGCGCCAAACTATTTTTTGATGGTAAAAGGAATCAGGTTTGCAAGTTGAAAAGCCCAATAAAATCTGTAAATGCTTAGAGGACGATACCTTATCTTCCTAACCTGGCTAGTAGCATCAATGTGGAATATAAATTTAATGAAGTATAACAAACTATGAACATTCAGAGGTTAATATAACTGGACATTTAAGCCCTGGTATTAGTAGAAATAAATTAGACAAAACATGAATTTAGTTTAGACTATCATATATTTCAAATATACAGTTATACCTAACATACTTCAAATGACAAGAAAATGAGAAGCAATATCTAATCTGTTTATTTTTTTTCCTTCCGCTCCTCACAAAGGCAGTGATCACGTTGCATATTTTCCATGTGAATCACCAGCCCTCCAATACCTCATTTGTGCACATTCTTCAAGCGTGGAGTTAGTGAAGCATTGCAGGCTATCACAGTCGAGCACCTTCACCTTACAGCCAATTTCTAGCAGGAGAGCCTCCGTGGGAAATTAGATGTGCCTCTGCCACTTTGCTGGATGAGATCTGTTAATTCATCGCAGACCTTAGACTGATCCAGGAACTTTACTGATCTTTATTGCTCAATTCCTGACAGATTTTTCAAAGTAAAAACATTTTAATTCCAATGGATAGCGGGAAAATATATGAACGAAGCTGCATAACAGCCTTCAAGTTAAAGATGAGAAAGGATTTCCTAACCAACTTGCAAGATCGCCTTGCAATTGCATTGGTCCTTTTTCTAATTTGTTCCATTACTGGCAGCTAATTCCAGTGATAAAAGTGATGATAGTCTGAGATCATTTAACAAAAGTAACTACTTTGGGTTCCTTGGCATTTTGAGAAACAATTACAAATTTGAACACTTGTCCTTGAATAGTACTGCAAGAGTTCACTCACAGACGTATTAGAAACACATTCCTTCAGTCACGACACATAGACAATATCTATAAAGTACCAAAATAGGAGCTTATTAGGATCACAGAAGATAAATGTAAGTGTATAAAAAATAGGGCCAATAGTAAAATATATGGAATATATGGAAGCAAAGAACTACTGCAAATCAGTATTTGCTGTAGAGAATTACAAAAATTAGTGTTTGAGAGCTCCTTTCAATGCCCCATAATTATTTGACAGTAACTAATTGCAGGAAATAAGGACTAAGAATAAATAAAACAAAGCAAAAAGCTGCATGATTAACTTATTGTAAAATATTTACATAACAAAATAGAAATTTAAAAACATTAATAATCACCTAAATAATCATTAAGAAGTTATAGGGCTACATGGAAACCAGTGAAAGTAATAATGCAGGCCATTGTCATTTTCAATCAATATTTCAGCAAAGGATATTGATGCATGCTATTTTAAACAGTTGTATCAAATGCCTTTAAGAGGCTAGTTAAGTAGAAGCTTGCCACCTCTTGTTGGTAAGCTTTATGTAACAAATCCAGCTCTATGAGAAAAGGTTGAATTTAAATGTGCACACAAAACTTTCATGTGCTGTTATAAAGATCGCTTCTATGAATTCTTTAGCCTCGTTAACTTAGTGTTTTGAATTTTGAAAAATGAGAATTAGCAAAATAACCTGACTAGTTCCTTCCGATTGACAACAAAAAGCTGAAAAAATATTGTATTTGATCCTTCCCATTCTGAATAATAGAAGGAAATACAAAGATTCAAGGAAATCTCTCTACCAGTAGGTGCTGAAAATAAACTTATGTGCAACTGAACACCAAAATATTTTTTGCATCTTAGCTTAAAAATTACAGATTAATTAATATTTAAAATTGCACCAGAATGCTGATAACGCTTTCATGTCTTCAAGACATCTCGAAGCGCTTCACAGAATATACTGTAGTAAATTGATTGTACATTTGTGGGCGAAACCCAATTGCGCACAGCAGTGTCCCACAAACAGTCGTTGATTGAGTGACCAAATTATAATTTTTTTATATTAAACAATCTCTGAAACTGTGCCACATCAATTTTGTTTTCAAACCCACTGGCACCAAATCCCCATTCTGGCAAATCAGATTTCTGTGTGGCCTGCAATGCGCATAGCGAGGACAAACAGTCAACCTTTAAATCCCCCTATTCAATTTCCTCCATGCTTTTCTGTGGTATTATCCATAATTTACAATTTAAAATACCACTTTTCCAAAGCCCAGCTCTATTGAATTCTATATACATACAGTCACACACACACACATACACACAGACTTCATTTTGTGCATTTGGGAGCCTTGTCTCTCTTAGTTTCTGAACATCTAGCTCCCTTCAGGGTATTTGGTGCTTGTTCAAGTGTGCAGATTGCTGGTTGTGGAGTTCAGGATTCGTGACTGACAGCTAGATTTGGAAGCTTTGGAAAATTCTTGCTGTAAAATGAAAAGAAGAAGAATGTGAAGCTGACAAGAACAAATTAACAAATGAACATTTTACGAAGAATTTCTAATGATCATATACTAGGCTTCATTTCTAGATACCTGCGGCTGTCAGAAAAGAATAAATCAAAGAATAAGGTTCATAAGGAATTTTTTGGATAAGAGTGAAAGAATTATAGATTAATAAAGGGGATTTTTTTTAAAAAAAGGTTCCATTGAGAATTTGAAAGGCTTGAGATGATTTTTTTGGATAGAAAACATTATGAATTATGACTGGGAGTAAAATTATGCTAAGATCTCAGTGTCAGCTTTTCTTGTTTTACTGAACACTACAATATTTTTATATCTCAGTATATTAAACAATGCTATGTTTGATTGCCACCAAAATTCTACCATTAGTTTGCCACAAATGTATGGATGAAGATTCTCGAAATACATCATTTCAGGAGTGCTTGAGCAACAATGAAATGCAGTTGTAAAGAAAAGCAGAGAAGAGAATCTCATTCCAAATGTAAAGGTATATTACAGTTGTGTCATTTACTCAATTACTGTAAGCACAGGATCTGAATTATTGATTATTAAAGCAGTATCATCTACCAATCACTGTGAGTGGGGGATATCTTGGTGTGCTCTAGCCACAATTGCAATGGATTAATATTTACTGATTTACTGATCCAACCACAAAGACTAGAATTTAAAAAATCCTTGTGGTTTGCCCATGCTCAGTATACTGAAGAGGTCATTGCATAGGGAGGAAATTAAGCAAAGTACAAATGTTACAATATCAGAGACTAGAGTCAGACTCTAATAATAATAAGCATAATACTTATAATAATTATTATAATACTTATAGTTAATAATTATAATACTTATAGTTAATAATTATAATACTTATAATTAATAATTATAATACTTATAATTAATAATTATAATACTTATAATTAATAATTATAATACTTGCATTTGATAGTGTCTTATGTCAGGACATCTCAAAATGCTTCACAGGAATTAATGTGAAATGGAGACTGAATTTGTGGGCAAATGCAGCAGCATAATTGTACACAGCAACGTCTCACAAACAGCCACGAAACAAGAGATCAATTTTATTTGGGGGATCGTTGGCCAAGACACCAGGAGAAACTCCCTTTCCTTTTCGAATAGCTTCAACATCCATCTGAAGTCAGATGGGACCTCGGTTTAATGTCTTAACTGAAGAATGGCACCTCCGACAATGCTAAACCACCAGCATTTCATTGGAGTGTCATCTTAGTTCAAGTCCCAATGTGGGATTTGAGTTGCATACTACGAATTCTACCACTGAGCTAAGGAGACACACATTTAAAGATTAAGTGGCCTGCTCAAAAGTTATAAATCCCACGCATTAATGGGATTTTAAACTGGAGACGGTAATACTTAAAGTACAAAAGAGCAAGCAATAAAACAAGAACAAATAGTCCCAAATCACAACAGGTTAGAAACAGTATTTAACATTTCCTTCATAATGATATGAAGGAAATGTTACATGAAGGACCATTGTTTGCATTGGATAATAAAATTCTGGGTAACAATGGGTTTGATTCATATATTGTTTGTATTATAGTGAAAACGATGTTAGAAGCAGGAAGAGGACACGGAATGTTAGATTCATTAATGCTGAAACCTACATGCTTGAACACATTAGTACAAGATATAATTTTTTGCACAAAAATTTGTTATATGGTTAAAAGCAACATAGATGAAGAGCCCAAAGGTACAAGTAAAACAGTATCTAAAAAAGCATGTTCAGTAACCAGCAATCTAAAATAAGGAAAATAAATTGCAGCACACAGTTGGAAAAAATGAAGTCTATCCAGCGACTCATAACCTCAGCCCTAGTCAACTGAAGAATTGCAAAATAGGACAGTTAAAACTGGACTGACCAATTCTTCCAATAATTTTCTCCAGTCCTGTTCCTGATCATGCAAAAAAATATTTCCAGCCCACTTCTAAAAAAAGATTTTTTCAGTGCAGCAACTAGACTGGCAGATAGTTCAACAAGCCACAAACTATGTTTAGTGTGTAATCTTAGTGTGTTAATATTTCTATGACATCCTAAAAATAAGTGCTTTGATGCATTTTACCTGGATAAAAGATTAGATTCTCAATTCATGTTCAGTCACGTGATCTTAGTTTGCAAAAGTTCATGCAAAGTGAATTCTGAATAATAATGCAATTGTCAATTTAGATTAAGGATGACTAGTACTGAGATAATAGAGAACACTGATAAGGCATGCATGAGCACACAAACAAAGCAGTGTAATTAAGATATTTTTTGACTGATCTCTCCAGCTTCCACTGTAATGAATGAAGGAAGGTACTGCCCTTTAGAAGCAGGCTACCATACCGACCTGGAGCGGAGCAGCGATTGTATACAGTGAAGCTGAATCCATCTACAAACATAGAATAATATAAGTTATCAAGGTTTACAGAAACCTACTACCTAACACAGTGGTGGTCAACCCGTGGCCTGTGAGGGCTGCAAAAAGTGGCTCGCGGAACATTTGCCCTTGTCTAGGTGAGTCTGTTTAAAACAATAGTGTGTGTTCAGATTTTTTTTTGATTAAATATTTCTTGATTTATGGCATATTTGTAACATCTATTTCTAGACTTCTTTGGCCACGTTCAAGTTACTCCCCTAAAATGCTGTACTTAACCCTTAAGCAAGGGTTATTCTAGAGGAAGAAATAGGTAAGCAGTCCCATGTTTGCAGCTGCACAGTCCTCGCAAACGAAATAGGATCACTACTTACAGACTGCAAATGCAACCAAATATACCATTAAAGAGCAATGAAGAGAAAACAATCATGAGGCATTCAGTCACTCAAGTTCCAGGTAGTCCACCAAAGGAGAATATTTTCTTATTCCACCTCTGCATACAGTGATGTGTTACACATTAAACACTTATTTAAAATGTTCAGTATGCCAGTGTAAAGAATAATTGAACACTACGGTGGCAATGTTTTTAAGTTTACAACAATGGTAGTACGGAACATTATTCTCAATAATAACATGTTAGCTGTACAATAACTGATTTTTTTCTTCATAGTTTGAATGTTGCACTTCAAGTATAATTGGTTACTTGTGTTATACACTACACTAAGATTTGAAACATCTAAACGTACCAATCTTTTTGACGAAACCATGTACCTATTAATCTACATGAAATTAAATCCGTACAATTTGTTAGAATGCAGACATGTCATATTCCAAAATGGAGCTGGAATTATTGCTTAAGACTATCCCGCTGGGACCCTGTGTAATTCTGGGGCCATTTCTTTGGTCTAATTAACAACAAAACTTCTCAAGAGCGGTGCATTTCTCCTTCTTGCTCTAATGCCAACTGTGTGCTGCCACAAAGATTGGTAGACGACTGCAAAAAGTAAAATTACCGCAAACTCAGAATAAGTGGTGGCAACTGAATTTATGCTGAGATTACGCTGTGGGGTGGTGATGCTGGTTGACGCACCACTCATTGCCATCCCAATCCCATTTAGGTGGGACACATTCTCTTTGTTCCGCTCATTCAGACCAAAACGTGGGGGTTTTGTAGCTGAACGTCCAGGTGTACGCAGAGATTGTCCTGGCTAAAGGAGAGAAAAGAAAAAAGAGAGATTAGATTGATGGTATTTGACTGCAAAGCTACCATTGTTACTCTAATAATAAATCATCACATAGAAAATTAATACAGAGCCAACAAAGCATGCTCAGCAGTGACTGACCTTGCATCCAGACAGTGGGGGTCGGGATATAGGTGAGCGACAGACACTAACAGCAAAGGTGGAGCGAAGGGTACTGTTGGGGGTGGCACTGGAAATCGATGTACCATTTAGCTAAGTCAGAGCAGGAAATTATGGAACATTAATGTGAGAATTGATAGAACAAAAGGGATTAATAGCAGATCATGCATAAATCAGGTTTTAGTGCTAATACTAAACAAATTTTAAAACATAGATTTACAGATTAGCTGGTAGCACAGCAATGTGCAATTAATAGAAATAAAAGCACTTTTACAGTCCATACTTTGCAACTGCGCACTATTCATGGAGCAGGAAGAAAAAATATTAAATATAATGATTCTATAAAATTGTACTCACATAGTACACAACACAAAACAATTTTAATTGTTAACTGTTTAATTAAAATTAATGGATAAAAGCAGTGAAAATGGCCAAATTTCAGAGCATCAGATCACCACTTAATGAATGACCTGGAGAATGGTGATTTGTGTTAGCACAGGCTTGCAGTAGGCTCACACTTTAAACAAGAGCGCTATTTTGAGGGTACTATAATGGAGTTCCCTGTATTATCCCATTATATTCGCTGCTGTTGGCCATTTACTCGACATCGATAATAAGCGCTATGAGATGCTGCCCCACATGAAGGGCATTATATAAATGCAAGCTATTGTAGAATAAATTACACTCAGGAAACCAGGTAATAATGGTTACTGAATAATTGCATTCAAAACACTTACTTTTTGAATGAAAGGTTAATTAGTTTCAAGATTATGCTTATACTCTTAAAACATATACTATTCCTCCTATTTCAAAGATAATAATGGTAAACACCACTAATGAAAAACTTTTGTGAAATATAAAATATGAATGTTGGGCATGAGCGAAATCTAGTCCAGGTTCTCCCCTCCATGGGTTGGTTCACACATGGAGAATGGATACACATGCAAGGTATCAAACACTGGTGGCACCCATGAAAGCATCCTCCACCATGAGTTAGAGGAGAATATCTATTTTAAGCACGATTCTAACCAATGCAGTTTCGTTTTTAAATCCTCTTACCTTGCGGACTTTCCCTGGAGTGTTAGGTCCATTAAATCTACGCTTGCTTGGGGTTTTGGAAGAACTGCCGTACAACATCTCCTCCTCAATCTGCTTGTTTTTCTTTAGTTGCTGGAGTAATAATTTACAGTTAATCTCAAACTTTTATTATGCATTTTGATCCTGAATGTCCACATGCAAGATCAAATTCAACTTAAACAGGAAAGTAAGTATTTTCAAAAGAATATGCAGTTATTTTAAAAAACACCTCTTTGGAATCATTTTGCTAAAGGAGTGGAAATCCAGGTTTTAGGTTAAATGACTGTTCAGTCTCAACTCATTTGGATTTTGATAAATTTTTTGAACTTTCTTTTCTTATAGCGACACATAACTTGAAAACATCTCATAGTACTTCAGATAATTACTCTTAAGTTTCTTACCTTTTCTAGTTAACACTTCTAGCACAATACTCTTCTAAGAATTAGGTCTTCTAAGAACAGTGAGAATGCAGCAGTATGCAAAAAAGCAGCCTAGGTGTCAGCCTGGCTCAAATGGTAGCACTTTGAGTTACCAGGTTATAGATTCAAATCCCAAATGAGAACATTGAACTGACAGTCCAGGCTGACACTAATACGGGGCTGGGGGAGTGCTACATTGCCGGAGGTGTGCTGCATTGCCGGAGGTGCCAGCCTTTGGGTGACGCATTAAACTAAGGTCCCTTCTGCCTGTTCAGGTGAACATTAAAGATGCCATGGCATAATTCAAAAGAACGGCATTTCTCTTGATCCCCCAACTACTATCTCTGCTCTACTAACTCAGGCTTGCTTCACGTTCCTCACTCCATGGTTGGCAGATAACCCTTAGGCCACATTGCCACAGCTCTCTAGAATTCACTCAAATTCCTCTGCCTAACATTCTTTTCAAAACTCTTCTAAGAATCTCTCTCAGACTGTGGCCTTTAGTCATCTCTCCGTCCTCTTGGGTTCCCATTCCATCCAGCATGTTTTTAAACATTTTCCTACATGAAAGCACGATAGGTACAGGTTGCTGTTAAACAGATCAGCCAGTTCTCCGTGCACTCAGACTCAACAATTTCTATAATTTTTTAAAAACCTTGAAGATCACACTTACCCGATCCTGTTTCTCCCGCTCTTTCTCCATTCTATGTAGTTCCCATTGTTCTTCCACATAAGCTATAAAATTCTGTCCATTGACTTGAAACTGGGAGCCATTTGCCTGCTCCCAGGCATCAATCTGAACCTTCAACTCCTCCTCTAGCTATACAGAGGTACATAGAGGAATGTATTAGAAAAAGCACCAACTCCCAGACTTCCTTTCTTTACCAATTACTTATACATGCAGAAAATTCCTTTTTTTCACGTACTTTGGGCAACATTTTGTAAAGTTTAGTTCTCTGTTTTTCTTCCTTCAACAGGTTTCCTCCTCGGTTAGTAAAACGATTTGGGTCTGATGCTTTGTTCTGTAATGGAAGAAAATGCATTATTTTCCTTGTGTGAAGGTTCTTCCCCTCAAGAGAGATCACAAAAACAATTGGGAGTAAATGAGTCGTGGAACCTACTTTGTTCAAACATCAGCAATCCACAATAATTAGGGAACGACAAAGATAGCATATTACTGAAAACAGTAAATTCTATTGACTGATCAGACTACTGTTCTGAAAAAAGTCAAGCTCAATAACACCTAGTTAATCACAGCAAACCAAATGGTAAAACAGAATTGCTACCAATGTTCATTTCTCACCTCCAATGCCAAGTACAGTTTCCAGTTTTCCTCCCACTTACAGACACCCTCGAACAGCTCCTGGTGCGTTTGATAATACTTCTTCAATCGATTGATCTCCAGTTCATGGAGTTGCAACAAGTCCTCAGAACAATCCTCTTTTTAGAGTAGAGGAAGAGAAAATATTTTAATCAATATATATATACACACACACACGACTAGAATATTTCACTGACAGATTTATCTTACAGTCTGAAAGTTTTAGTTCGGGTAGTATAGCAGTCTCTGAGCATTCTCAAAAATTCTGTGTTAATGTTTGAAGAAATTCTTGATCAACCCATTAAAAACTGCAAATGAAAAAGTTAAGCACCATCGTAGCAAGTACAGGGGACTATAAGCTTTGCCCAACAAGCAGTAATTCTCCTAAACTCAGTGAATAAAGAAAGTTTGTGGGCACCAATAATATTCCACATAAGATTACTGATATTTCTCTATTGATTTTTACTTTAATAATTTCAGACTTGTAGCCCAAGAGCAAGATCATTAAAATTTCATATTTTCAAGGAAAAAAAACATCATAACACAGAGGGTAGCCACAGCAAATTAGAATCCATAGCAACATGTCAATCACAATAGATTTATAAACTTAGAAAATTGCTTCCTCAGACTTGGCATAATATTCATGTAAATATGAACAACAAGGTAAAAATACAAACAAACCATCATAATATGGAGCAAATGCCTGTCGCTGTTCAGTACTCAAAAAACATTTCTCCCAATAGAATGTCATTTCCTGTCGAATGGCTTCAATCACATTTTTCATATTCTGTAATTTCAGTTCCTCCAAACGCACCAACTCGGTCTGTAACTAATACACAATGTAAAAAAAATTAAAACATGCTGAATTGCCTTTGCTCATATTCATAATTCAAAATTCATACTGCACTACATAATAGTGCCAGGTGCCATAATGTGTCCCAGGTGAAGCCTTTAAGGGAACTTTTTAAAAAAAATCTATTCAAATTTCTCTGGCAAGACTATTTACTGTGAAAAGCAAGTAGAGAATGAGAACACTAGTTGACCTCAGACTATGAAGGGTGGGAGAAAGCATCCGAGGTTCATGATCCTCATCACTATTCAGCCACAACTGATGGTGAATACAGAGGATGTTCAGATCAGGCATAACGTCACAGTCAATCTGAATACAAATTACCACGTTCAGAAAAGATGGCAACTGAAGTATTAATTAGATATTACAAAATCTCAAGCATGGAAGGTCTAAGTTTTTAGAGAGCAATTCTGAGAGAATACATTAGGAGACTAGTGACATTTTGGCAACTTACTGCTCGCATTGTCGTCGCCCTGGAGCCAGTCATGTGCACAGCAAAAACATCGCGCTCTTCCTGTGAAAACTGCAGTCGATTCCACAGATTAACAATTTGATCTCGTAGTTCTGAACTCTTTGCTTCATTCTGTGCTCTCCTGATCTCCAGCTGGAAAAGTGAATATTAAAATTGATTACACAGGAATCTGCTTTACAGCGAATGTTAATTTGCTAACCGATACCTAACATACAGTAAATTCCTGATAATTCGTCACTCCAAAGGAAAACGGCTTAGTGACGAGTTATCCAAAGTGATGAGTTAAGCATATGTATAAATTCATAATAAATGCATTGTACCCAAATATGATGGAAAAGGTGGAGATTCTACAAGTCCACACTCATTCACGAACCTGCTGAAGAAGTGTGTTTAGGCCTAAAATGTTCTCATTTGACAGGCAGAATGCTTCCTCATCCTCGCAAATAACATCCTTCTCAAAGCTGGTTTCTGGCAGCTGATCTAGTTCATCCATACAAATAATAATTTGTTTCTTTATATTGACAAACTCAGCCCATCTTCGCTCCTAAAAGCAAGAAACAAGTAGATGTGAGTTAGATAAGCAGATATTTAGTTCAACGTGTGGCAGAGACGGCATCACCATAGCCTATAAACCTGAATAAAAATGTGTTTAGATTGTGTGTAGAATCTTTATAGGATGAAGCCATTGAGTCCTTTGTGACTTTTCTGGTGTTATCTCCCTCAACGGAGTTACCTGTTCTAATCTAATTTCTCTGGCACTTAATACTATTATTCTTTGTGGGTTTATGCAGTTTCCTCTCAATTGTTTTTATACTCAGCTTTAATAGCCGGTTATAGTAAAGTATTGCATATATTTCCCAGTTGACTCCAAAAAATCATTAAGACCTCTAGATCAGATCACCTATTAACCGTCTCATGATAACTGTCCCAGGCATAGTTCTGTAAAATTTTGATTACAATTTTAAAACCGGGTTGTACTCTCGAAAGAAAAAACACTCACCTTTTCCTCATTGAGTGAAGCAATGTACTGACGATAGGCATCAAGCTGGTTAATGCTGGGGACAAAATCAGTATCAATGGAGTAAGGTGTTATGCAGAGGATATCACAGAAGTCCTCATCTTTCTCTCGGAGGCACTTCAGCTCCTGTAGCCTTTCCTTTTTCTCTTTAATCAGGACTTCCAGTTGAGTCCGTAGTTCTTTTTCCAGCTGCAGCATTGTGGAATCATGCACCGGCTGTCACAGAGAAAAGTTATCCATTTTTTAAAAAAAATCTACATCTAAATAAATAAAAAATAGTTGACAACAGTAGAGAGTTATGCTTTAAGCACTCTGAAACGCTTCCCTGCCTGAGGGGCACTATATAAATGGAAATTGTTGTTGCTATAAAAATACACCAGTTTCCTCATCATGACAAGACCTCTCTGTCAGAGCACTTTTCAAATGTATGGCCCATAAACCAAAGTTGCAACATGAGTAACTTTATTGCTGATGAATCTGGAGTTCTTAGGGAAGTGATAAGCAAGACAGTAAAACTCAAATGTTTACAACAGATTTTGTGACCATTTTACACAGCGTTAGTACCAATATTGCTTGAAAAGACATTGAAAAGCTATTACTTCTGTTTAGTAACAAAGAGGACAGTAATACCTGAGCTGCAGCAGAATACCATCAGCATTGCATGTTATCAGCACATCTAACCAGTTCCGGCCAGACTCCACTGGCTCCCCATCACGGAACGGATCGTCTTCAAGATCCTCACTCTCGTGTTCAAATCTATTCACTACCTGGCACCTCCCTATCTCTCTAACCTCCTCACTCCCCAATCCACCACCCAGCGTCTCCGCTCGACTGGCACCGGCCTCTTGATTGTCCTTCGCCCTCCTGTGCCACACCATCGGAGGTCGTGCTTTCAGCCACTAGGCCCCCAAATTCTGGAACACTCTCCCTCGAACCCTCCGCCTTGCCCCCTCTCTCCCCTCTTTCAAGTCTCGCCTGATAAGTGGAGTCCTGTAGCTCAGTGGTTAGAGCACTCGCTTTGCAAGTGAGAGACCTGAATTCAATTCCAGGCAGGGCAAAACCTTGGGCAAGTTTCCTTATTCCACACGCCTAATAATAATCCCTCCAAAAAATCAAAACAATAATAAATTGGTCATTTTCAATCCATGACTTTTTGTGGGACATTGCTGTGCGCAATTGGCTGCCGCCTTCGCCCACAAATATACAGTCAATTCACTTTACAGTGCGTTCTGTGAAGCGCTTTGGGACGTCCTCCCGACGTGAAAAGCGCTATATCAAATGCAAGGATTATTATTATAACTTTCCTCTTCGACTGTAGTTACGGCCACCTCCCCGCACCCCGGAGTCAGGTTCCACCACTGTTTAGCGCTTTGAGATGCAACCCTGCGTGGAGGGTGCTATATAAATGCAAGTCGTCGTTGTTAAACAACAATAAATTGGTCATTTTCAATCTACGACTGTCTGCGGGACATTGCTGTGCGCAATTGGCTGCCGCGTTCGCCCACAAATATACAGTCAATTCACTTTACAGTGTGTTCTGTGAAGCGTTTTGGGACGTCCTCCCGATGTGAAAAGCGCTATATCAAATGCAAGGATTATTATTATTATAATTGCCAAAATTTGTCTACTAGACAGATTTTCGAAATGTATTAAAAACTGCATTGGTTAGAATTTCATTTTAAAAACATAAATCATATTTGCAATACAGAAAAGGTTATACTGTATTAGCAGTGGATTTCAGAACTTTTCTTAAATTGCTATTTAAAATACATTGTTTCAAGTCTCATTCAAGTTTCAACATACATCTTTAATCTTACCTTAAATGGAGTCACATTGAGCTCCTGGCACACTGTATCCAGCTCACTGTGACACATATCAATGCTCTTCTTTAGTCTCTCTCTTAGATGTTCCTCCTCTGCAATCATCATATCTAACAGGTCCTGTTTGGAAAAGGGAAGATATTTAAATACCAGAGCTATCTGGACTTGAACACTTAGCTCGTCAAAAACGTTTTGCTTGCCTTAATGTGCTTTTTAACCACTTCAGTTCTTTGCAGTCGTTGGTCTTCTGGTATTCCTATCTCTTCCCATATATTCTGCAGATGGGAAAGTGCACCATTGAGACATGCCACAGATTCTGTGGCTAGAATCTCACTGGAAGAGAAAATATGTTTCTGTTAGAACACATTAGAAATCCTATCAGATGAAGAAAAGTATCAATCAACATAAAAAATAAAATTGAAGAATACTTTCAGCATCAATTACATAGTCACTGAAATCAAAAAAAATCAGATCTTATTAACGAACTATACACAGGCTATGTAGCGGAAATAGAGAATAGTCAGGTATTTGTTTCAATAAAGGCTTTAGATCATCAAAAGCAAAGCAAAACTGTTATTATTGCTGCAAAGAGCTGTTACTTTATCTCAACAACACAGGTGTTAATTTTGAGCATTATCAGAATGAAAACTGAAAAGGATATTATATTGGAGAACCATCAGGTAAATTGTTTATGCAACAGAGAAAACCTAACTGAAATAATGAATAACTATTAATGTTAGCAAGATGTTTATTTTGTGCCAGAATTAGAACGTATAAGAGAAAGATTTATTTTTTTAAATGATTACATCATCACTAATGAAACAAATTTTCTAACAATATCCAAAGTAAAATGTTGGTTATTGTAGTTTCTACCATGAGGTAGGTACATGGGAGATTCTTGCATCACAACTTGATATGAGAAAGTGAGACAAGGATAGGCATATAAAACCTAACCTGTAGAAGGAAATTTCACGACACTATAGTCTAGTTTATTGACACTAAGAATAAAGCATGTGCTCCCTACTCTCTCATACCTCTAATTCTGGCACAAAATAAACATCTTGCTAACATTAATCGTTATTCATTATTTCAGTTGGGGTTTCTCCATTGAATAAATAATTTACCTGATGGTTCTCCAATATAGTAGTGTATATTATACTACAAAATCTGTAATATTTCTAGCTCTGAAATTTTCCCATTTGTTGAAAAAATAAAAAAGTACCATTGAAAATTTTGAAGTAACATAATGAGGAAGCACACAGGTCGTAAGCGGTTAACAACAACAAGATGATTACATTTGTATAGCGCCTTTCATGTCGGGAGGACGTCCCAAGATGCTGGACGGCGTACAGCATTTCAGACCCGAGCTGGTGTCAGGGAGGGAGAAGGGGTAAGGGGGGTGATGGATGGCGTGAAAGGTGCTCTATAAATGCAACCTTGTTGTTGTTGTTGTAGGGGGTTAGGAGGTCGCAGAGAAGGGTGGGCCGAGGCTATGGAGGGCTTTGTAGTTGAGGACCAGGATCTTGAACTGGATCCTCTGAAGGATAGGGAGCCAATGGAGTCGGGCAAGAGTGGGGGAGATGGGGTCACGGAGTTTGGTGCGGGAGAGGACATGGGCTGCAGAGTTCTGGGTTATCTGCAGCCTGTGGAGGGAGGAGTTGGGAATGCCAACAAGCAGTTAAGTTAGTCAGGCAACGCCTTGCTCTGGAATTATAAAAGCTCCCCTCTGAAGAGGCAGCGAAACACTGCAGGTCATTCAATTCACACTGGTAATACAGTACTACTCTTTCATCCGGTCACCTGACTTGCTTGGGTGGTCATAAAGACATGGTTCAAGTCCGCATTATCCTTTGACAATTTGGGGGCATAGAAGAGTTTGGGGGGGATTCGAGCTCGACTGCAGGGACAGCCCTTGTTTCCTTGTGGAACTCATTCGGTCTAATTTGGCTAATGGGTTGAGAAGACCTAACCTTGCTCTTTTTTTTCAACTTTGAGGGTAATTTGTGACTAAACTCAGCAACAAATTTTAATAAAATCCTCCCTTATTTTGGTTTTGTTTCTTCCTGTCTCAGATACTGACTCATGTTGAGATATGATGCCACCAGTACAGCACAAAAAGCAATTATCGTAACTCATGCTGAGGTATGATTCCACAAGTACAGCTCATAAATCAAATAGCTTCATGAACTAGTCTACACAGTAACTATATTCTATATGCTCCCTCTGGGCGATGTCATCCGAAGACACGGGGTAAACTGCCACATAATAATAATTGTTGCATTTGATATAGCGCTTTTCACGTCTTCTAGACATCCCAAAGCGCTTCACAGAATATACTGTAAGGTGAATTGACTGTATATTTGTGGGCAAACGCGGCAGCCAATTGCGCACAACAGCGTCCCACAAACAGTCATGGATTGAAAATGACCAATTTATTATTGTTTTGCTTTTTTGGAGGGATTATTATTAGGTGTGTGGAGCAAAGAAACTTGCTTAAGGTTTCGCCCTCTGCCTGGAATTGAACTCAGGTCTCTCACTTGCAAAGCGAGTGCTCTAACCACTGAGCTATAGGACTCTACATGTATGCGGATGACACACAAATCTACTTTGCCTCCTCCAGTACAAACTCCAGGTCCGTTGATGTTGTCAGCTGAATGTGGACAAGATGGAAGCAATACTCCTTGGCTCCCGTCAACGTCGTCACTTCTGCGGATCTGAACTCATCAACCCTCGCTGGGCTCTCCCTCACACTCAAAGATCCAGTGCGCAATCTAGGCGTCCGGTTCGAACCCCAGCTGTCCTTCCTCCCCAACATCCAATCCCTGACCAGGACCGCCTTCTTCCGCCTCTGCCACATTGCCTACCTCTGACCATTTCTTACCCCAAATGCAGCCGAAATCCTCATGCATGCGTTCGTCACCTTCGCCCTGGATTACTCAAACGGACCACAGTCTCTCCAGTTCAACTATTCAAAAGATCCAGCTCATTCAGAACTCTGCCGCCCACATACTTATCCAGACCTAACTCCGTACCCACATCTCACCAATTCTGACCAGGCTCCACTGGCTCCCCATCACCGAACGAATCAACTTCAAGATCCTTACATTCGTGTTCAAATCCATTCACTCTCCAGCCCCCTCACACCCCAATCCACCATCCAGCGCCTCCGCTCAACTGGCACCGGCCTCCTGCTCGTCCCTCGCACCCTCCACCCCACCATCGGAGGTCGTGCTTTCTGCCTCTACATTCTGAAACTTTGGGCCACTCAATCCCTCGCCTTGGCCCCCTTTTGCCCTTTTCAAGTCCCGCCTGAAAACCTTCCTCTTCAACTGTGCTTACTGCCACTTCCCCCCACCCCCGGTTCGGAGTCAGGCTCTGCCACTGTTAAGCACTCTGAGATTCTATCCTGCTTGGAAGGCACTATATAAGCGCAAGTTGTTGTAGTTTTAACGTTGACAATCTAATACCATGGAAGGAAATCACAAGTAGTCATTACCTAATATTCACACATGCTAACTGATTTCAACAACAATAATAACTTGCACTTATATAGTGCCCTCCCAGCAGGGCAGGGTCTCAGAGCGTTTAACAGTGGCAGAGCCTGATTCCGAGTTGGTGGGAGGCAGCTGTAAATACAGAGGTTGTTTCCTTCCCTAGATCTGGGCCACTGAGATTAACTGCAAAACCTCTAACTATTCCCCAGCAGAAACTGGGAACGAACCTGGGACCTTCTGGCTCAAAAACTATAATAATAATCATCCTTGCATTTGATATTGCGCCTTAACAACAACAACTTGGGTTTAGAAAGCACCCTCCACGCCGGACAGCGTCTCAGAGCGCTTTACAGTAACGAATCCCGGGACCGAGCCGGGGGAGGAAGGTGACCACAGGCGCATCATTGAGACGTCTCAAAGCTTTTCACAGGATATATTGCAAAGTGGATGGACTGTGTATTTTGTGGGCGACATGCGGCAGCCGGTTTCGCACAGCAATGTCAAACAAACAGCCATGGAATGAATGATCAATTTTATTTGGGGGATGGTTGGCCAGGACACCAGGAGAAACTCCCTTCTCTTTTTGAATAGTGCCATGGGATCTTTAACATCTTTAGACTATGTGATTTGAAGTCCAGACATGGGGTTTGAACCCACAACCTTCTGATTCTGAGACGAGAATGCTAACACTGTTTTAATTTATTACCAGAAGTATTATTACCTTTCTATACTTTCTATCCGCACCCACTCAATTCTTGGGTTTTCAATCAGTCACTAAAGCATCTTGAGAAATTATCCTGAAGGTTGCTATAGGTGCCGTGCCAGCTGTTGTTGCTGCAGTGACCAGTCTCAAGAGATCAATGCCACTCTTCTTTGCAGTATTCAAATCTGTATCTGGCTCATTGTTTTTCCATCTTCAGATCATTGTCCTCTTACACTCCTGCCTCACCCTCATCCATGCCTTCATCACCACTCTTCTTACCTAGCTCCATCAGCAACCCGTGTTTACTCCCACACATTCGCTCTGCACATCCATCACTCTCATCCTTGAAAGCTTCCATAACACTTCAAACATTGCTCCCTCCTCACCTTCAGAGCACTCTTTTTTTTTAAAAAATTGACTACTTCAACCGTGCTTTGGTCAACTTGCTCATATCTCTCTTTTCCTTGTATCAATACCCTCTATTATGTTTGTTAATAAATATAATAGCTTTTTTTAATATCCTAGCTCCTTGGGACGTCCACCCCATGTGAAAGGCGCTACGCAAATGTATTTTACCGCTGCTGTTGAATCTTTGAAGACTATTCATCCTACTTGTAAGGCGTTATATAGCAGTGCATTGTTATTACCATGAATGAATCACCGGGCGATACGCTTTGCTTCAGCAGCTACAATCACAAGCTTCATCCTCCCCCCACCCTCACCCTCACCCATAACTGACTTAGTAATCGGGCAGCGGAGGAGAGACAATGAAACGTTTAGCCTACAATAAGCAATCGCTGCCCTGGGCAGTAATCAGCGCGAAGAATCTGAGACCACGTACGACAACAACAGCAACAAGATTCCATTTATAAAGCGCCTTTCACGTCAGGAGGACGTCCCAAGACGTGGTCAAGGCGCCAGAGGGGCGAGAAAATGCGATCCCAACTCAAATAAAGCCGAGGCCAGAACAGCGGAGTGTAAACAGACTAACTGCCGGCTGAGAGGCAGCAGGTGGAACATCGCCATCATTTCAAACCACAACACGACACAACACAACGCGGTGGCTCGGGGGAGAGGGGCAGCCTCGGAGGCTCAACTCTTAACAGTAAAAGCAACAGCGCGGCCCCCGCGTCCTTAAGCACATCCCGACCCCTCAAGATTCAACCTTCACTAACTACCGGGGCACGGGCCGGGGTGGTGGGGGGAGGCGCTCACCGACTGACTTTCTCTCTCCCCTCGGAGCTGCTCAGCAACCGTCTCTCCCCCCCAACCCCGGGGCTGAGGAACCAAGGCTTTCCTTTCCCCCCCCTTCTCCCAAGGCTCGCTGACGGAGCGGAGCCCCCCCCCCCACCATGTTTTAAAAAAAGTTTACATAGAAAGAATTAGGTGCTCTCACCTTCTCCGCACCATGGCGCCTCTCTCACTCACTCACTCCCTCCCGTTCGTTCGTTCGCTCGCGCTCTCTCCCCGCGACAGTTGATCAATTCAAATCTTCCAACGGAAACTCGAGCGCCGGCTCCCATTGGCCAAGAAGGGCGCTGAGGCGTCACGCGGCAGGCTGGCGTTGGTTGACGTCATCGCTCGCCCCAGACGCTGAAGAGGCGCTCGCGGAGCCAGACTGGGACGGGAGGAGGAGGGGCGGGGCCGGGCCCGGGCCGAGGCGTGACATCTTGGCGGCGGTCGAGGCCGCTCGCTGTCTGGTGCGGCAGCTCCCAGTCGCCTGAGGGGCGTTGATTCCCCGGCGGGCGACGCTTTGAGCTGCTCATCGAGAGAACTTTCAAAAACAAATATTCCAACGGCTGAGGTTTCCAAACCCCTTTGGCCACTTCTGTCCATTTCAAGGATTATTATTATTATTATTCTTCAACTCGGACATCTACCACCAACGATTGGAAAAAAATGTCAAGACTATTGGGGGTTTTTTTTTTAAAAAAAACACCCGAAAGCAAATTTTCCGACACAATGCACTTTCAGGCGCCTCCGATACTACGTTTTTTTTTATTAATGCGAAAACCATCGCAAAACCTGACTTTCTCCACGGCCCGGCTCGTTGGCAAACAGGTTTTTCGAAACCAGTCCCGGACCTTTGGCTTACATTCCTGGCCAAGACGGGAATTTAAAAGAAAATTAACATTGAAATCCGAACGGAGAACCTGATGGGGAAAATTCCACGCCGGCTCGCGCAGGGCGAAAGGAAACTGATCGGGATGACTTTAGAAATCTTGTACAACTTGGTAAAATCTACAATCTGCTGTACCTGTGATAATGCATCAGTGTTGGATTTCAATTAACGGCAGAAGTGGGTGCAAAATGTTCCTCGCCTTCCAGTCAAACTATTGAAATTAATGATCGGGGCTCAATGTTAAAACCTATGGATAAGCAAGTCAGTATGCCTGTTCAATTGGTTGAATGACTCACTTCTTTCTGTTCCTGTGTCCTGTCAGTTTGGTGGTTAGAAAACAAGACAGAAAAAGGACTTTTATCTCATAATCTAAATATTCATCTTCATATGTAAAATGTGGGCATTGAAGAAACAAAAACTTATATTTACTATAATGCCTTTCACATAAAAGGAACACCTCAAATGAACTAACTTGTGCTTATCGCATTGCAACGACTCAAAGTGTTTCACAATTACCCAAAATAGATTGAACCCATAACCATTTACCTTACTCTAATTTTTAAACAAGCACCCGTTAAAGCAAGTTCTCCAATAGTTTTATTATACAATATTTACACAAACACATAGATCAGTGCAAAATGCCGTTTCACAGTTGATTATCAAACTGACAAAAAGTTGGAATGTTTAAGGTAGTTATGTCAGAATAACCGTAGGAAATGCATCAATTTCACATAATCCGGCTTGAGATAATAATAATCCTTGCATTTGATATAGCGCCTTAGAGACATCTCAATGCGCTTCACAGAATATACTGTAAAGTGAATTGACTATATTTTGAGATACAGTATATATACATATTTTTAAAATTCTTCCCCATCCAGTTTCTTCCCTCCTCTTCTAAAGGGACTGCCGCGATGGGGATATGGTGACAATCACCCGCCGATATCTTAGCCAGTCTGCAATGAGACTCTGAGGCAGGCTCGAGGGGCTGAATGGCCTACTCCTGCTCCTAATTCCTACGATATTCAGCCACAAAGGCCATCACAGTCAGCCTCACCCAACCTTGTGCCTTCAGGAGAGGAAGGGAGAAATAGTAGGAGATGAAACTAAAATGAAGACACTACCTTAAACACATTGTTTATACAAGAATCACGATTATTTACAGATGAGACAAACAAACCAGATATTCCTGACAAAATACAAGCACTTCACATCTTCAAACTAGACACTTAACATCCACGTTGTATCAAGATTATTTTCTGTACAGAAATTGAAATATTACATCATCCAAACGTCGTTTGATACCCTAGTTCCAATTTGACCCTACATTTTCTCTCTCTCACCTGAATCACAAATCTTACACTGTTCATTAATAAATGAAAAGAAATTTCAATCCACCATTTGCTTGAGTATTTCTGCCAAGCAGCTTAATAAGATTTTTCTTTTTTTCAATCTTTCTGACCAAGTTTAGCACGGTACACCTTGTTTTTTTCTCTGTACAGAACAGAACTTCGGAAACACCATGCGGATTTTCAGGAACTGGTTTCCAGCATGGATTCGAGCATTCGAGCGCTGTTTGTGATTGCTGTTGTGACAAAAACAAATTTCCATCCTGTGGGAAGGCAGAGAAGTCAGGAATAGTCAGAGAAACTGTGTAGAGAGAGACAATTATGACATTATTAAATTTCTGTTGTCAAGAAATGTCTTGAATTCATTAACCAGGAAAGACCAAGTTGGGCTATTAATTCCTAAAGTCAGAATACATAATATCTACTCCTTTTCAAGTCAGACTGGTGATCAATCCTCCTGATGAATTGGTCATTTACTTCATGGCAGTTTGCGTACACTTTTAACAAGTACACTCAGGAGAAAACTCCCCATTTTCTAATTGTATACAGATTAATCAGAATAACTAGCTCTCATTACCTTTTTCTTTGCCCAGAAATCTCAGTGCTGCAATCTCTGAGAAAGTACAACCCCCCAGAAAAAACAGCAGAATAAGTCGCTGAGCACTGGAAGACGCTGATGTGTCAGATGATCCTTCTGGAAAAACACGGTAAAAATTTTAAACATTATTAGCCACCTAATTCCAGCACAACATCCTCGCCCTCAGAGCTGCTTAATAAATCAACTATTTCCTTCATTCCTTCCACTTCTTTGCTGAGGTTCCGTTCCAATTGACCTCCAGTACCACACTCTAGAGGGCATTTTCGTGTGCAAGCCTGGACCCCATGTGCGTCTATAGACGCGTGTCTATTGAATCTTTTGTGATGTAAGTATCATAGCTGAGCTTGCCCTGCATCTCACCCAGTGTCTACGTCCATATATTTTCTTGCCGTGATCAATGAGGGAGTTGCTACTGATTTTACTCTCTACAACCCTGTTTCTCCCTCTCTAATGTCCATATATATATGTGCTATCTTCTGCAGTGAGCATAATGCTGTGACAAATTTATCCCTCCTTAAACTAATCTTTATTATCAATATTTTGATTGCTAAGAAGTCTCCCATTGCACAATAGTGAATAACAGATTTCAATGTTGGCCTTATCAATATGCTGTGATCCTAATTGGTTAGTCTGGACAGCATTTAGTCGGGGTGGGGTGGGAGTAAACAAAACACCACGGGTTGGGGCACTCAATACAACTCTACATTCTAATCACATCTATAAATCCCTGATCTGCTCACTTACCAGTGGAGATAAACTCATTGCCATTCAGCAAACGTGTCACATCTTCCAGTCCGGTCCAGCTGTCATGCTCCAATACCTGCGAAGATACAGAGACACATTCCCGACATGAAAAGCGCTATATCAAATGCAAGGATTATTATTATTATTACACAGAACAGGAAACAGCCATAGAAGGGATATAGCTACACAGGGATAGGATGACAGATAAAATGGTACAAAACAAGAATTACTGGATACCTCCTACTGCAATAAATCGGTTCAGCCCAATGCAAAAGCTGTCCAGTTAAACTAAGACATGGGTCATGTCATTATTCTGAGTGACTGCCCTGTGCTGCTGGGTCCTGGATAGGACAAAACCCACCTGTTCAATAATCCTGCAGCCCATGGGAATGTAAGCACCACCAAAGATGTAGGCCATGTCCCGCGGTACCCTCAGGTCGTACTCTTCCTCAATCCGAGGGATCTGCAAGGGATGAGTTCAATGATGTGGAATTGCGCACCCATTGAAACACTGTGGAATTATTTATGCATGATGATCTTTTATCTGTTGTGTTACGGTCCCTTACCAGATTTAGCTTTTTACTCAGGGCCCGAAAATGGCTCTTCCTCGCCAGAGATGAAAAAGCATCCGTCAATTTTCCTGAAAAAAAAATGAGTATTTTAATCTGTAACCAGCAAAAACAATCAGCAAAAAGGCAGCAGAATCAGGATTTAGAGCTGACAATTTACTGAGGCAGGAATAAACAGGGCTACAAGCTGGCAGAAAAGTTGACCAGAGAACATATATGACCCAAGAAAGAAATGTGGAGATTGATTTTTCTCCTCCTTGAACCATTGAAGGCAAATGTAGCTCCAATCGCTGCCACATTGAGATCAGCTTAACTCAGGGAATGAACCTGGTGCTATCCGAGAAATAATATGAGCGAAACTTACCAACTGTTTTGTCCGTTACAAGTTTGCCCATTGTGCTCTCCACTGCAGTCAGGGTCTCTCCCGGCTGCTGCTCTGTCAGGAGTCCGATTCGCTTCAGATTGTTAAAAGTCAGGATGTGCGAACAGCCATAACTCTGGAGGGACATAGAAAATAAGCCGTCACAACTCAGGGATAGACAACAGCCCACACCAAGCATGCACATTGGCAAATCCGGGGGGAGTTGAAGCCAGTTTTAGCACTTCACGCACTGTCCACGCTGAGAGTGTGCTCTCATTCAATACGAAGGTCAGTAAGTACTCCACAGCTGGTCTTTATCTCAATGATTAAAAAAAATACTCCCAAAAGATTTCGACCTGGATTACAACTTTAGCATTTTTTTCCACATACCTGCAGATACTGAGTTTTCAATGAACGATAATCTTTGGAAATCAAACCTAAATCGGGCAAAAGAGAAATTCAAGAGATCAGTTAGGAATCATCCAGTGACAATGTTTGGTTAATTTTTGACTTTATGTTCACGACTGCAGCCACTTGTTCATAGTTGAGCCTGATCCTGTCTATTGCCTGACACTCGCTTGCGTATACGCCACACAATTTTCCACCAGAGTGTCTGGAGAGGGATTGCCATCTGATTTCTCCCCTCTCTAAACCAGGGACATTGAGGCTATGTTTTACTCCCAATACTGATGTGGCTTGGATCAGCTACATCAGCATACACCTGGTTCAAATCTGTGTCTTTCTCATGGTTCAGTACAACCCTAGGCAGTAGCTTTACTAACAGCCATCAGGAAAGTTTGGCAAGTGTTTCTAAAGTGTTTGAATATTTCAGACTCACCGTTTTCAGTCAAAGAAAGAAGGCATATCAACCGAAGACTCTCAATTGGAGAAATCTATAACAGAATTGAATCACTCAAGATTAGGGTCATAATAACAACAAATTACATTTGTATAGCGCCTTTCACATCAGGAGGATGTCCCAAAGCGCTGGAAATACCAATACAATGTCTGTGGGAAATGAGGATATACAGGGATCTCAATCTAAAACATTAACACATTTTTTATCAAAGCACAGAATATTTTACTTAACTCAAGCTTATTCTTGGCATTTTAAGCTAGGACATTGAGTGCCTTCTGCAACTACAACATTTTTTTTTAGCAGATGCCATGAAAATTATATCCCTTATCCAGGATTGATATGCGCTCATTGATGACTACTGTTGAGTGGTTGAGCCTTAGACTAGATACCCATCCCATCAGCATCAGTTCAACTGCTCACTGACATCCTTATTTAATTCTTCAATTGTTTGTGTGTGACAGGGATATCTCTACATTACCAGCCAAGGCTAACAAAGGCCCACTACTGACTGTATTCACATTTTGCTGACATTGTTCACATAAGTAGCCCTCACTGCACTTACCTGTCTGTTTATGTGCTCCTCTGTACAGCTGATGCTCTCCCGAATCTCAAATCCTTCAAGTAATCCTGGCAAGGAGAGGAAGAAGAAAATAAGATGGATCAATCAATCAGAGAACAGGACTAGTATTCAAACCCAAATACAACAGGTGACTCACAGAAGCCACACATAAGTTGCACATGACACATAGCATATGAGAAAGTGCATTTTACTCAATCGTTCAGGAGAGATATAATAGAGAATAAGTCAGTTCATCAAAGAGGTTGGAATGAAGAAGGCCCCTTGGCCTATTTGACTTTATCTATTAAGTATACCCATTCTACTGCCTTCTCATTATACATCAAGCAGTTTATTAAATGACTCCAGCACCCTTCCTGGTTACCCAAGTTCAAACAGACCTTATAGTTCCCCAATCAGTCAATAACTCTCAGACTCCCCCAGTCAATCACCCTGCTCTCAGACTACCCTGGTCAGTCAGTGGTATTTCTGTGTGACTGGCTGATGTGGCCAATTTGTACCATGTTCCGATTTCAGTAGTTCCTGAAAGTCTTGCTTCGTCTTTCTTTTCATAATGGACTCACACGCCCCGATATCTACAGAAAAAGGAAACGGATAAAATGTCAATCGAGAGATTTTGTACAAATGTAATCTCCGTCAAATGTTTTCAATTTTAACAAGTCAAAAAACAGAATATGGTGAATAGGCATATTCAACATTATTTTAAATTAAAAATTTGGCCAATTAATTTGGGTCAGTGGGTCCTTTAACAGCCAACTGAACAGTCAGATGGACCTTGGTTTATTGGCTAATTGAAAAGGTATTCTTACTCAGAATTGAAGGCACTCAGGTACTTACGAAGACTCAGCAATCGATGCTCCTGCTTGAGACCCTTCAGCTCCTGAGAAACAAAGTCCTTCATCTGTTTAATGTCCATGCCTTGACGTTTCTGGATGTAACAGGAAAAACATGAGGTGATGTGAAGTTCAGTCTACAGTATGCAGAGAGATCAAATTCCCTTACATGGCCATTGAACTCTTTTCTAGTTTTTACTCTCTCCTTCCCTGAAGGTGTCGACACTGGCTTCTGCAGGCACCTTGCTCATTCTTTAGATGCAAACTTAGACAGTAAGTATGGCTAGGTGGTTTGACGTCACAACCAAATCCTCCAACATCCACGCTCATTCCTGCACCATCCAACAGCAGTCACTGAATAAAGATCAGGAGTAGGAGTCCTACACCATTTTGTTCCTCCTCTCAAGCACTAGCACAACAGACCCAATAATATGCCACCACAAGTAATCAACTAATGGAAACCCCACAGCTTTTTTAAAAAAAAATCATCATGGGATTCTTTCCAAAGTACAGCACTCAATCTAAAAGGGAAGCAATAGTCACTGCAGACTACTGTAGCCTCTGCAGTGCACAATAAAACTACATTTACATTGAAAGTCTGATGGTACGACACTCAACACACCCATCCCCTCAGAGAGCTGCACTCTAAACTGACCCCCTTCCCAGGTTGTGACTCACATCATACTGTTTCTGGAGCTTCTTCGCTTTTTGGCTCAAAAATCCAAAGACGTTGGAGAAATGCTCATCCCGAATCTCTTTGAAAACCTGAAAGAGGCCCAGCATTTTAAATAGCGACACCCAAAAACACACAAGGAAAGAATTGAACATGTTAGCAATGTAGAAATTAGAAAAATGGTCATTAGGTACTTCATCTGTGTTAAGTTTTTATTGGCTCTCATGCTCACCTTGTCCTGAGAGTTCAGCAGCACCTTCACACTCTTATCTGACGACGTGACGTCTGGACCAAACTCCACACTCCCTGAAATTTGCATTAATAAAATACCAGTTCCTTTTCTGAACACCTTTTATTCTAAACAGTGTCAAACTCAAAGAATCATCCTAATCAGTCCAAGGAATGTATGGACATTACTGTCAAGTCAACCATTCTACGCGGTAAACATATTATAGAAATGTGTCAGCTCTAAGAAATGTTTCGATTGCAATGCTGATGATTTATAGGACGGAAAACAAATAGTGGTCAAAATTTAAATACATTAAAAAAAAACTGTCTTGTTTATAGGCCACCAAAACCAGGAAAGGGAGAGCAATCTTTCAACAAACATTATTCCAGCTTCAGTGAAATTGGCTCGAAACACTGACCCAGAGAGTGACGTACCGCATTTAATTCTGAATATATCGTCCATGAGACCCTCATACACAACCTGTGAACACATGGGTGTCACGTAATCCACATCTGTAAACCAAGCACAGTCCGCAAAAAATCATTCTCTGCTGAAGACTGAGATAAACATAATCTACTTACTATAGGGCTAAGAACGCTCCAGAGGACCAAACTTAGACACGCTCAACCCGAAGGATTCATGGTTCACAATTGGAAAACACAGAGAATTTGCTATTGTTGATCATGTGAACTTTCTGCTTCTTGAATAAATACCTCGGTCAATGAAGAAAGCACGTCCAATCTCAGCCCGGCATTGTTTCATCTCATCTGTGTCCTCCACAATCTGTTTCCAAACCTGATGGGTCATCTGAAGGAATCAGAGCGTACCTTAAACATCAACTCACCAAAGGCAATTGGACAGAGATTCAGATGTTTTGTGACCAGCCTACTTGGCATCCAATATTTTGGGGCGTACCTGACATTTAACAATTGATTCTGTGTTTAATTGGGAAGGTTCCACATCCAGTTTCCGTTGTTTGACTTACCCAGTGACATCTGCTGGCAAGGGCGAGCAGCCAGTATGTGTGTACATTGGCTGGTAGCAGGATCAAAGCCTCCCCCCACGAATCAAATATCCTATTGCCACTCACTGTCTAGGTTTACAAATGAACCTGGAGTGAGGTACCAGCATGAGTGGAATCAGATTCTGGTATAAGTCAACATCTCCATGACAAGAGGGGAGAAAATTCTAAGCAAAAAAAATGCTCAACAATACCAATACAAAAGCAGAACATTCAATGGAAGTACGTGTTCCCATATTTTACTGAACACTTTGGCTGTTAGTACTATAAGTTCAAGTAAGTCTACAATTATCCTTACAAATACAGTCACTATACTTTACAAAAAACTATGTGAAGCATTTTGAGACATTTCAGTGTGATAATATCAAATGCAACAATCATTACAGTATCAGAATTAGATGTATATTTCAGTTGCTACTCTGGTAATAATTCACCTCATTTTTTTTACCTTAGCACACCTGCCGATGCCATAAGTCCTTGTAAATGGCCCAAACAATGAATGCAATACATGCAGTGCTTTTGCTGCTGTACAGATCCACCGGTGGTCGCCTTCCTGAGAAAAGACACATGAAGCAGTTGGAAATACTAACAGGGATGTAAACATAGCATTTCAGGCACCTCTACCAGGTCAGGTACAGACTGTTAGATACAGATTAAGCTCCCCTGCAATGGGCTATCTAGTCTGCACAGGTCTGAGAGAGAAATTCTTCTGGTGTCCTATCCACTTACCAGAAAATAATCCCGAAAAAACTCAGGCAGCTCCATGCTGATAATGTCATCATCCAACGGAAGCAGGTAAAAGGCCCATTCATCAATGGTCACATCTAAAATCAGACAATGTAAAGCACAGTCCAATTATCAGTGACAATATGAAACAGAAATCTTCTGTTACTTATTATTTTTACTTTTATTTTTCCCCCAACAAATTCCTGCAGATGTGTGTTCCTATATCAGTTACATCTTAGCTGACAGACTCAGTGACCTTGCTCTCTTCTATAGTAATAATCGTTGAATTTGATATAGCACTTTTCACGTCTTCTAGATGTCTCAAAGCGCTTCACAGAATATACTGTAAAGTGAATTAACTACATTTTTTTTGGGGGGGGAAACGCGGCAGCCAATTCTGATAGATGTTGACAAAACACAGATGGCCACGGAGCTGAAGCATAACCAAAGCCCTCCACCATCCCTCCCACCTAAAATGCTCTAGCTGAGGATAGAAAGAGGTGGAATAGAAGGGAGGAAAATAGTAGGTGAGGACAGGCTTACCTCCAAAGATTCCCTCCTCCTCCAGAACAGTCTCACACATGTAAAACTACAAGAGAGAATATGGATGAGCATTCTAGTCTGCTCCTACACATTATTTCTCGCAAGACTCTTTCAGCCAGTCATCTCTCCCTCTTACACACACACAAAACAATGGTCAAAGGAGATCCTTGATATTTAAAATAGATAAATCTTTAAAGGCAGGAGGGCAAGCTGACAAAGCTGTGAAAAAAAGCTATCTGGGTTTTATAAATAGGGACATAAAACATAAAAACAAAGACTAACGGTAAAGTGTACAAATCATGAGTTAAGCCACATTTGGAGCACAGTGCCCAGTTTTGGACACCCCACTATAGGATGTCAAGACTATAAAGAGGGTGCAGTGGAGATTCAAAAGGAAGAGTCCAAGGATAATGCGTTTTATCTATGAGAAGGGTCATGAAGAACTGAGACTGTTTTCCCTAAAACAGGGATAGACATTTTTAAAATGATGAGGGGTTTTAATAGTATAAATAGGAAAAAATTATTTCTACTGGTCATTGAGTCAGTAACTAGAGGTCCAAATTTAGATATAAGGCAATTACCAAAAGAGCAAAGAAAGAGATTAGGAGACATGATTTTTGTACAGTTATGATGTGGAATACGCTACCAGTGATTGAGGCAGAATCTATATTAGCTCTTAAGAAGGAATTCAATAATTATCTGTAAAAGAGAATTATAAAAGCGTGTCGGAAAAAGGTAGGAAAAGGGGACTGAGCAGATGGCTCTTTCAGAAAGAGAACGTAGGTACGAGTCAAATTATTTCCTTTGTGCTATAAACTTTTATGGCTCTATGTTGCAGGTTCTCTCTCCTGCCTCCTAGCCTTGTCTGACATTTTGTTCTTCCTACTCTTTCCACTCACCTTCTGAGGGCTGAAAATAATCTTGTACTTGCGTAATCTTCCAATTGCTTTGTCAGCATTCACAATCTCTGGAAGAAGAGGATTTCGTTAAGTATTAAATAAATAAATCAACCTCTGCCTGTGATATTACAGAGCTTCATCTTACCAAAGAGCTTGACACAGTGAGTTAATGTATTGACTGTTAAACAACCAGCATTCCCCAATAAATAATTAATCCGTTTATTGGAGAATGTGAAGAGGGAGAATGTCACCCAGAAAACTCTCTGTCTTCCAAATGACCAAATTAATCGTTGATGTTCAACTGAACATATATGAAGTGTCTTTTTTTACAATTTGCAATAACAATTCAGAGAAACACAAAAATGAGAGAGTACAGTGCAGCCTACTCCAGATGAATGTTTATGGTTAAGATAATAAAACATGGAAACATAGCCAAATCATAAACAGAATAGAGAAGGAAAAGGGAGGGAGAGGACCATAGGGAAACACAGAAGGAACATAAGACGGCGATAAAGACAGTCAGAGAATTAGAAAAGCACTTAAGCAAAAAATTAGTGGATACTGTCAAACCTGCTATATGCTTCACACTGGAAATCCGAGGTCGAACGAGAAAGCATAGTCTGTGAAAGAAGCAGTTACACTAAGCAACAGGGAACCACTGACAATGAGTCACCCATCACAACACAACTGGCAGCTTGCATTATACAAAAAATCTACAGGTGTCCTGGAGCAGGGAGGAGACCTTCTTCTCAGTCTTCGTGCTGCCAACTCAACTCACCGTGGTCTCTTGCAAATCAGTACAGCAGATGCTCACTGTCTCCTCCCACATCCACATATGGAATTGACAAGACTCCTTGCGTATACCAGCCAAAACTCATCCACTCCTCCCACATCAGTAGTAATACTCACTGAGTCCTCCCAAGCAGGTCTGATACTCACTGCACCACAGAGCTTTGAGATACTCACTGATCACTCACTCCCTGAACCAGCTTGTTGTCCATCTTGTACAACTTCTCCACATCATGTTGCTGTAATATAAAAATATCAGCAATTGACATTTATTGGCATCTACACCTGAAGGTAAAACCCAGCCTAACATTTACGTATTGAAATGGGACACATTTTCACACACAGACATGCAGTTAGGGTCCTACCTTCAGAATGGAGACATTTGCAATGCGGTCAAGAGGACTCATCAGATCTGCTTCGATAAACAAATCCTTCTTCCCCGGCAGCTGAAAAGAAGCACAGTCCAACAGAATGCAAAGCTGAAGAATTATTCTAATACTCTTGCAATAGATTCTAAATTCACACCAAAATTCAAATGAATTGGCTACCCATCTCATATTCACTAACTTGCTGATACACAATTATTAAAGTCAGGCTGTACGCTCCCTCTCCAATTTTATGAAGCGCTTTCTGATGCCCACGTATGTTGGTTCTGATGAGGAAATCACGCGCAAATTAACCTCTTTCTATTTCTGGTGCAGACATAACCTTTGTGTATGTCTAACATTTTCTGGGTTTCATTTCCAATTTTCAGCTTTCTGGACTACTTTGCTTTTTCATCCAGACTTATTACAGCCCTACTTGTTTTACTCTGAATCAGACCATGTACAAAAGACTCCTTAATTTATTGGGCATGGAGAGTTTTTATTCAGCATTTAAACTCCTCTAAACATGGACCTGTTCCAGTGGGTGCAAGAAGGAATGGGAAAGATTTCTCTCTGAGTTTGCCAGTCTATTTCTCGGGGTCTATCAACAACTGTCAACAAAAACGGCTTTTATAATCTGCAAGAGCAATGCACATAACAAAACTATTCAAGACAGTCATATTTTGCAAATGTGTAATGTACTGTAAATCTGGAAACAAGAAAATTATTATCACGAGACTCATTTCTCATTAAATAAATTGCCGCCACATTTAGCTCCAAATGCAACCCAACCAGTGCTGCTCCTCTTCCCATGTTCCAGCCTGATCCCACGTCTTTTGTTTCCTGGCTCTGAATTTCTCCCACGCACCCAAGAGAATTATTACACATTAAATAATTTAGCACAGAAAACTCGGCAATAGAAATCTTTCGACATAACGAATTGTGCAACAATAACAAACAACAAATTGCATTTGTATTGCATGGCGCTTTTCACGTCGGGAGGGCGTCCCAAGGCATTGGACAGTCAAGGATTTGCACCCGAGTTGAGGGTTGGGATCAGGAGGGATGGAGGGCAGGGTAGCAGTGGGTAGGAGGGTAACCGAAGGCACGGTCGAAGAGGAGGGTCTCGAGAAGGGCGTTGAATTAGCTGGGGTGCGGGGAGCGAGGCAAAGGCAGCGTGGGACGCAGTTGGAAAGGATGGGGGGCAGGAAATTGAATTGTAAATATAACAAAATCAAACCCGAATTCATTCCACTGTATGGTATTGTATTGCATTGTATTGTCCCACCGCTTGGGCTGAAGATGAGGGTCTGTCACTCCTGGCCGGGTGAGGTCAGGACTCTGGCTGCTGATAAGAGGCTGTGTCAGAGCTCAGGGTCAGGTTTATAACCGGCTGGAGCTGTAAACCTTGGGAACTCGGGGAGTTGTCAGCTCCACATTACACCCGCCTCCGGGCCACTCCCTCCCTCTCCGGGGGTCACCCAGCGACCCAGGCCCCGGCCAGAGGATGTGAGACTCGGGTCCGAGGCCCCGGCGTTGGCCCCTCACTGACCTGCTCCAGTATGTAGACCAGCTGGTCCTTCGCCAACCGTTTTAAGATACTGAAGTCGGGGAGGTCCGGGGCGTCCCATCGCTCCGCCATCTTTGTGCGGGGCAACCGCCGAGCACATCCGGGGTCATCGGCAACCACTTCCGATTGCTGTCCCCTAGCAACGAGACGCTTTCCCCCCAACAACCACTCCCACACACCCTGCCCCCTCCCCCCATACCCCCCCCACTCCCTCTTTACCCTCACACCCCACTGCCCCCTTACCCCTGCTCCCTCCCCCTCCCACACCCCCACCCCATTGCCCCCTCCCATACTTACTCCTCTCCCACCTCACTGCTCCCTCCCCCTCATCTCACACCCCCACTTGTTCCTCTCCCACACCTCACTGTCCCCCTCCTACACGCCACTGTAAACTAGTCAGATATAGGGTAACATTCATATTTATTCAAAATTTTCAGCATAAACCACATCCATTTAGAATCACATATTACCCGTCCCCTAATAATGAAACACAAGGCGCAGAAAAAGTCACCTGTCTTGACTAAAAGTTGCCTTATTCTTTTGTTTAAAAAAAATCACAATTTACAGCAGCAAACGTAACACCTGAACAAACCGGAAAGTACATTCAGACGTATAAGCTGTACAAACTTTCCTAAAGGGATTTTCATTTTTGTTCCAATTTTGCAGTGTTGAACCCAGTGCCACTTTAGTTGTGCGACCAAAGTCTGACTAGCCACTGAGAATGTCTCTTTCCTTAAACAGTGCGTCCAGCTTGTTTTCCAGCAGCTGATTGGTTCCTCTAACTTCGGCAATGACCCGAGAAGCCCAAACAAAATACTCTTGAATTCGTTCCTCCGTCCATCCTAGACCAGAAGTAAGTACAAAAGTTAAATTCGGTTGGTTCTTAAAGTCCCAGTGTGGTTGCTCGCTCCAGTGGCTGAGTGAGTAAAATCGCTATCCTGTGAAGCATGCTATATAAATACAAGTTGTTGTTCTAGAAGTATAGTACCACCACTTGCAGGAAAGATGCACAGGCTCCATCCTCTGATTATGCTGAGTTACTTGACCTTGCAATGGGTCTATCATTTTCTTCAGCACACAGCCCCTGTTGAAACGCGCATGTATATATGGCCATCAGGCAAGGACAGATTCAGGGCTGTAATGCCCTCATGATCAAATACCTTCCTGATATTGAGAATCGACGCTGTCACGTGAATATTGGTCACTGAGGAGAGAGCAACTAGCACTGCCCATGTTACCGTAAGAGAGGAAGGAGTAAGACACTTTCAACGGACGAGGAGAGGGAAGGAGAGGGAAATGTGCATGCAGAGAAATGCAGCGTCCATTGCAAAGCTAAGTCCTGAAAGCCAGGACTAGCCAAATCTGTGCTGAATTATCTGAGATAAGGCGACAATTGATCTTGTTCCCATTTGGAGAAAGGGAAAATCACTTGGTGCATGTAAGAATTTGCAACTCTGACCTAGTGCAACACACTGCAACTCTGACCTGTTGGACCGCAGCGTTTTAGATCCCGCAAGTTGTAAAGTTTATCGGCCAGTTTCACCAGCTTCGCCTCGTAGCTGCAATTCCGGGCATGTAACACCTGCTGATCTTTCCGCTCCTGCTTCGGGAGAGATTTGTCATCTGTCACCTCTGCAACAATGCTCCTCACTTTCCTCCCAAACTGCTCTTCAATCTCAGCAAACGTTGTGTCTGTATCTTCAACGGTATCATGGAGAAGAGCAGCCTTTGCAAGAACGGAAGGAGAAAGATCTCAATTATCACCAGGTACTTGTTATATTGCTCTAGGAAAAGGTAGATGATCTAGTAGTGCTGGATGGCCGTGTAGAGGGAGCCTTAATCTGCATCTAACCCATACTGTACCTGATCTGGAGTTTTGGAAATTGACACTGAAATGTCTGAAATGGGAATGTTTTCTAGCAATAAGATTTGCACTTGATATGCACAAAATAATGGTGTATATGGGTAAAATCAGTCTGGCTCAGTTGGTAGCACTCTTGCCTCCGAGTCGGAAAGATATGGGTTCAAGCCACACATTGGGACCTGGAGCTCACCGCCTAGACTGGCTGACACCCCAGAGCTGTACTGAGGGGTGTTATTACTTTTCATAAAAACTGAGAACCAGTTGAGGTGGATGTTAAAAGATGCAATGACCCAACTACGTTTGGAAAGAGAAGTGTTTCTCCTGGTGTCCAGTCTCCAATCCCCAGAGGGGAAAAAAAATGCCAATCCCTTGAAGGTGTCCAGGACCAATCCACTGTAGAAAAAAAATTGAGAAGTTTCTTTGCTATATCAAGTGCAAAACACATATATATATATATACACACAGACACACAGACAGACACACACACACAAGCTCCCTAACCAGACAGGTACCAGTGCAGGGATGACAAACAGCCGCCAAGGTGTTTGCTTGGGTCGTATTGACGTGGAGTATTTTTTTAATTTACCTGTAAAACAGCTAAGTCTGTAATCCCTGCCTCGTGGGACAAGATCCGTGCAACACCTGCAAAACAGACGAATTTCAGCTCAAAGTCGGACCGAGGGGCTTCCGAAGCCTTTGCGAACACCGCCTCCGCCGGGAGGGCAGGTGAGCGAGAACCCGCACTGCGTTCAGTTAGGGACGCGATTCGGTTTGGAATGGGGGTTCGTGAGAACTGCTCTCGCTTCTCATTTCCATTCCAGTTCCCGTTCTCTGAACCCCCCCCCCCCCCCGCATGCCCCCATCCATCCCCCCCCGCATAGCCCCCCCCCCCCCCCGCATGGCCCCCATCCATCCCCCCCCCCCGCATAGCCCCCCCCCCCCGCATGGCCCCCACCCCACCCCCCCACATGGCCCCCATCCATCCCCCCCCCCGCATAGACCCCATCCACCCACCCCCGCATGGCCCCCACCCCACATAGACCCCACCCACCCCCCACCCCACCCCCCCCCGCATAGACCCCATCCACCCCCCACCCCACCCCCCCCACATAGACCCCATCCACCCCCCACCCCCCCCCCCCGCATAGACCCCATCCACCCCCACCCCACCCCCCCACATAGACCCCATCCACCCCCCACCACCACCCCCACATAGACCCCATCCACCCCCACGCATAGACCCCATCCACCCCCACCCCCCCCCACATAGACCCCATCCAACCCCCCCCCCACATAGACCCCATCCACCCCCCACCCCCCCCCCCCACATAGACCCCATCCACCCCCCACCCCCCCCACATAGACCCCATCCACCCCCCCCCCCCCCCCCACATAGACCCCATCCACCCCCCCCCCTCATGGCCCCCCCCCCCCCCCATGGCCCCACCCCCCCCACCCCACCCCCGCGGGGGGGGGCGGCTCTCTCTCCCCTCACCGAGCGGGTGGTTGATGTACGGGGTCCCCTCCGGGTCCTTTCGCCGCTGATTTTTGTGCTTTTTCGCAGCAAAATCAGCGGCTTCGAGAATTCCCCGCACATCGGAACCCATTGCACTTCCGGATCAGCAACAGCGGATCAACCAACGCCGCAGAGAGCAGCGGAGCCTGGGAAAGGCTGCGGACATCTGCTTCCCCCTCTCTCTCTGTCGGTCTGTCTGTCCCCCCTTTATTATATTTCTTGACTGTGTCGTAAATGCGATTCACATACCGTTAACATCTCCTCACTGCACAGAGCATTGCACTCGTTTAGACGGCTTCGAGAATAATAATCCTAATAATCCTCGCATTTGATATAGCGCTTTTCACGTCGGGAAGACGTCCCAAAGCGCTTCACAGAACACACTGTAAAGTGAATTGACTGTATATTTGTGGGCGAACGCGGCAGCCAATTGCGCGCAGCAATGTCCCACAAACAGTCGTGGATTGAAAATGACCAATTTATTATTGTTTTTGGAGGGATTATTATTAGGCTCTGTGTGGAGTAAGGAAACTTGCCCAAGGTTTCGCCCTCTGCCTGGAATTGAACTCAGGTCTCTCGCTTGCAAAGCGAGTGCTCTAACCACTGAGCTGCAGGACTCCAGGTATCATTATCTGCTATGAAAATGATGGTGCTCACACACACACACACACACAGATTCTCTGGATTCTGAATACAGTTAATCATTTGTACTGAACACAATTCAGTACTGTACTTCTAAATACAATTATCATCATTGTTCCACATGCTTCAGTTGGTCAGTGCACCGTAAGGGAGTAACAGGTGCAGTACAGCGGTTTCAAAAGCAGCTTCTACCCTTGTTCCTGGAGCGATAGCAATGTTAGATTGTGATTACAAAATAGACAGTCACTACACTTTACAGTAAATCCGCTTTTGAGATGTTGTACCGATGTCAAAGCTGCTATGTCAAAAGCAAGGATTATTATCATTTATTAATCGCACGCCACATAATCTACAATTTATTTATCCTTTTACACAGAAATGTGGACAATTAGTAATGAAAAGAGTTAACTGTTACAACTGAGAAATTGGACAACTGAGCAAAATCCTGCATACAGGAGGTTTAATGTTGAAAAGCTGTAATATTGTGAAAATAATGTTTACAAACATAAATCAAATTACATCCAGTAACCAGCATGTCTGTAACATCAGCCCACCAACATCAGGAATGCTTCCCCTAACAGTGAGAGCAGATTGTTCACTTTCCATCTCCAAAAGTTGAACAAAAAGCAAATATGCATTAAAAAAAACATTTTAATTGCATCAAGTGTCACCGGGTTCTCCAGGTCACAGCTAGCTGACCTCAGCATGGGCAGCATTCAATGCTCCAGTTGGCTTCTTTATCTCTGTGATAGGGGGAAGAAAAATCAGCCAGAGTTCCTTTTCCTTGAACGCCATCCAGAGAACCCATCTGGAAAGTGCATGTGTGAGGACATCAGAAGAGGACAGGACTGGGGCTATGATGGATAGGAGTCAGCAGTTGAATAGATTCAGCTGATTCACAGGATTGGGGTCAGCAGTTGAATAGCCAAGACAACTGGGCTCACACATGAACTGATAATGTGGGAGAGGTAACAGAAGGCGGCCATTAACATCTGCCCACCAGGAATCAGGGACAGCAGCAGCGGGTGGAAAGTGTGGAGGGGCATTTTTTCTTTTGATCTTGTAAAGATCATGAAGAAACTAATGAAATGGCGGCAGGACTGATGCACACATCACTTAGCTACACAAGTTAGGTTTCATGTTTCAGGGTCGTCGGATGAATCCCGGGTTTGAATTCTATAAAGAAAGTTTCCTTCCTGGTCATAGAAGGAGAGACCTTTTCGTATAACATTCATGGAGTTTTCAACTTCGCGCTCCGCAAGTTCCTCCAGCACTTCATCTGTCAGTGACTCACCATCCCACTGCTCCTTATCAGACTGGAAGAAGGTGCTCGCTGAGTTCTCTCCATGCTCCACAGGCTTTACAAGTTTTGTGTCAATTGGAGGTTTTATGTCACTGTGACTGTCCTGAACAGTGAGGTGTGTGAGACCACTCGGCAGCATGGGGACTGGGACCCCCTTTCCAGCCTCCTGCCCTGGGAGCTTGTGTGCACGGCGAAGAACTTCAGAAGATAATGATACCCCCTGGGACAGTCTCAGTTTCAACTCAGGAATGACTGGAGCCACGGCAGTCATGTCCCCCACATCCATCACGGCAGTCTGTGGCCTCACTCTGTCTGGTAGTTTCAGAAGTCCTGCATTGGCCTTGGCCTTTGCATTTTGCTTCAGCGCTCTGTTTACAGAAGGTATGAACTTACTTCTTAGCACTCTCTGAATAACATTCGGACTCACAGAAAATCCTTCTGCCAATCGTTCCATGGTCCACTCCTCCGGGAACTCCTCCTTCAAAAACCTGGACCACAGGAATATGAAATATCGTTTACACAGATTGATATCTAGCGAGACAAGCTGGGAATGATGTACTCCATTTCCCTTTACACCTCTGACTGTAAGAGGATCTGTGACATGCATCACAGATCCTAATCACACTTTTTAAAAAATTGTGAATAATATTTTGTGCACCGTAACCAAAAATTAAAGTATAATTTCACCGAGTGAGTGAGGAACGAGCAGCGGACTAGAGTCAGAGCAGCAAAAGGTACAAAAAGGAGAATAGGGCTTTCCGGATTACCAAATTAGGGAACAACAACAAAATTACATTTGTATAGCGCCTTTCCTGTCGGGAGGACGTCCCAAGGCGCTGGACAATCAGTTTTTCAGACCCGAGTTGGGGGTTGGGATCGGGGAGGGTGGGATGGGGGAAGGAGGGTGACTGAAGGCATGGTTGAAGAAGAGGATCTTGAGATGGGTCTTGAGAGGGCGAGATGGAGGCACTGTGGGATGAAATTCCAGAGGGTGGGGGCAAAGTGACAGAAGGCCCACCCGCCAATGGTGGGACGGGCAAGGTGAAGCAGCTCACTGAGCGGAGGAAGTGGGCAGGCTGGTATGGGGTTAGAAGGTCACAGAGGTATGGGAGAGCAAGACCATGGAGGGCTTTGATGATGAGGACCAGGATCTTGAACTATATTCCCTGTGTGATGGGAAGCCAGTGAAATCGGGCGAGGATGGGGATGATGGGGTCGCAGAGCCTGGTGCAGGAGATGACACAGGCTTCAGAGTTCCAGATGACCTGCAGCCTATGGAGGAAGGAGTTGGGGAGGTCGACAAACAGGGAGTTGGATACTGGGAGCTGGTGGATATGTGGATGTGTACATGTGTGCTGAAGAGATGTAAACTAAACTGCCCAACAATATGTTGAATAGATCATCTTGAATTAAAGTTCCTTAGACAACTGTTCCTTAGACAATAATGCTTCTCAGTAGCTGTTTCACCTGATTTGCTGCATTGCCTCCTGTGTTAGCCTGCGCTCTGGTGGACCAGAAAACCCGAACTCTGCTCGAATTTGCTTCAACTTAATCGCTTTCCGTCTCCGTCTCTCAGCTCTGCAAATGGAGAAAGAAAATACAATGACAGTTGGAATGATCCATCAGGAGGATGTTTCAATGTACTTCACAGGATTTACTGTAGAGTATACTGACTGTGTATTTTGCACTGCAAAAGGACGTCAAAGTCATGGAAAGGGTACAACAGAGGTTCCCTTGGATACTAGGGAATTATAGTTATATGGGCAGCCTAGAAAAATTGGCTGTTTTCACTGGGACAGGGTAGGTTTAGGAGGGGGGGAGGGGGAGATCTAATAGAGATCTTCAAAATGCTCAAAGGTTTTGCGAAGATAAAGATTACACTTACAAAATACAGTCACTACACTTTACAGTTAAATCCCGTGAAGCGCTTTGAGGTGTCCTCCCAAATATGAAAGGCACCGAAGGATTGTTATTTCCTATTAGTTGGATTAGAAAGCGGGTTATCCCCAGTGAATGAGCTCGGACTATCCGAGACGTAGGTACCATCCGCGAAGGGAAGACAGGATCAGGGCTCAGTGCCTTGGGACGTCCTCCAGTCGTGAAAGGAACGATACAAATGCAATTTGTTATTGTCGAACAGCCATCAGTCTGAGAACCCGGGCAGCTACCGGAGGGCGGGCGGGGAACTGTGGTCCTGAGTGTGAGTCAGTGCCTTCAGGAGAGAGGGAGAAGTCACTGTCAGGTTTGAGGCTCTCACTCCCCGTTCATAATGTATTGAATTCAACCGCATTATTTGCCGCTTTACCTCATCAGCTCATCCTCCAGCTCCGCTTCTTTGTCCTCCGGCTCGTCCTGCCACTCTCTGCCGCTCAAAGCCCGACTCTGAGCCCAGCCCCGCGGGGAGGTTAAGAGCGAGGCCTGGCACAGGGCCCTGAGGCCCAGCCTCGCCGCCCGGAGCCCCTCAGAGAGCGGAGCCACCGCCAGCGCTCGAGAAAACGCCATCTCCCTCCCCTTTACCCGGTCCCACCCTGTATCCAGCATCACCGGACACAATCAACCTGGCTTTTGGTTCCGAGGTACAAATGTTCCCACCAGGTGTCGCAAAGGCAGTGCAAGTGCAGGTGCGTCGGACCTTCGAAAGACCAAGGCAGCCAACACTTCTAACGAGAGACCCCGTCAAACAGGCTCTCACACAGTAGTGAAACAGGCCCCAGAGGAACGACCTCCAACGGTCAGCAAACTATATACATGACTATATGCAGGACATGACTTGTCAAGCCACTGCCTGGTGGTGGAAGGCGAACTAGATGGACTTTGGTCTTTCTCCCGAGCAAATTCTTATATATGTTCTTAAGTGCAAAGCGGACCGGGCAGAAGCAACCGCTGGCCTCTCAACGCCGCTCTGTGACTCAGGTCTGGCAGTGAAGACCTTGGTCTATAGGAAGTGACTGCAAAATAATAATAATAATAATAATCCTTGCATTTGATATAGCGCTTTTCACGTCGGGAGGACGTCCCAAAGCGCTTCACAGAACACACTGTCAAGTGAATTGACTGTATATTTGTGGGCGAACGCGGCAGCCAATTGCGCACAGCAATGTCCCACAAACAGTCGTAGATTGAAAACGACACAGCTGGGTGTCAAACAGAATGCTCCCAGACTGCATGGGCTGAATGGCTTCGCTTGTTATAATACAGATTTCCATGTTTATTGCATCTGACTTTGAAAGATCCAGTTTTTAAGACAAACGTTTCTTCCCCACAATGGTGTTTAGCTTTACCATCCCTGAATTCCTCCGCCTCGCCCCCTCCCCCTCGCCTCTTTCGAGGTCCATTTCAAGACTTTTCTCTTTGACTATGCCTTCCACACTCCTACCAACCCTCTTGATTCTAACCCCCAAGTTGGGGGCAAACCCATAACTACCCAGCGCCTTGGGATGTATTTCCAACATGAAAAGTGCAGTATAAATGTAATTTATTGTAGTTTTGCTCACCAATCCATACATTGGAGGTAATATCTACTCTAGGCAGATGTATAGAAAGATATGTGGGCATGTAGGTAAATAGACACACACACACAATAATTTCAGGAATATGTCACAAAAGATCTCACAAACAAACGAATTTCACGTCAAATAATTTATTAATAATTTGATGTGCAAAAATATCTCAAATATTGGAAGGTATAAAATGACTAAAACAGCATTCCCAGCATTCCCAGATCGCTGGAGATTCCTGTATCTAACACAAACCCTGATACGAGGTACAGGCGACAAGACTCTGCAGTCTGTGGAATTGACTGTACTCTGTGCTGCCCAATTTCAAAATGGTACCAGCATCGCCCGCAATCACAATACTAGTTCTGCATAGCACAACTTAGCAGTTAGTGTAGGCATTTCACAGGTTCAAGGGTGACAAGGACCCCTTTTACATAACTTCTTACAACAATGACAATGCTCTACCACCAGTCAGTTAAATTTGTATATTTGGGGGAAAAAATGTATGTGTAAAATAAAGGGTTTGAGAATGAATATTTCCTCACCTTTTCACCCAGTTTCAGCATCAAAGACTCACTGATGGGTGCAGCATAGGACAAATACAGACTTAGGCTCTCTCTACTCTGCCTCAAATCTACTTTGGAACTCTATTCCTTACTGCACGAGTGAACAATCTTCCATTTTGCATCGAACATCCTTGAGACCACCACAAGTAAGTTTAACTAAGTTTTATTTTATTATTTTATTAAAGCCAAATTATGGACAGCTTTGTAACTTGGACTTTCACCCATTGAGAATTGGGTTCACTTCTAAAATGAATTATGCTTAGAGCCAGTAAAGGAAAATTTTCACCCCCATCAGTGTGGACTGGATTCAATAGAAATCCCAGAAAAAGTATGCCAACCCAATCCATCACCTATCTCCTTCCCTATATTGTTAAGAATGCCACATGCATGCAGGTTGTGTAATCGAGCATTGTTGCTTGGGAAGCAAGTTACTAAAGCTGTGGCCAGATAGATCCAATAAAGAGGCAAAGAGAAGAAAGGAAAAACAATGTAAAAACTAAATAAGAAATGCTCTTTCAGGTCCCCATTGACAGCAGTCTCCATTAAACATAAATATGCCCTTTGGTTCGCATGCAAATCCTAAGCTTTCTTAAGATCACTTCGAATGAATGTTGCTGGGATTTGAACCCAGAACATTGTGGTCCAGAGTGCAGTGTTCAACTGACTGAGCTCATCAACCCAACCCGACCAGAAAGAGAAGAAAAATCAAAATAAATAGAAGAAATTAAAATAATGACCAAACAGGTACATGAAATATAAAGTAAACTTCAATATTGACAGACTGTACTCTTTCCCCATACACCATGCATTCCCTTAAATATCAAATCACATTGGCTCCAAATATATGTTCAGATCAATTATATCCATACTTTGCTAGGGGCTTTCTCACTTGGATGTATTCAGAAAAAAAATGATAAATATATGAAAAAAATCAGTCTACAGCAGTGGTTCTCATTGTGCAGCCCAAGGGCCATTGTGATCCTCTCCCCATCACCTGTGGCCCTCCGCAAACTTGCTGCTCCATGTGCATCTTAGCCTCCATTCAAGGCCTGCCTATGGGATGTTGAGCGAACTGGGATTCAATGCTGTTCCCTCTCCTTTTCTTGCTCTCCTGCAAAGGGAAGGGAATGCCATTAGGAGACAGGGCTATCCCAGCTTCCATACAGCAAGTGAAGGACCCTATTCAACTAGAATTATTGATCCTACAGTTTTCACCCTCCCCTAATTCTCGCGGATTCACATTTATCCTCCACTTTCTAATTGTCTCGCATCTCTAGTGGGTAATTGCTGGCAAAAACCCACATCCTGTTGCTCTGTGGTGACGGGGTGTTGCAACATTACTGAGAGTAGCTGTCAAGCAAGTACACTGTGTACACAAGTACAAGCAAGTAGACTGTGGCCCTTGACAGAGAGTCAATAACACTGGTCTGCAAGAAAAGTCTGATTGTAATCTGGGAAGGCTGGTAATGCACACGTGAATGAGAAGTCTCAGTGAGGCAGAGTTAACAGGGTTTTAATCAATGCAAGGTCGGTTTACAGTTTTGATCGGGTGAGAGCTAGCCCAGCAGGAATCCATACATCATCAATATACTCTAATGAGTCTCGGAGAGATGATCAGCAATGACAAGAAGAAATACTTTTGTTACACAAGGTAAAAAACATATCATTTCCATTTATTTGGCTTATTTTGCTCACTGTTTAGAAAAGGCTTCGTGAACTTTTCTCAACAAACAAGACAAAGTGCCCATTGCTCGTCAGGTTTGGGTCATTTTTATAGTTTTATAGCACAAGCTTGATTGTCTATCGAGGAATTCTCTGACTGAAGACTTGAAAGGGAATCTGAGATAGTCCACTGCAATGGATCAATTCAATCTTCTGACATAAAAGAATAGGTGAAATTGGTTATTAAATTACTCCCAAGTAAAATGATAATAATCATTCTACAATTGTAGATCAAGCATTAAGTACCCTGTTCCCTCCTGCTCACCCAATTATTCTACTTCCCCACTGAAGGAAGTGGCATGCTGCTGATTAGGTTTGCAGATACTCCTCACTCTCCACGTGCTCAACAGCTGTTCTCATGTGGGAGTGTGGACAACAAATGCCATCAGGCTGTTTAACCTGTGAAGGCAGTACAGCTGAGCTAGATGTCCTGATATATGGACTTTCCAGCAAGAAATGAAGCACTGGATAGAGAATATTAGAAACAATCAGGATACAAGCACCACTCTCTGTGGGAGTTCATACAACACACCACCAAATACAGACAATACTGGACCCTTTCATTGTTTTTTTATACAATTTTTTTTGTCCAGCCCCAACTTCTACCTAGCATTCCTCTGTTGTCTTAGTCTAATTAGAAGGTTTCAATTCCAAAATCGCTTAAAACTTTCTGAAAGTCAACAATACTATAGGGAGACTGCTATCTACCTTTTTTGGAACACCATCAAAGAAATCAAGGACATCATCCTCCCTTCTAAACCCAAGTAGACATAAATAAATGCCTGCTGTATACCTACTACCACAGCCTGTTCCTTGGCATAGATTCCATTATTTGTGTATCACTGACAATGGACTAACAAACCTGTAATTGTCTGTCTTTTTTCCTGCGATATCTTGGCAGTGCTTCAGAGAGACAGCTGATGCCCCAGATATTTACACTCATAGCCTAAGAGAATAGGTCTAGATTTACCTGAGGTCAGATTGAAGCACATTAAGTATGTTCGCTCGGTTTGACAAATTGGATCGTTGATTCATGGGGGCTCGGGCTGAGACTACAGTAAGTCCATGGGTTACAGGGATGCCTGCATTACTCTTCATGTTTGGCAGGCTGGAGGCCGTGCCTGGATTAGTCAGACGTGCAGTAACTGGGTTTCCAGGGTTGCTGAGGTTGTTCATGGAACTTGTAAACATGTTGCCACTTCGATTTGGTCTCACTTCCTGCACTGAATTGTCTGTATGAGCACACAACACAATACAGTAAATGGATTCCAGACCAAAAAAACACAAGTATGTACACATATAATGTTCTTCAGTATTTATCCCACCCTCTAATTTCCAGATCACGGGTTCTGGATTCCAATAAGCAGTTTGGCAGTCTGGATATAAGATGAATTGTGTTAAATCCAGTGCCACCCATGGGGTTCACACAGCAACCTGGAATTACTCTTCAGCCCTGTTGGTTAAATTAAAGTTTTCAAAGTTAGGAATCTGATCTGTCCTCCTCTCCCGAACCAATGTCTCAACAACAATAAATTATATTTATCTAGAGCTTTTCACGTTGGGAGGATGTCCTAAGGCGCTGGACAATGAGGGGTCTGCACCCAGACTGTGGTTTGGGATCAGAGGGGGATGGAGTGCAAGGGGGGTGGAGGAAGGGACCGAAGACACAGTGGAAATAGATCAGAATCTCCCCCTTTCCCTCCCACCTTCAATTCCAAAAGGATCTCTTAGAATATTCAGTTCCAATTTGACAGTTAACACCAGAATAGGCTTAATGGCCTCCTCTGGTGTAATTTCTAAGATTGCATGATTTTCTCAACATTAATGAATTTACTTTTGGCACTTAACGAACGAGGACAGACTCCAGCTCCACTCAATCTTCCCTCTGGTGAACCATTCGCTTTCACGGTGACAACAGATTCATTCCAACCAACAGGATTGTGACTTCCTGACCACATCACACTTTTTCGCATGGGGAAGCGGTACTGAAAACGATGTGGTGGTAGCCCCATTCCGAGACTTGGGTTTCCCATACTTCCAAGGTGCACTGGAGGTTGTCCTTGGGGTCCCAGAAGTGTGGACCAGTTTATTGTAGGAGGGTTCAGGATTCCCAATTCTGACGAAGGATTCTTTCCCACAGAAGACAATGGGATACCAGATGCTGGTCCCTCATACTCCTGACTACAAGCTTGTTTGATGAAGGTTGGGTAATTAACTGACTGGAAAGAGAAGAGAACAAAGCGAGAGATTACAGGGGTGAGGTTTAGTTTGGTTTAATCTGTGACATATACCTCTGATGCCATTCTGCTGACTTTTAAATTAGCCTCTGTTTCTAAAATAACTGATCTTGTTTGAAAATTCCATGTGTTTTCTGCCGAAGACAGCTCAATTCAATGCAAACACTGTTAGTGTTGCAGTACGAACTTTCTTTCACACACATTTTACACCTGATCTTAAGATATAGTTACACCAAAATAAAACAGTTCTATCTAGAAACACAATTCTTATTATCTTAAGTTTATTCCCTCTCCTTACTGACTGTTAACTAGTGGAAATAATTTGTAACTATTTATCCTATCATAACCTTTCATTACCCTGAAGACCTCTATTAATTCACCTATTAATTAACTCAATTAACACTAATTTCTCAAATCTCCCTTCATAACTGAAATCCCACATTCCTCGTAATCTGCTCACTTTCTCTTTGTAAAACTCCACATTTAAAATAACAATTTAGATGAGATGGTTCTGGAAGTGTGTAATAAGGTCACTTTCAAAAAAAATTTTTTTGCTACCTTTCAGCTCTTGCCTGAAGTAGGACTTCATTGACACTGTGTGAATGTAGACAATGACTGATGGTGGTATATGATAGTGGGGGGTAGAGAGGCACATTACACATAAAAAATGAGAGGTCCCATAGGACACTCGGTGTCTCTACTACCTCAGTCAAAAACAGTGCCAAAGACAAGGGGAGAGAATTGAGGCAAAAAAGTATTACACGCTGATTTTTTGGATCAGTGCTCTTCATACAAATCAGACTAATAGTCTGTGCTGGTATTTTTCTCCATATGAGCCACATAACGTAATCTCTTGCTCACATCAATATTTCAGATATGTAATCCCGTTTTAAAAGATTTCACCAGTAAAAAGATAATAATTGTGCAAGTGTCAGTCTGGCTCAATTTGTCACCCTCTCGCCTCTGGATCAGATGGTTGTGGGATCAAGACCTTCATTCGACCTTTAAGTGAACAATCCAATGCAGTACAGGAGGAACACTGTATTGTCGGAGGTGCTATCCTTCAGATGAGACAAACCAAAGTTCCATCCGCTTGTTCAGGTGGTGTTAAAGATCCCATGACACTATTAGAAAAAGAGAAGGGAGTATCTCCCAGTGTCCCAACCAAACAATCTTCCATATAAAATTGATCATTCACTTCATGGCTGTTTGTGAGGGCAAAGCCATGTGCAAAATTTCTGGCATGTTCAACTACGAATACGCATGTGGAGCCCATTGCAACGTTTCTACATATAGGTGCTATAAAAATGCAAGGATTATTATTTACTCACTTTATTTGAAGCACCTCCATAAAATAGGTGCTCCTGTGGTGGATTGCTGTTAACACCAGAGCTGTTCTGTAATAACCGGTAAACTTGTTCAATGATTCCCAATGTACGCAAAAGATTTTCTCGCTGCATTAATCCACTGACTCGCTCCAATTCCTCCTCTTCTATGATATCCAGTGGCTTCATAATATCAATAGATTCTGCCAACATCTGCAACAGGAGGATGCTTCAGTTAGCAAAAGCAGCCGGAAACCAATAACTGTCCCATGGAAAACATTGAATCCAAGATTTGAGGGATCAATACACTTTAAACAAAAAAAGATTAAAAGGCAATGAAATTGTCTTTGAATTCTTCTCTCAGACATTAGTCTCATCCTTAAAAAATCTGTGTTTGAAACAATAACAACTTGCACTTATATACCACCCTTTACATAGGGTAGAGCCCAGAGTGCTTGAATCTAGCCTTAGGCAATAGAGGAGAACAAAACAACTCGACAAGACAGTGAAATCCTGCTTTTAAATCTGTAACTTTTTTCTGACTGGTACAAAATGACTAGAATACCTGGCAAATAAGTAATCTTGCAAAACATACATTAGATTTTTTTCCTGCAGTTGTGTACTCCCACCAAGATGGGTGGAGCTGTGGGTGGGGTGGGGGGTTGGTGAAGAAAGTGTTGCTGAAGGTTAACACAACAATACCTGTAAAATGCGACTTCCCATATAGCACAACAAGTTTATCAGTGAGTAGCTGAATTCCATAAACTGAGAAAGTCATACGTCCAATACTTGATCTGTGCCAAGTTAGCTGATCTCAGCCTGCGGTGCAGCAATTGGGCTATAACTGATCTCAGTATTTGTTCATTCTCAGATTATGGAGGGGGAAACCACTAGATTTCTTAGTTCTTCTCCTCCATCCTACAATGGGGTGAGTTTTTTCAGGCTTCCAGTCTGTATGGTTCAGCCACTCACTGGATAAATTCACTACACCATCAGAAGAGCCACATTTTATGATCTGAAAGTAAACATACAGTGATCCAATCTATGACACACGAGCATAAAGTTCTACAAATGTTGAATATTAATGCATTCCTTTCTAGACTTGTTGTTAGTGTATTATACGTAAGTGTTGTGAAAGTACGAAATGGTACTCGTGTCTTTACATTCCTGACTGATGCGCACGGTTTGCGGTAGAGGGCTCTCCGGGTGAGCGACTGCAGTGGTGGCCTTTCCCCTGCCGACTCCCCCTGCAAGCTGCTGTCCTTCAATCGCCTGCTTTTCGCCAAGGACTCTTTTGGTTCATTTTTCAATCGGATCTCCTCCAACTGTTGCCTGCAGCACATGTAGTTAATTGGTCGTTATTCAGTATTTTCTATCAATGCCTTGCATCCTACACATTGTGTGTGTGTGTTAACATATTTTAATATCTAGTGCAATATCTTATACTGGTTTTGATTGTGATCACCAAGGGGGAGGCAGCCATATTAATGTTCAGAAAAAGAATGATTTCTTAATTCAGGCATCCATCATTGGTATTCGGTACCCCTAAGTAAAACCCAGGTTAGAATAAAGCTCCCTTTACAGGACCTAATCAGCACATATTAGAAACAGATTAGAAACTCATTGAAAGGTCATATTCTTTGTTTCTGTCTTAGCAGTGAAGTAAAGGACGTTCACTTTCTCTGACCGGCAACTGTTTCCAGAGAGTGAACATGGGATGTGTCAAAGCTGTGGTGTGTGCAAAGCTAGCCTATTATCCAAAATGTTGATTAAGAGGTCTTGAGAAGTGTTAGAGTTCAGACCTGGCACACTCCTCCCTCGCTTTGGAAGCCACTGTCTCCTGAAAAAGGGACCCACTGTGTTTGAAGAAAAGGTCATATTTGTCAGAGTCTGGTTGCGGGTATATTCTGCGGAATCCACCCAAGTGCTTCATCCTCATACTTCTCTGACTGCTGAAGCCAGACCGCCTGGTTGTTTTCATTCTGCTCCCGCCTATGGAGGAAAGAGATCCAGAGTTGAATGATCTGTTGTGGGATTATTTCTGTTGCATTACAGAAAAAGTTTTCAAGTTAAAGACCAATAACAGCATTAAGAGAGGGCCTTGAGACAAGAAAAGGTTTGGTTTTAACAGATAAACTTTTGTTATATTCGGTGGTGTGCAGAAAGTTGAATGGTGATCTGACTGAGGAGTTCAAACCGTCTAGGAATTAATCCAGAACCACCAGACTTCAGAGTGGGACCACATTCTTTAACACTCATTGATAATTTAGGAAAGTTACCAAATAGTTATACTGTATATTGGATACAATAATTTGTACCTCAATTCACGAGATTTGTGGCGATGCAACAACCGTTCCTGTATCCTCCGCCTGTCTTCCTCAATCACCTTTCGCTTGTCACAAGCTCCGAGGTTTATCAAGCAAATTGTGTCATACAGCAAATTGTCCTTCACCTCTCGATCCAGCTTGGAGTCTGTAGTAAAGCTGGGCGAGTGGTTTACCTGCAAAACAATGGGCAGATTACAGAATCTGCAGGGATATACAGTTTCGTAGTCACTGTACACATCACATTCATTTTAATTATCATGCAATCTACAATAACAACCTGCCCTAATCCAGCGCCTTTCCTATAGGATGACAAACTTGACTATCCTAATTATTGATTGTGTCCAATAATACAAACCTCATGACCCAACTCCACCATAGGTGGCTGTTGAAGAGAACTCCACAACACATTTAAAATGCAAATGAATAAATATACCAGGAAAACATTATTAAAGAGTGTGAGAAACAAAGCAGGGAAATGGGTTTGAGTAGATAGTTAGCATAATGTGCCAGCCTGGATCAGCTGATAATAATAATATGAATCATAAGGTTATGAATTCAAGCCCCACATTGGGACTCGTGTGCTGCATTGTCGGAGATCCCATTCTTCCAATGAGATGTTAAATTAAGGTCATGTCTGCCTGTTCAGGTGGATGTTAAAGATCCAATGACAAAATCCAAAGGGAAGGGAGGTTCTCCCTCCAGCTAACGTTGGCCATTCACTTCATGGCTGTTTGTGGTACATTAGAGAGGGGAAAATCAATCAGGGTTCATGCTCTTGAATGCTATTTCAAAGCCTGGAATTAGTTTAGGATTAGGCTTGGCTGCCACATTTAACTGAGGTTATCAGTGAGCAACCATCACCAACCCCCCACCACCCCCAATCTGCACTCCATCCTGAACGTCTGCTTTTCAGGAGAGAAATAAAGACAATCGAAGAAAATTTGAGAGGATAAACTATTCCCTGCAACATTAGAACATAAACTCAGCACAATTTTAATTGAAATTATTTTTTGATTTATTGTAACAATGAAATATAACCAACATACGCTTTACATGGCACCTTTCATGTAGAAGAATGTCTTGCAGCACTTTACATGGGTGATGTGGGACCCACAACAAGTTGGTACAAAAAGCGGGTAGAGGGAAGGTGACCAAAAGCACAGTTGAAGAAGTAGGTTTTTAAGCGTTTAAGATAGGTACAGAGAGAGTGAGGTGGAAGGAAGTGCACAAGGTTGCTGAGTTAGTTGATTATGGATGGGGAAGGGCCTGGAGGGATTCGACAACACACTTGAAGATTTCATAACACTTGAGTTCATTCAAAATTGATTTGAATTGATTCTCCTGATTCTTCAATCCTCTTTGGCCTATTCAGTTATGTTCCTTATTTAGTCTGCATTTCTTTGCATGTCTTCAGCTTCTGCCTTAATACCTTTATTATTAATCATACCTCATTCATTATTCACCTACCTCCAGGAGCCATGGCTTCAGATTGCGGTCCACTAGAACATCAAATCCTAAGATCTCAAAGCAAGCGCTGCCAGCAGTGTGACTGGGAAAACAAGTCCGGTAACTGTGCTTTAAGATTGGATAAGCAGAGATCAGCGTTTTAATGATAACATCTTCAATGTCTGCCCAAACCTTGGCATGGTCATACCCATTTTCATCCAGCCACGTGTTGAATGTGGACAGTTTTCTATAATGGATAGAACAGAGTATGAATGGATAATTACAGCCATTTAGAATAGGGATAGAAAGATAGATATTGTTTTACTGTTTTATTGCATTCTGTGCCACTGAATCCATTTTTATATCATGGATCCAGTGGCACAGAATGCAATACTGAAGTCTAGGCACTGCCAAACAATATTGTATTGTTTAGTGTTACTTTTTGATCTGTAGACTTTGCCACTGTATTTTGGAAGATAAGTATCATGGTTCGTACTTACTTATGTGGTGGTGATAATGTCAATGCATAAGTGAAAAGGTTGAAGGTACTGTGTAAATGGTGGGGATGAAGTCTTCATGTAAATGGTTAGGATGAAGTTTTTGCCATAAGTAGTGGATATGAAGTTATTGTGCAATTGGCAGGAATGAAGGAATGGGCTGATGAATTCTAGGTTTACGATCAAATTTGCAAGTTAAAGCCATTAAAATGTACCTTTTGCTGCTGCTGTCACCATCTCTAACAAAGTTCTTGCTGTGCTTGTTGATAGCGTAGTTTGTCAAGTGCATGCAAACATCATCCTTAACAATAGTGAAAGACTTTAGTGGTTTGGACATGGGTAACAACTCACTACCATAAAGAATACAATAGCAGATGCTTTAAATACCAGCTCTGGAGAGATAAAGAGAGATAAACTGCAGTAACAACACTAGCCAAAACAAACCATTAATCATTCTCATCTGATCTTCTACTTGAAAGCCATCTATCTGCAAATAGTGTCAGTTGCTATCTTCATATTACAAGATTACAAAGAATATACAGCACACAGCCCAATCGGTCCCTGTTGGTGTTTATACATGAGTCTCCACCCATTCCTTACTCCCTCCCATAATCTTTTATTCATTGTACCACTACCGGGCAAAATCCTGTTCTGCAACAGCGGATGAGACAATGGGCTGCCTCCAGGATATATTTGCAAGCTTCCCAATCGCAACTAGTGGGTAAAAAATACACCATGGGATGTGATACTGAATCATACAGATCAAGACAGAGCATTAATAATAGCAATGGAGAACAATAATTGGCCTCTGGCAGCTGGGCTAGAAATTGGAAGGAGGTGGGTGAAAATAGTCAAGGCTCCTACTCAAACATTGCCAAGGATCAACATAAGGTGAGTTATTGGCGGGAATTCAGTGCTCCTGGAATTTAAATCAGCATAAGTCTGAAATTTCATAGAATTGTAGTATATTACAACACATAGAGAAGCTGTTTACCCCAATTGGGCTAGTATTTTTCTCTGAGCCAATCTATTCATATTCTCCTGCTCATTCCCCACTCTTTAATATTTCTTCTCTTCAATTCTTTTTTAAAAAGAATACCTCAACTACAGCTCATAGCACAGAATTACACACGCTCCCCACCCTCAGGTAGAGGGACAGCAAAAGTAAGGAGAAAAGAGAAATCAAAGATTGCTGAACTCACATTCATGACTATTATTCAGTTAATTGAACAAAATCTTTAGAATGTATGAAACTGGACAATGGATCCATTAATAACAGCGCTAATACCTACCAAGTTGCTGCTGCAAGGTTCACTGTACTTCGTTGTTGCAAACCGGGCCAGCCCTTCATTATAAACAAATATTCGATAAGGGTCACAGGATGTGAGCAAGACATAGACACGGAGGTCAAATTTGAAGCCATCTATAATGAAAGGCTGTGAAGAGAAAATTAATAATAATAATCTTGCATTTGATATAGAGCCTTATCATGTCGTTGAAGGGTGAGCTAGCAGTGCAGAGGACAGTTCGGGGTTCTCTAACTAAAACTTTACTTCCAGGAATTCAATTTAAAGATGACAGAATTAGAACACAAGTATTCAGATTGCTTCAAACCCCTTTTCAACGTATATAGTATTTAAGCAATCCACAGCAACATTCTAAATTTGTCTTAAATAATTGTCAATATTGGAGTGCAAAATGCAATGTTTCATAAGAGATTAGATTTGATTGCACTCAGTTAAGAATCAATGGAATTTTAGTCTCAATTATCAATTGCTTTCAGATCTGAACACCTACACACACCTAACTTTGACACAATAGATCTTCAGATCACAGAAAATAGCATTTGTAAGAAAAGGATACTGGTTTAACTCAGTGGGTATCTTGTAAAACAGCACTCAAATGGTGCCTCTGGGAGCAATTATCCTTCCTCTACTATTGCTAAGCGGCCATCCTAGTTAAAAGCAAACAACTCTGAAACAAGGTTTCAGATCAAACCATTATCAGGGATTAGTTTCTTACCAAAGTCAGTATAGTAACTATCACAATGAAGAACCGTTGGAGACTTCGCCCCATTATAGATAGGGAAGATCTGACGTTGGGTAGGGGAGTAAAGGTTGCAGTTACCTTGCAGATGTACTGCTGACAGATCATCCTTTCTCCATTTTTAATCTCCTTTGGATTTTTCGTAATGAAAATGCCACGGCCCTGACACCCGCAATCTGGTTTACAGATGTATGTTTTGTTCTTCTTGGTTCGACAGTAGGCCTGAAAATCCCCAAAACTGTACAGACAGTGTGGTCAAGGGCACATGTAGGAAACTCACCAATACATAATTTAGTAATTATTATTCCCGTGGGAACACAAGTGAACACCAATCACCGATTTTAATAAATCTAATGATCCCATTACCCGTTCCTTCAAACAACTCCAATTTTCCAACCAGCTAAAGCAAATTAACTCAACACTGTTATTGCGTTCCAAAATTGAGCTATTTACATAAATTCCCAAGCTATCAGTCACAATCCTCCACCTTTAATTGTTTATCCAATAACTGCTCACCAAGCTTCAATTAACCCACAACTTGGCCCTCCACTCAGTTACTTACTGTAACATCTATCTTCTACCGGAGTTTGGAGGATCATGTAACTATCAGCCTTAACTCCAACTGTTTTGCAATTTCGCCCACCACAATTTCCCAGCGCTTCACCCAATATTTATCCAGTCACTTCAATAATCCATCATGCATTCCAAATCGTCCTATATGCACAATATAATTTATAATATAATTTATACAAAATTCTACCTATGTAAAATAGAATCCATTAACTTCACTCAATCAGATACAGTCCCAGTACTTAAAGGAGAGGAATATTGTTGGTTTTCCATTTTGTACGTTAGAACTGCTGGTCAGAGATGACATGAGGTAGGATTCTGGAAGGTTGAGATCAAATGAACCAAAGGGCCATCTTCAACCAAACCTCTCTTCTGATAATGTGAACATTCAACTGACTGTCCAAATCTTTGATTGGCTATCACAATACTCAATTAGATATTCTGATCCCTGCATCATTTTGTCTCTATTAGGTCACTTACTAACTACCCAATACAACTGTTTGATGTGGTTTAAATTCAGTCCTAAAACTACTCACTCTGCAGGAAGACACCAGGTACGTGGGAAGATATTGTATTCCTTTGGGAAGAGTTTCAACATTCTGTTCATATTCCTGGCTAGAAGGTCCTTCCTACAAATCTCACTCATTCCCGGAAAATGGTTCATTTTCTGCAAAGCAAAAATAACACAAATAGTGTTGATTTTCCATTGTCTTAGTGACTAAATGCAGTGTATGATAGGATATTGATTCAAATAGATCAAAAAGTCCAAGTAAAGTTCCTGATCTGTGCTGAGCTAGCTAATTGCAGCTATGTGTAGTGGTTCTGCAATAACAAAAGCAACAAAATGACACTTGTATAGAACCTTTCACATCAGGAGAACATCCCAACATTGTGAGGCAGAGAGAGAGAAAAAGAACCATGGCTTCCTGCTTGTCATCCCAATCTAATATTCCTGATGAAAGCATGTATGTGGATGTCGTGAAGATCAGACTTTCTGTGATCCTTTCCTCCCTCCCCCCAGTTCAGTGCTTCTCTGCTGGAGGAGAGAGTGCATCAGTGCCTGAAGTTGATGCACCCATTGTGTAACTGAATGTCCTACCTGATTGTTCCCCCTTGTTAGTCGAATATTGCTGAGCTGAGATTAATTGTAGGCCCTGCTTCTGCATCATCTGATATCAGATACCTTAGCAAAGAGTTACACATTAAACTCTACGTTCTTTAACGGATCGTTAGATCATACCTAGGACTTTCCTGTTTGTACAGATCAGTTTCACACTCTGCCAATCCACTACAACAAAACCCTCTACTTCATTTCTTTTTCTCTTCCTCAATGCCATAATCCTAACCTGAAAACGCTTCATCTCCATGACTCGTTCATGAGATACAGAAGAGTCAGTCCAGTACAATATCCATTCCTCATCCTCCCCAACCTCCTTCAATCCACACCGTCGGGCTGTACGATGGACTGCAACAAGTACATGGCAGAGTAACCAAGACAGAGAGAGAGAGAGAGACACACACACACACGTGCAAACACAGAGAAAGCAAATAAAAAAATAAAACTGGAAAATACACAGAAAAGAGAAGTGAAGAAAAAAAATTGAAAGAAGCAGTTGGCAAGAGTAGGATTGGCAGACAGAGAATGAGAAATAAGGAGGAACCATAACTTGCCCTGATACAGTATAAGCAACTTTCACATAGTATACACCAAAAAGTGCTTTACAAAATAAATTACCAAGCAAGGTGGGATCATGAGGTGGGGAGGGGGGAGAGGAGGATTTGAGGATGTTGATATAGTCAAAGAGCTAGGTTTAAAGAGTTTTAAAGGCAAGTTGAGAGGGCAGAAAGAAGAAAGAATGACACAAATTTGGAGATAATGTGGCATGAAAGGAAGAAAGAACAATAGAAGTAAACAAGGAACAGTGTTCCATTTTCCAGTACAAACATCCCTCACCTTAGTAAGCAAATATTTCACTAAAAAGTTTTTAAAAAGGAAGTGCTGAAACCTTTTTTGGGATTCAACTACTTTAAAAAGAGTCAAAAACAGTTAGTGACTGTTCTCAGTGTGACCAATCATAGAAACCAGCATATTCACAGGTTCAATCCCAAGTCTGTGCTTTTTTTGTATCTCAGGTGGCACAGAGCCTTGCTAATTGTCATTAGCTTCTTAGGGAAAATATTAGCCAGGGTTCTTGCATCTGACTGAAATTCTACATGATGTCTACATGAGTAGGATGTCAGATAAGGACATGATTAGGTTTGTCTGTGGTATCTCTGACAGCCAGGCAGCATTCTGCTCAATGATAACACATGAAAACTAGACACTCTAGTCTGAGTTTAGATTATGAGCTCAAGTTCCAACTTGGGGCTTAAACTCACAACTTTCTAAGGCAAATACCAATTCAGCCAATGCGACATGGGGAAAATAGGTTGGGGAAAAAAATAAAAATTGTGAATTGTTACATCAACTAATTTTTACAGTGCCACACGCAGTGAGTTGCTTTGACCTGTTATGTAGGCAAATGCGGTAGCTAATCTCCCACAAATATGTGCCACATACAGCAATGAGACGAGCAAATGCATCAAATCTGATTTTGGTGTTGTTCTGAGTAACACCCTTGCTTCTGGTCCCATTAACTTCATCATATCATTACTTACCACTGTCATATTTGCAATTTATTAAATTTATTCCCAGCCACCTGCAAGAGAGGAAAAGCTGAGAAGAAATACAGAGCAGTTTGCTAATTTCAGTAAAACAGATATTAAGACATTTTCACACACAAACCTGGTTACTGGTGAGCCTGCAGGTTCTGCTTTCCATCTCACATATTTAACCACTGATTTTGACCATGTAAATCTCAATAAAATATAGGTTGCTTGATACAGTAAAAAACAAAACTATAGGCTTTAATATGCTCAAATAAATTTCCCTGCATCCTTCAATTTTTCTCCTGCTGGGGTACCATGCAGACAGATGCCAGACAGATCCCTCTGGTACCTTAATCAACTGGTTAGATTTCATAGGCAGTACTGTTTTTAACTCTGACCGGAGGAGGGGGAGGGTAGCATACTAACCTGAAGCCAACTGTAGCCCTAACTTCTGCCCAGCTGAGATCAGCTAAGTCAGTGTGGATCAAAGATAGAACCTGGTTCCTCTCTAGTTCACACGGGTCAATTTCACACAGTACTTTACCAATGTGGGTTATTGATTCCAAAGTACTTGGAAAGCGACCAGCTTCTGGACCTTTGCTAATATTATGCTGGAGTTAGCTGCTACTCGGAGAGGTGGCTGGTGTGTGGAGGGGGGAAAGAATGGAGGATGGTTCATCATGCCATTCCCTGATCCTCCCTCAAATCCTGTGCAAGTGTGATGCACATTAATGTTGGACTGTAGATACATAAATGATATTGTACTAGTGATGGTGCAGGTGTGAAAAGGCCATAAATATATTAGTCCTGTACGTTAGCCTGGTCTTACCTGCGTTTTCTCTTCTTTTTCTTCTTTTGTCCATCTGGCTCTTTGATGGGGGAGTCTTTTGCATTTCCCTCCACCCTGGATACTTTGAGCTCTAGTTTTATTTTCTCTTCTTCTCCCTTTGTCTGTTCGAGATCGTGAACCATATGCACTTCTCTGGTTGGTCCAGTGGTCCTCACTACATTCATTTCTTCCTGAGCAACCTCTGCCTCTTCCTCTGAGTAGTCACTCTCTTCCTCATTTTCTTCCTCTTCAGCTGAATCTTCCTCAGAATCGCTGCCACCTCCAGAAGCATACTTCATTCTGTTACAAATGCAAACATGCAAAATCTCGGGATGAGCAACCAATTTAGCTAGGAAGTGACAGTATCCAAAGTTCCCTACCACAGAGTACTATTCCGAATGCCCGATTGCTAGTTTGCTGCTGGAATGTGCTATGTGAATAGTCTGCCAAAACTCACAAACCAATAAAAAGACATTCAGGTTGTGTATCACAGGATGCATGTGGAACTGTATTCTAGTAAAAGAAAAACAATGCAAAGACCATCAGCATCGCAACTGCCTTCCGAGAAACTGAGACTCAGGATGGGTTAAAACAAATCAGCCAGAGTTGGCTGACACCTATGCACTGACCACCTCCTCCCCACATACTTCTCCAACACTCATTGTTGGATTCCAGCGTCATTGGAAAGTTTATAAATCAGATGAGGAAAAAATCAGACTTGGCTGTGATGCCTACTCCAAGTAACAGGGCATTATTCGAAAAGACAAAGGAGTTCCTCCCGGTGTCCTGGCCTACAATCCCTCAGTAAAATTGATTATTTACATCATGGCTGTTTGTAGGACATTGCGGTGTGCAAATTGGCTGCCGTGTTTGCCCGCAAACTGTACAGTGATTACACTTTGCAGTAGATCCTGTGAAATATAGTCAATTCACGTTACAGTATATTCTGTGAAGCGCTTTGAGACGTCTCGGAGACATGAAAAGCGCTATATCAAATGCAAGGTTTGTTATTATCATTAATACTACGTACTTTAAGCCGCCTCAAAGGCATAATATGGAGCTCTGTCAAATTGCAAGGATTATTTATGTTGTCAACACACTGGGGCCAATACTCACTGTCCAGGTTCACACATGAAGAATGGCCGCTTGGGCAAGCTACCGGACAAGACTCAGTGCTCATGGAACCGTACCCCTCACGAGTCAGCGCCTTCTGGGAGGGTGGGTGGGTGGGGGGGAGAGGAGAATTGTTTTTAAAGATAAAGCATAGGTTAATGTTTGGTAGCATTTGTAATGCCAGTCACATCCCCCCCCCACAGCCCCAACACCCCCCCCCCCCCTTTTAAAAAAAATAAAAACCTGCCAACTCAGGTCAGTCAGCGCCGTGTGTATCTCTGGGGGAGGAACCTGACCGCACAGTTTGACGAGGGGTGGTGTGGGGGTGGTGTGGGGGGGGGGGGGGGTCACTGTTCGTGTCACTCTTGAGTCACTTTGCGAACCCTGATCCCGGGTTTAGTCGCTGGTTGCCAAGGGCGCCATGTTGCTGTGGCGCGTTGCTATGCTGCTGGGGTCGGGCCCGCGGCCACAGCCCAAGGCCGGGGTGGCTTTACACACGGCTCTGTGGAGACTGGGATCATCCTCTGCTCGTGGCCCCCGCTCTGCCTTCCCCTCCTTTCTCTCCCGCTCTGCCTCTCTCCTCCTTCGCCGGTTTGCCTCCTTTACCTGACGTCCTGCCTCCGCCTCAGGGCCGCTCTCACTCTTCAGTCCCGGCCCGCACCGTAGCCATGGAAACCGGACGCGCCCCTTCTGATTGGCGCCAAACCTCGAGGCCTCATTGGCCGCCGGCCGGGCCGGCGCTGACTGGCTCCTTGGTGATGTCAGGCCGCCCCTGACTGGCCGACAGTCACCGCTGTTCTGATTGAACAATCCCGCCCTGGCCCTCATTGGCCCGGGGAGCGGCTGGGACCTGTCCCCGGGGCGAGTTGATCAACTGGGTCGGTGGCCCCCTTCGCCCACCACACACGTGCAGTCAATTGACTTTCTAGTATGTTCTATACTTTCTAGTACGTTCTAAGGCGCTGTGGCGTTGTCCTCCCGGTGTGAAAGGCGCTCTCCAAGTGTAATTTTGTGTTGCGTTTGGAGACGTCTCAGCCACGTGATAAGGCACCGCATCAGATGCAATATTGTATTAAGCTCGGGCTGGGCGGAGAAGCCTCTTCGGCCCTTACAATCTCATCCCTCCGGCACACCCGCCCCCGGCGGACCCACCATCGCCGCAGCGAGCTGTTTTGTCGTCGAGTCCAGTGCGCTGCTCTCTGTCACCTTTTCGGGCACCGGGTTCCAGAATATACTGTAAAGCGAACTGTCTATTTTGTGAGCGAAATGCAGCAGCCGCTTGCGCACAGTAGCCACCCACAAACAGTCGCGGATTGAAGTGACCCATTTATTATTTTTTTTTGAAGGAATTATTACCCCGAGAAAAGTGATCTGCCAATCGACTAACAACCGGGTTCCTACTTTCTGCTAGATAAAGAGAGGCACGTAGAATAAGGAAATTTGCCCAACATTTCGCCCTGCCAGGAATCGAATCCAGGTCTCTCGCTTGCAAGGCAAGTGCTCTAATCACTGAGCTACAGGTCTCCACAAATGCTCATTGTTGGAGGGGCTTTCTTTGGATGAGACATTAAACCTTTGTCTCATCTGCTCGTTCTTCAGATCCCATATGACAACTTGAATTTATATAGCACCTTTCATGCAGAGTAGTGTGTCTTTACTGGAAAGTGATTAATTGATTATTCACTTTGACTAAATTCCTGTGGTAAATTCCTACCTGTAAATCGGATACTGAGTTTGCCTAGAAAAAAATCAGTCACTGACTTAACAGGATTTATTGTATAATAATAAGGCATTTCTATATTAGTGTAACTAACAGTCAGATGTGCCGGCAACAAATAATAGAGCACTCGCCTCAAAAGCGATAAACCTGGGTTCGATTCCCGGCAGGGCAAAACCTTGGGCAAGTTTCCTTACTTGACACACCTGATAATAATCCCTCAAGAAAAGAAGCAATAATAAAATTGGTCACTTCAATCCACGACTGTTTGTGGGACACTTATGTGCGCAATTGGCTGCTGCGTTTCGCCCACAAATATACAGTCAATTCACTTTACAGTATATTCTGTACTTTGAGAAGTTTAGAAGAGGTGAAAAGTGCTATATCAAATGCAATGATTAATATTATTATGCTTTGAGAAGCTAAAATAATCTGAAGATTTAGTGGAGAATTTGGATGATGGGAATAAAGTGATTGCATACAGGACTCGGGGCAAAAGGCACTTTAATGCATAATAAAAAGGATCATCAACATTTGAAACAGATTTTAGACACAATGTATATTAAAGCATTTTGTTAACTCAGAAAACAGTTTGCAATACCATAATTATAACTCTAGAAATTCACAGTATCTCTGTACATTAGACATCAATTCAAAGTTTTTAGACAGACAGTACGAAATGTTAGAAACAGAAAGAAACTATTCTCTGCAGCCACAGCAGCTCAGTGATCAGATGTTGGATCTACTGGATTCCAGCTCAAGGTTACAACACAAGCTTAAAGGAACTGAAAAACAAGACAAAAATATATCAGCACCAGTGGAACAGCTCAATGCATTTCTTAAAAACTGCTTCCCTGTAGCTCTTCCGATGGTTCAGGTAAGTTTATCCAGGGCAGCAGAATGAGCCAATCAAACTGGAATGGTTTTGATCAGAGGTTTGTCTGTGCTGGTTTAGTTGACTTCAAGTGTTTATTCTTCAAGCATAAGCCTAAATCATGAATGTCAAGCAGCCTACATCACATCTGATTGTCCACTTTTCAAGCTGAATGCTCCCCTCCCAAAAAATCACCTTTCCTCCCCACTGTTATCCAAATTGAGTTCAACTAACTTAGCACCAACAGGAGGTGGAATCTGGGAACTCACTGACTGGCATGCCCTCAGTTGCCCCTGTGGTCAGTAAATTCACCAACTAAGCACCTATTGGGCTAACATTTTATGGATTTTTGTGTAAATTCACACTGAATGTTGTGAACTCAAAGCCTCCATGGCGAGACAGACTGTTTTTTTTGGTTACTGCTCTTTAGTGCTTTTCCACTTCCCTACCCTAACTGTGTGCAAGACAGCATTTTTCCATATGCTTTAGTGTCTCCTAGTACTGTGCAATTCAAGATTCAGCCTTGGGTTCCAATCATTGGCTGTCCCATCTTCCCAGAGCATTAAACTAAATATTTGTTAATGTACCAAAGGTAAACAGTGCAACAAAACAGCCTGGCCCTAGTTACACAAGGACCAGTTTATATTCCCTCATCATCCGAATGCAGCCCCAAATTTCTAGCTAATTGGCAACTCAACTCACTAATTTGAACATGGATAGCAAACCACTAATATTGTTATTGGTTTACTCGATTTTCTGTATTCTGAGTTGTAATTAACATTTGGTGTGCCAAGAATCCTTCTCTTATAAAGCTCCAGTTCACTGTTCCTACTCAGTTAATATCTTGCCACAAGCAGTACAGTGTTTTATTTAATTCTAATTAATGAAATACCCACAGTAGCTGCTTATTTGCGCTTTGTTTACCTCACAAAGTCCGGGGATCTGGAAATGACGTGCTGAAACTCCGAGAGATTCACTGTCCCATCCTTGTCAATATCAGATTCTTCCAAAATCTGGTAGAAAAAGTACAAAGTAATAAATGTCAATGGTACATCAGCAATAGATTCAGAATTCATAAGTTGTTTTATGCAAGTGTACACAACAGTAGATAAACAGGTAAGAGTGCCAACTAGTAACAGCCATATTTCACAGACTGCCACTCAGTCCAGGGAAATATCAAGTATTAACTCTGTAAAAGCGGCCCTTACATTTTGGATCAGCTGGCTCATTTCACTCTCCTCAAGTCTGGTATCAGGGGTGTCTCCTGTCAAGCAGTTCACCAACGTCTCCAAATCTCTTCTATCCAAAGTTCCATCATCATCAAAATCTGTAATGCAACCAGCACAGTAGGAGTTAATGTTACATTTTCAACCCAAACACCAAGGACAACCCCTCTCACAGAGTGAGAAACAGACTACTGCACGAGCCCAGTCTGAGACATGCTTACCGAATATGCGAAATGCATAGTGAGATTTAACCTCAAGAGTTGCTGATTCGCTAAAAGCACTGAGCATGTCCAAGAAATCCTCAAAAGACATACTGCCATCATGGTTGTTGGACGTTGAAAACACCAGGCAGATGCGATCTCTGAACGGATTAGCCTGTAATCAACAGAGCATGAATGTATTTATTGATAAATAATAGATAATTGGCAACATTACTCAGAGCTTGGTTGATCCTGGTTCCCAAAAGAAGATCACAAAGGGTGGAATTCTGTGGGACAACACGATGCATTCAGAAGGGTTCGACAATTGATTTTTTAAAAAATGCTTTGCAAATAATGCAGTTTACACATTGGTGTCACTTGCTCTGAGAAAACAGGGAGGAAAATTAATTGATCATTTCAGAAAGAAAGTCCAGAGAAGCAAAGCACTAGTACCTTCAACTCTGGCAAGTCAAAGATCCTGTCCATCCCAACCCGTGTACTTGAGAAGTCAACTGTGTGATCCTTTGGGAGCAACTCCGTGAACTTGCGATGGGCACTTTTTCAGCAAAACAAACAAACAAGCAAACAAAATTACATTTGTAAAGCGCCTTTCACATCGGGAGGACGTCCCAAGGCGCTGAAATAATAAGATAATAAAAGATATAATAGATGTTAATAAATGAACACTTGACAAGTGATCAGTATAAAACCAGCCTCATCAGTGAAAGTGTAAGATAATTGCTAATCCAGGGAAGGAACTAGACTAGTAGGTAGGTATCTCAGCCCCTTTCCCACTGCATTCAATCTGCTTTTCACTCCTTCATCTGAAAATGGTCGGTTGCTGGGGCAAGTTTCCACAGGCCTCTGCCACATCATCAAAGTGGTGCTTACGGTCACTTCCTCCCTTCCCTCAGCTTCAGGCTCTGCCACTGTTAAACGATCCAAGAACCTGCCCAGCATGAAGGGCACTATATAAATGCTATTTTTGTCACTCTTCACATATGTACCTACACAAGTATCAGCAGGCTATTCAACCATAATAAAAATGCCTCACCCTGTCTGTAATACATACGTCCTTTCTTGAATAGTAATCAGAAGCTTAGGTAATTTTCCCCTCCTTAAACCAGAGGCACGGAGGTCAATTACAGCCCAAACTGCTGAACCAGCTGAAGTTAGTAACTGAGGGGTTCGAACACGACCTTTTGGACTACAAGACTCACCTTGACAGCACCTTAACCAACTAAGCCAAGGAAGAGAACATGGGAATCTGCTCTAGTGCTGTTGCATCATTTGTTCACAATAACACAGAAGCCCACTGCACAACAGTCCAGGCCCACTGGTCTTTGCTGGAAGTAATTATCTATTCCATTTGGAAATAAAGTTAACAGTGCCATACTTACTGCAGAATCTCTTGCTTTGTTAAAAATGTCAGTTCCTAAAATAAAAAGTAAAAAATTGTGACAAGTTAGAATTTACATGTCCTGCTCTCAGCCACCCTTCCTGGCAACCTGTTCCTGATTAAATAAAAACTTCCTGATAGCTATTCTGAAATTACCCTTTGCAATTCTAAACATCCTTTTCTACTGTTTTGGTGCATTCTAAAATATTTGTTGAAATATACATTATATAAAGCTGGAGCCTCAGGCACCTGTCTATCTCAAGGCTGAGAAACAAGCAGGCTGTGGAAGGCTGACCAGAAGTTGTCCATATCTTTCTCCTTATCAGATATTTTCCCATGCGAAAAGAGCCTGCTCAAAGATTGCTAGCAGCCTGCGAAGGGTAGGGGCTATCTCTGTGACAAGACGGGGTGGAGTTAGAAACACATAAAAGATATAACTTTGAAATAGTTGGGAGTTGTGTAGCGTGTCAGCACACTTCCCAGTGGAATCGATATCGATTCTACTGTATCTATGTATATGTACAGGGGTAAGAGAGCAAAGGTCGACAGATAACGACAAGAAGGACAGTGGCCAGGTATGATCTGGTTATTGTCCGGACGCTGCTAAAGGTATAAAGTAGGAAGGAGATGATGGCAAGGCAGTCATCTGGGCAATACCTCCAAGGAGAAGAGCAGGAGAGCAAAGAGCACACAACAAACCAGCAGCTCTTCCAGTCGATCACACTGATCACTGGAGCACTCCGGACTGCAGACCTCAGGGGAAAGATCAACTAAGAATAGCACAGACATACCAGAGGGAGACAAGGTAGCCGAGAGAGAGAGAGAAAAGGGAGCCTTGTCACAGACTCCAGAGACCATTCAGATTTGACCGCTGACCCAGCCTCCTTTCCCAGCACGCTGCTTCCACCCAACTGGGGTGATTGACTGCTAGTTACCAGTCGTATAGTTTTGCACTTCCACGCATAATGTGCCCTCTTTCGCTTAAAACCTTTAATATTATGTGATTCAAACTTATGATTTATCGAACTGTATTCGGGATTATTATGCGATCGACTACGGGACTGTATGTGATCTATTTAGTTTAAAGTCTAATGTTCGTTTATCCCTTAAGGTATAACCAATCACTAACCCTTATTTCAATATTCATGAAGTCAGTTACAACCAGTTATTTTGATTAAACTTACTTATACTATCAAGACGTTGTTCAATCTGTATGTATCAATTCAGCCGTCGCCGCTACAGTTTACATATTGTTCTGGTGTTTACCTTTTCAATCCCATCTATAATTTTGGACAGCTCTACGAGGCTCCCCCTGAGTCGTTTTACTCAAGAATGAAGAGCTCCAACCTGTCTAGTCGTTCCTCATAGCTAATTCTCTTAACATTGGGGATCATCCTCGTTGCTCTCCTCTGCACTGCCTGTAGAGCCTGGGCTGCACCCTTATTTTGCAGAGACCAGAACTGCATTCAGTATTCTAACATTAAAACATAGAACACAGAAAGAATGTAAATCACTGATTTAGCAATACATCCCACCATCCTGCATAACAGGGATTGATCTTTGATCTTTACACCATAGTATCACATTGGGTATGTATGTTATTGGAATGTATGGGTAATTGCAGCAATAAGGGACAAAGGTCAGGAATCGTCCCTGTGTAGTTTGTTTTGATACATACACGTACTTAAGAGCACCATTTGAACCGCATAAAGGAAGAACGTTGAAAGCTATAAGCACAGCCCCGAAACAGACTTTTGATTGAAGACATTGATCGTACTTGATGCAGACGAGTTAAAAGCTCAATTTCATGGACACCTTTGCTGATAGCGTTAGCAGAGAGCAAGCTTTGGTGTACTTTGAATCCTCAAAAGCCATAGTTACGAGGAATCTTGGCAGCCTTTGGCTTCTGTTTGGGAAACAATCCAAACTGTTGCGAAGCCATGGGATTCCCTGGGAGAAAGATCCTTCTACGAATGTTTCTTGGATGCGAATATCACAAGCCCTGGGACCTAACAGAAGTTCTCACTTGCTATCGATGGTTGCATACAAGAGCAATAATGCCCGTCCTTAAAATAAGCAGTGCTGAGGCTCAAATTCAGCTATCGAGTAAACTCACAAATTAAACAGCGGTACGCAACAACGAAGAGAGGAAATCGGGAGTTATCTGATCTCACCACCCATCCCCCCCAGAACAAGCCCGCACATCCCCACTCAGCTTTCCATCACCTGGAATGATCAAATTGCACAGCTCTGTCTGTCCGGATACCAATGCAAACCGAGGCTTCACCAGGACTCGGTTATCAACTCAACTTCAAAACATCCCTCTTCCACTCCCCAGTGTTTTTTTTTCCCCCCTTTTGCTTATAATCACCTGATATTCGGAAAGATCCTCCTTGGAGATCTGGCTCTGCTTTCCGCCCATGTTCCGGGCCCCACACAGTGGTACGAAGTTCTTGGCAACTTTTTGCTCTTTAATTTCCGGATCCTCTGGGAACGCCCTCTGACGTCACCGTATCACTGTATCCCCTGAAAACCATTGACCTGATTTGCATAAAATGCTCTCCAGTGGCGCTCGATACACCTGAGACAGGACAAGTGGTGGGAGGGAAGAGGAAGAGAGCTTGAAATCACCCTATTAAAGGCTGCAGTTAACATTAAACAATGGTTTCCTGCAAATTATTCATATAAATCCAAATACCACTTCCTACTCGCTTTCTCTCCTTCCTCCTTGTGTTGATATTAAGTCTCACTGTTGTGTATTACGCGAGCAACACTGATAACATTAACATTAAAAATGGGACACACAAGGAATGGAGAACAACGGAGTGAGCAAAATTTAAACGTTAGAATTTTTATTTTTTCATTACAACTGTATTGAACTGTATAGTTTAGTGGCAAGTTTGATATTGCAATAAAACTACAGACATTAGAATAATAATCCTTGCATTTGATATCACGTGTTTGAGAAGTCTCAAAGCGCTTGACAGAATATACTGTAAAATGAATTGACTGTATATGCTGTGGGTGAAATGCTGTAGCCAATTGGGCACAGTGATTGATTCATTACTCTTTATATCAATGTCAGAGTGAGAGGAGACAGTTGTTTCTCTGGACCTGAAAGACTTCATATCTTTTGTTTTCCTCTGTTGATTTCACCAAGGATGACTTGGCTTTAATGATCGTGGGTTAACGCAGGGGAAAATAATTCCCACATTAAAACAGAGCATGGAATATGGTCGATTTTCATGACGTCTTTACCTGTGTGACACATTGTGCACTTGCATGCAATGTGCAGGAATCATCACCGACCATGTTCACAGACCACCATCATTAAAACAAACTATGCTCCAGCAAGGTGTTTAATGAAGACCTTAATAATTGCTCCATGTCCACTCAACTCTGGCCTGTTACTCTCCACCGCCACACCCCCTCTCAGCATAGTATACCCCTCATAGGCACACACATTTCCCACTTCCATGATTAATTACAGCAATTCATTCTTTGATTTGAATTATACTTTTATTTTTCTCGTCAAAAAATTACACAGCAAGGGTAGTCTGGCATTTTTCTTGTTCCAACTAAACAGGAAAAAGTACAGCATGTTCATACAGATATGACTTTGCATTGAACTCATAACGGTGGTTGTGGGATCATTGCTCTTAGTCTACATTTTTGCTGTAACCGAGATTTAAGAAAGGAGTTGTGCTCTCATATGCCTAAGCAGGTTGAGAAAGCTTATCATTTCACCTTAAGTACATACACTCAACAGTGTGTTTTATTTGATATTTAATCTTTTAAAACCCCAATAATCTCAGTTCTGAGTTGACAGAATTGTTCATCCGGAAGCAAGTATTTCTGAATGATTTCCAGGACCTTTCCCTCATCGAGGCTAAAATAATCCTCAGAGTTCTTGATGGGCAAGTGACCGGCCAGCTCGCACAAAGCGACATTAAAAGCAGACTCTTCTTTGACACCAAAACAGGATTTTCGAGGCCAGAGAAGAACTCGGACCCCATCCCGGGACCCCTGGTCTTCAGCTTCAGCCCCCAGAGGGCAACCTCGAGTCACAAATAGATTGTGAGCCAAACATTTCTTTATAAACAAATTCGTGATTTTATAAATGGTTTCTGCAGTTTGCTTAACATCAGTGCCATCGGTGTACAAAACCAACCCCCGGGTGTGATGCCTGGACAGAAAGTGAACCCGGTGCAACAGAACGTCCTGTTTTAGCTGGGGCTTACATTGATTGGTCTGCGATTCCTCCCACTTCTTCCTGGGTTTACCCACATCTGTTTCCACTTCATCCAGTTTTCTTCCAATTTCCTCTTGGTTGGCCTTTGCCATATGGTGGTTGAGTCTATGTCTATCCCAATCTATCTCAGCTGATAGAGGCTCTGTGGGTGCCCATTCCACCTCCAACTCGTATTGCAGGTAATATCCATGGATGTGCAAATGGTTGACAGAAGCAAAAGCCCCGAGACTGTTAAACCCGACCCTAAACCCCGGGTCTGAACTCAGGAAAACCAACTCGAGGGCGATCCTGAGCAAGTCCGGGGTTAAGACCTGGGGCAAACCCCGAGCGGGGTCTGGAACTGCCAAGACGTGGCCATACTCCAGTGGGCTCACGTTAATAACGAGCAGCGTATCGCGGTGTCCTGGGTCCTCCGTAACCGGCCCGGGACAGGCGGGTTCCGCCCTGCGGAGGGAGAACAGGATCTCGCTCGAGGAGATCCGGTTGAAGTTGAACTGATTGAGATCAAAAGGTTGCAAGACGCTGCTGATCTCCTGCGGCTTTCGCCTCTCTCTCCCCCGACTGATGTTAAGCTGAGCAACGAAGCGCCGCGGGCCTGGCAGCACCCGGCTCTCCAGCTCCCGAAGAACGTATCTGAAGAGCCCCCGACACATCTTCTCCTCCCAGCCAGAGCGCAGCGCGCAGTCCAGGCGGGACCGAGCACTCGGCTGTCTCCACCGGACTCCGCTCTTAATGAAATCCGCATCACAGTACTCAAAGAGACTGGGCTGCGGCTGGTCCGGGCTGCGATGCTGATGGCGCTCAGTTTCATTCACCGGCTTCGGTGCCTCACTGGGCGCCGCCATTTTCTCGTGACGTCGAGCAGCGCTGGATCACGTGGGCTCCTCCTCCTGCCAATCACCGAGCTCCGGCTTCACTCCCGCAACATCTCTGCTTTTGCTCCTCTCCTCTGATGTTTGATACCTATTTCTTATTCTGCTGCTGCTGCTGCATGACTGTGTTTTGGTTCCTCGCCCGAGTGGCTTAAAACATGTAAAGTACAAAGCTTTGACGCTGAATATACAGGAGGTGCTTCAGGGGAATTCTATACTTGCAGATAGGTCCAGGCAGCAAGTTTAGGACAGAGCCCATGCAGTATTTTGCCCCATACAGAGGGGTAACAGCAGCTGGAAATGAATTGCCAGGATGGATATGCCACCCTTTAAGAAACAGCCATAACAAGAACACAGTGGGGTGGGTATCCTAGAAGGATTAGGTGAATTGTTTGGAGGTATTCTGCATTCCTAATTATTATTATTATTCGGTCGGATGTGACAGAATGTCACAATTGCGGTTCCCCAGATTAAAGAAAAAAATACTGCTGCCTTACCAGGTTAATAATAAAACAAGTCAAAACTGAACCTTAAAATTACAATTCACGCTGAGAAACTGAACAATTTATTTAGTCATACCAATAAACATAATTAGTCAATAATATTCTTATTTATGTCCATCGATAAGGTAAACAATAAAACAAATGCTCCATTATTTAAAAAGAACATTTGTTTCCAAAAGCATTCAGTATCTTATATAACTTACTCTTGACATTTTGACCTCCTTTACAATCTTTCCTGGCTAATTTTCTCTCTTGAAGGTGTCTCTTGCTGGGTTGGTTCCACAAGCGTCAGCCGTTTGACCCCATTCTAGTAGGCGTTCTTCATGCAGGAGCATGGACGGTGAATGTCAGAATGTCTATTCGACTGCATGGAGTGTGATTAATCCTAGGCAATCTTCAAAGCTCCACAATGATGCAGTGTTTAAAACTCTTTCTGTTCTGCAAATACAAACGTGTTCCAAGGTCCACAGGCAACATCTAGAACAGTAAGCTGATTTTTTACAAAATATTCAACACGTTTTGGTTGATCAGAACTATCGGTGTGCCCGTGGCCAAGCTGTCCATAATTACCTAAGAAATATAAATGAATAATTTAGGCTGTAACAGATACCATTCCTTGTGAAAATTGTTTGATCAGCACCCAAAATATTTTAATGGCTTAATACTTACACCAACCCCATGTGAACAGCTCTCCTCCCCCTGAAAAAGGGAAAATGCAGATTCAATGATAAATATCAAAAAGTTAAACAGCCAGTACTGAAGTAGCAAGCGTTTTTACAGTTAAATTCAACCTTTGTTCCCAACTGCTGACACTGTTCACAGCATACAACCTTCTAATTTCAATGAAGGTACAGCTCTGGGATCTCAGTTTTGCATTTCATTCTTACTTTGACATCTTCAAAACACTGAGTTTCAGGATCACAGCTGGACCGTATGAGGAATAGGAATGAAAACAAATGCTCCAAGAAAACTTTCAAGGAATATAGCATCAACGAAGATCTTATTCAGATGGAGTTGTGTATGTCTCCCAACTGATTGAGTCCATATGTTAACAGAAAAAATACAGGCACACAAGTCTGTTGTTTTTCTGTTATAATGTTAATTTAGAAACAAATATGAATTCCTCAGTAACTTTATACTTACGGTTAATGGCTGCAGTGTGCCGTGACCCACAGCTGATTCTTCTGACCTCTGACCCGTCTGGTAAATCTACCAATGCAGGAAATGCCTGGATCGAGATAAATACATTCACGTTTTCTGGTTCCTGTGTGGCAGTTACTTCTTCACTGGCTGATTTCACAAGCATGTCGCTGGGATTTCTTAGTATCAGAGTGCCTGTGTGTATAGTTTAAATTAATATAATAATAACAATCCTTGCATTTGATATAGCACTTTTCACGTCTTCTCGACGTATCAAAGCTCTTCACAGAATATGCTGTAAAGTGAATTGAACGTATATTTGTGAATTGTGCACAGCAGTGTCCCACAAACAGTCGTGGATTGAAAATGACCAATTTATTATTGTTTTTTGTTTTGGAGGGATTATTATTAGGCTCTGTGTGGAGTAAGGAAACTTGCCCAAGTTTTCGCCCTGCCTGGAATTGAACCCAGGTGTCTCACTTGTAAGGCAAGTGCTCTAACCAGAGCTACAGGACTCCACAAATTGTGGCTTAAAGTCAACAATAATATGCAAACACCAATAAACTGAAAGTTAATATTGTCTCAGTTTGATACAAAGTAACTTGCAGACTAGACATTTAGAATTTAGATACAGGTATAATACAACAAATTAACAACAAACTATATTTGTATAGCACCTTTAACGTCGGGAGGACATCCCAAATATAATAGTAGCATATTATATCAAAACATCACACAACATAGCAGTAATTACTGTTAAGTGTAGTGACTACTTGTAGGCGAACATAGCAGCCTAAGTCCTATAAGACTGTAAAACAGTGAATGAACACATTTAATAATAATCCTTGCATTTGGTATAGCTCATTTTTATGTCGTCAAGATGTCTCAAAGTGCTTCACAGTAAAGTGGATTGAATGTGTATTTTGTGGGCGAAAACTGGAGGATTCTTTGGGAATTCTTTGAGAATCCCCTTCTCTCTTCAAATAATGCATAAATTCTTTAGTGCCCACCTAAACAGGCAGCATAGCTCAGCACAGACCTGGGATCAAACTAAAATTCTACCAGGTTGTTACGGTTCAGCAATTTAGTGAATGAACTCAATGTGCTGTTGGGAACATCTATGTCTACATGTTCTTTCAGACAGTCAAACAAAGTTAAAAAACAAAAAATCTCCTCACCCTCTTCAGAGCACTTCTTCAGCTGCCCCTTATTCTTACAGCATGATTTTGTTGGCAGTCCCAGCTGTCCTGATTCATTCCAACCCCACAAGTATAGGTCTCCAGATTCTAAGAGTTATTTTATTTTTAAAAAAGACAAGATGCACATTTCAAAAACAAAGTTATTCAGAGCCCATGTTTTCAGTTATAATTACAGCACTCTTTCGCAACTTGCAGTAATCCTACAACACCTGACTTGTGTATTCAAGACTGGATTTTCCCAAGCATTAAGACTTTCTCAAAATACATCAATGGGAAAAATGACTGATGACAGCGGACATTTACAGCGAATATCACCATTAAAAGGCCAAGGTCTCTCTTAGTTAGTTACGCACATTATATCAGTGATATTCTGAGAGGTCTAGTGGTAATCATAAAAATCATTTGTTCATTGACACCCAAGTCCCTTTGGACGCTAACACATTCCAATCTCTCCCCTTCTAAAAAATAAAATAAAATACATGACACAAAACTAGGAGGAAGTGTCAACACAGAGGATGACATTAAAAAAATGCAGCGAGACACAGATAGGTTAGGTGATTGGGCAGGTAGGTGGCAGATGAAGTATAATGTAGGGAAGTGCGAAGTCATCCACCTGGGTAGCAAAAACAGTAGAGCGGGTTATTTTTTAGAAGGGGAGAGATTGGAATGCGTTAGAGTCCAGAGGGACTTGGGTGTCCTTGTACACCAATCACAGAAAGTTAATCTGCAGGTGCAGCAGCAATTAGAAAGACGAACGATATGTTAGCATTCATTATGAAAGGATTAGAGTATAAGAGTAGGGCGGTCTTGCTGCAACTGTATAGGGCCCTGGTGAGACCACACCTGGAATACTGTGTCCAGTTTTGGTCTTCTCATTAAAGGAAGGATGTACTTGCCTTGGAGGGGGTGCAGTGTAGATTTACTAGGTTAGTACCAGGGATGAAGGGCTTGAGTTACGAGGATAGGCTGACCAATTTGGACCTATATTCTCTACAATATAGAAGAATTAGAGGGGATGATAGAGTAGATAGTGGGAGATAGTTTCCCCTGGTTGGAGAAACTAAAACCAGGGGTCACAACCTTAAAATCAGAGGCTAGCCCTTCTTCACTCAAAGGGTGGTGAATGTATGGAACTCACTACCCCAAAGGGCTGTTGACGCTCAGTCCTTGAACATATTCAAGACTGAGATAGATAGGTTTCTTATTGCAAAAGGGATTAAGGGATATGAGGATAACGCAGGGTCAGGTTATTAGCTGGAGTTAGATTAGAAGATCAGCCATGATTGAATGGCGGGGCAGGCTCGAAGGGCCGAATGGCCTACTCCTGCTCCTACATGTTATGTTATTGAGACATAGCATCCTGTGGCACTGGATGATGCACCACACCTTGGCCAGGCATTTTGTCAGCCACTGTGTGCAGGTTTAGGAGAATTCTTACCACTTGCACTTACGGAATGCCAGGCCCCTGCTGCTATCTCAGCCATCACCAACCCATGTAATGCCTCCACGATCCTCGGCTCTACCTCATTCTCAACACTTCCATGCCCTAACTGACCATAGCTGGGAAACAGAAAATATATGTCAGATAAAATAAGTAGCAGAATGGAATAATGTCAACTTAGCAAAAATTTAATGTCTGAACATCTCTAGAGAAACACCTCTATTAAATAACCAGTATCCAAATTGGCAAAGATGTACCAAGCACATGGTATACAGAGGAGCCCATTTAATATCCACTGATCTACAGGACTCCACAAAATGTATACTCACATCAGTTCCCTTTAACATCCAGTTGCAAAAGTACATACAATCAGGTCTTTCCACTGACCAAAAGAGGTTCATCCCACACATTTAATGTCCAGAGGGAAAGTTTTTTTTATTATTTCCTGATCAGCAGAATTTATAAAGCAAACACGTGCAAGGAGTACAGTAAATCTCATACTGGTTAGGCTCTATTGCTCCAGAGAACACGTACATTTCCATAATTGTAGTAGGCACCCCGTGCTAAAGGTGAGATGTGCCTTTTCATTCCTGATTATGTACCACACAAACTATGAATCTTATTATAACTTACAATACAATTTTAAAAATACATCTTACTGTCCAGAGCCCCAGGAATAAACAGTCCCACCCATGCTCAGTAGGAGAGCATGCTCAGTGCCAAGCACCAGTTTTACTACATTGAGCAGAGGTGACAACGATTTGTAGAATGGAGGCACTGTTGTGATGTAGCCACCAGGTACCAGCGGTAGCACTATGAAAGAAAGAAAGCAAGAGTGGGTGATAGAACAAAACGTGCAGCTCCTGGTGTTTCAGGACGCTCATCGCAGAGGTCTCTGATCTCTAAGAGGACGGCGCTGTGGCCTATCATCCTATCCTGACCTTATAAGTAGTTTCTGCACCTGTACTCATTGCTTCCCTCTCCTTCAACTGCATCGTCCAGGTCACTTTGGCATCTGTTCCTCCAGCAGAGCAGAGCTCTCGAACATCCCAGCATTCCACTTTGTCTTCATACAATACCAGAAGATATTTTTCAGAACAAAGAATGTCTTTGCAATGCTGATTATCTTGGTTATTAACGCACAACTGCTGCCAAGGGCGACCAGCAACAAAACCATAGAAAAACACAGATCCATCATCTGCAACAAAAACAAAATAAATTAGCACAATGGAATTTGTTGCGTGTAATATAGTTCGGTTTTGTAAATGATTAAACTAAAGGGATTAAAAAGTGTAATTTAGAAACTTACCTTACATATACATACACAAAAATATCCCTCTCCCCATGGCTCAGTTGTGAAATCAATATTCAGTTTCATCTTACTAAAATGACAATTGGTTTACACTTGGCTCCGCTGCCTGCCCTTAGCTGAGAGGGGGGAGAGAATGAGCCAGATTCCTTCCTAATTCCTAAAATAAGATTACTAATCTTCTGGAAAACTGCAGATTAAAAATGTATTTCTATTGTTTTCTCCCTACTAAAGGCACTGATTTTTCATGGATACAAATTCATGGGTGTCAATCAATGTTTTGCCCATAAAATACACGGTCAATCCACTTTACAGTATATACTGTGAAGTCCTTTAAGACATCACAATGCCACGATAAGGCGCTTTATCGAATATAAGTATTATTATTAGCTTCTGGTACCACATGAAGAGTAGCCATTTTTAGTGAGTTTAAATAATGTCTGTGTGACCACTGCGAGGGACCACAGACAAGCTCCATCCTGTCCCTTGATACCATTTTTAATCTGCAGTTTGAATAAAATATTTTAAACCCAGAAATTCCATAGTATTACTTCTTGACCCATAACCCGTATCATTCAACACCACCAACAACTCGCACTTATATAGCGCCCTCCGTGCCGGGCGGCGTCTCGGAGCGCTTAACAATGGTGGAGCCCAAGGTGACCCAAGCACATACAGCGAGCATTCATGACCGCAGGTTACAGGTCAGAGCAGGACAATCATCTTAAAATCATACTTATAAATAAAATGTTCAGTTTTTTTTAATCCTCGCCTTTGATATCGCATGGCATTTAGAAAGAACATCAAGAGCGACTGAATAATAATCCTTGCATTTGACATAGGGCTTTTCACGTCTTCTCGACGTCTCAAAGCGCTTCACAGAATAGACTGTAAAGCAAATTGACTGCATATTTGTGGGCGAAACGCGGCAGCGCACAGCGGCGTCCCCACAAACAGTCGGGGATTGAAAATGACCGATGTGTTATATTTTTTTTGAGGGATTATTATCAGAATTAAAAAGTGCTCCACGAAGATTTCTGTGTAAAGTGTGAAAATTCTGACACACCTTAAAACGTGGGGAGATTTCTCCAAAAAAAAACTCCCCCCAATTGTATGTCAGCTCTTTGAAGTGACCAGTGTCCTCGCTCAGTACCCCCCGAACCGGTTACCTGCCCCCGTTACCTGTAGTCCTGTAGCTCAGTGGTTAGAGCACTCGCTTTGCAAGCGAGAGACCTGAGTTCAATTCCAGGCAGAGGGCGAAACCTTGGGCAAGTTTCCTTACTCCACACAGAGCCTAATAATAATCCCTCCAAAAAACCAAAAACAATAATAAATTGGTCATTTTCAATCCACGACTGTTTTGTGGGACATTGCTGTGCGCAATTGGCTGCCGCGTTCGCCCACAAACATACAGTCCATTCACTTTACGGTATATTCTGTGAAGCGCTTTGGGACGTCTTAGAAGACGTGAAAAGCGCTATATCAAGATGCGATTATTATTATTAGTCGTAGTATTATTATCACAGCAGCAGCAGCTCACCCGTCAGCCATGCAGTGCGTCCCCAAGTGGGGCAGATCCGAGTCCCAGGCCTCTGAGTCTCCCCCGGGCCCTGTCTGGGGTGTGACGGCGGTGTTTGAGAAGCTTCCCCCAGGCTCTGGGCCTCAGGCTGTGACGGTTGCGGTAATGGCGGCGGGGCCGGGGGCGGGGCCGGGGGCGGCCGCTCGCTTCTCTCCGCGCTCTGTTTAAAGCCGGCGAGCGGGAAGCTCACTTCTCGGGGCCTCAGGACCCGACCCAATCCTCCCCCTTCTCCGGCCTCGCCAATCTGCCCGAACTGATTGAACCCGAACCCGAAACAACGGCAGCGCGAGGAGGAGACCGCCATCGGCGCGAGCCGGAGCCGCCCCTCCCCACAGACCACCAACCGCCGAGTAACGGCCGTTGGCGTCCTCCCGCGGACTCCGCCCCCTTCCCCGTGACGTCTTCTCCGAAGACCCGCCCACAACCTCTCCCCCTCCCCCCTCCCCCCCCTCGAGGCGTCTCAAAGCGCTTCACAGGACACGCTGCACAAAGTCAATTGACCGCGTCCCGCGCGGGCCAAACGGGGCAGCCGGTTGCGCGCAGCAGCGTCCCGCGGGCAGCCGTGGGTCGGACAGCGAGGACGCCGCTTTGAACGCCCAGTTCCACGGCAGGAGATACTTAAACCCAATATAAAAACGAGATGTTGTCCACCGACCCACTCTCCCACCGAACGCGCGTGTGCAGGCACTCACTCGAATTGGCGTGGGAAAGCAGCTTCTCACTGCCATCCCCCCGACCATTAAGGATTCCTGAATTGCGCAGCGATTGGAAAGACCCAATAAAATGACTACTTGTAAGAGAGATATACGTGACCCGGAAACGCCTTCCTGAAAGTAGGAAAACCGGACGCGTTACGAGATATCAAAAGTGACCAGTTATCAGAGGATCATAATTAACATTTCTTTGGAGGGATGTTGAGTGAGCGACGGGTTATGTGTGGTTGATGAATTATGCCAGGGGCCGAGTTATCAGTTTCACTGTAACACATAATCACATCATCGAAACATCTCAAAAAGTGCTTCACAGGACTTAATTGATTTGCTCACCAATATACAGCACCAAGTCAAGGAATTCTGTTCTGTGTAAAATGTAGTAAATTTATTGCTGAAGATAGAACAGTGTTGCCCAAAAACATTTCACGTGAAGTGTTGCATTACTTATAACATCTTGTATTTCAAATCACACACTTCAAAGATAATGGGTTTAGTAGTACAGTACAAAACAGGAATGTGATATATATAATGTATATAAATCATATACACGTCAGGTGGTTGCGAATAAACTAGAACTTGAGATTATAAACCACAGGAAGGGTTTTTATTTTTGTCAATCCCAAGATTGTTTCGAAATTTTTAAGTCTCAAAAGATATCTCTTAATTTAATATATACAATTTGTTTCTGTGACCTCTGGAAGGGTGCAAATATACAAGTGTTCACTGAGTTACCAAGAGGTCAATAATGGCAGTGTATAAGGAATGATAGAATAAAAAGAATATTATTTGAAGTCAAGATTAGGTTATACTCGTCTTCTACATACAGTATTATAACAGTGCAGAACAATACACATTGTAAACAAAATAATAATAACAATCCTTGCATTTGATATAGCGCTTTTCACGTTGGGAGGACATCCCAAAGCGCTTCACAGAATACACTGTAAAGTGAATTGACTGTATATTTGTGAACGAACGCGGCAGCCAATTGCGCACAGCAATGTCCCACAAACAGTCGTAGATTGAAAATGACCAATTTTATTATTATTTTTGGTTTTTGGAGGGATTATTATTAGGCTCTGTGTGGAGTAAGGAAACTTGCCCAAGGTTTCACCCTCTGCCTGGAATTGAACTCAGGTCTCTCGCTTGCAAAGCGAGTGCTCTAACCACTGAGCTACAGGACTCCAATACTTGATAATTGAAATGACTGGGTCATGGTTAAACTTCTATAAGACTTTGAAAATAAGGAACAAGATTACAATAGAATTACAATCAACTAGGCCCCAAACTAAGCCCCAAGGCTATCGCTTGCAATTTTACATCATTAATACTAATGGGACCATGCATGCAAAGTACCTAAACTAATAAAATTGTGCTGGGGGTGACTGCAATCCTGTGAGTATCATATAAGTTGCATTGTTTTATTGTTTGAGCATTTCAACTATATTTTGAACATGTATGTGTAAAACAATGTATCATAAAGCTTTAAGTGATTCATTAGGATTAGTTAGAATTCCTTTACAGCCCAGACATATCCGGGTAGATTCAAATGTGTATGATTCTCCCATCCCAAAGCATTTATCTACTTTCCTGATTGTAGGTTTTTCAAGATGATAAATGAACCTAAAGACAAGCACAAGTCCCCCTGACTGCCTTTCTCTAAATACAAAATCAATCTAGAAAAACTCCTTGAAAATAAACTCTGGCATTTGAGACTGCCAAACAATGTTCTAAATCACAGGACAAATAATTTCTAGTGAGCTGTAATTTTGCCTCAGGGCCTAAGGATTGTGATTTCGATATTTTGCTGTAACTTTACTCTGTGCACATTATTTTGGAAGAGCATGAGAAACATCTCCACACTTTAGGGATGGTTAATGAACTCTTATGATGTTTCTTTTTTTTTTAAAAACTACTTTTCCACAGGAATGTCTCAATTTATAGTGGGAACGTCTTCACATTCATTTGGTTTTATCAGTCCATACTCCACTGCTTTGGCGAGGCACTCCTTGGCATTATCCTTTATTTTGAAGATTTTTTCATCCCCTTCCTTAGCCAGATGAGATAAGATTTCTAGCATCTCGCTCTCAATAAGTTGGGCTGCAAGATCTCGGTCTGCATTCATCATGTTGAGCACAATAACAACCCCACGGCGCTGCAGATCCAAGTTTGGGCTCAGCAGGAGCGCCTGGAGAATCTCCAGCCAGTGTGTTGTCTGCAGAGTATAAAGGAAAGAGACATCAACAACAAATTACATTTGTATAGCGCTTTTCATGTCAGGAGGACGTACCAAGGCGCTGGACAGTCAGGGATCCACACCCAAGCTGGTGGTTGGGATCAAGAGGGGTGGAAGGCGAGGAGGGTAGGAGGGTGACCGAAGACATCAGCGTTGGTCTTCCCTCCGAGTCAAGCTTACTGATACTATTCTGAGTGCTATTCTGCTCCATTTGATTGTTTTGGTGAAATTGGTCAAATTGTTACATTGTCCCTGTGCCTTTAGAAATTGAATAATTAATGTTTACTTTGAAAATGTAATATTATAATAAATGAGCAAGGCTAAGATTTATAATGTTCTCCAGTAACACAGGAACTGTAGTTATAAGACAATCACAGAACACAATTTTTTCAGAACAGTAACTTAATACTGTGCCAAGGAGGGAGGAAATCACCTCTAGGAGAGGGGAATGTTTGGAAAAAAAGGTTTATTAAAGGTTTAGTGGACAAAAATAGTTAAATCAAAAGTTTCTCCATTCCTCCTTCAATAAAAAATAACTGCTAACCCCACTCACTACACTCTCAACCAGATGACCACATGTATGAATTGCAGTAAATTGAGATTTAGCCTTAAACAGAGCTTCATTTTGGGGGGAATTGAGAGAGGACAAATTAGCAAAAATTCCGCAGTAAATGGCTGGATCAATCTCCAAGTGAGGTGCATGATGACTGAACCAAGTTAGACAGTCATTTGACCTCAGACTTCCTAAAATAAAGGCATTTTGCTGCTCTACTAAGCAAAAACAGGCAAGTCTCCCACAATCGAGTGGAAGAAATCCCAGATCATGGGACAAAGACTCACCACTTGTGTGATTTTTTGACAGAGTTCTGGCTGCAGGGATGTCAGCAAAGCCACAGCCCCAGAAGCAGCAGAGCGCAGCTTATCATCATCTTCCCCACTGTACAACACTAAGAGCTTCAGACGGTCATTTCCCTCTGCCAGGAACATGGCTTGTACCTGAAACACACGGTGGTCAAAAACACAAGACTCTTTAAGAGCACCAATTCTATGGTATATTTAAAGAACTACAGATTGCAGCAACAACAAGATTACATTTGTATAGCGCCTTTCACGTCAGGAGGACGTCCCAAAGCGCTGGACAGTGTACACCACTTGTGTGATTTTTTTTAGGAACAATAACAAATTACGTTTGTATAGCGCCTTTCACATGGAATACGTGAAAAAATGTGTCTAAGAAATAATGATGCCCTCTTGAGTAATGTTCCAAACTAAGAATAACTTAAGGCCACAGGAACTTTATCCCACAAAAGACATCTCCAGGAATGGAAAAAAGATTTCTTCTCTGTCAGTCACAGGATGGGATAAGTGACAATTTGGTATCATCTCAAGCCTCTGAGTTGGAATAAGCCACTTTGCAATGGCATCAAAGGACAACACAATAGTATGACAGTAACTATTTGCGCTACATCAACATTACCTCTGGGCTCAGAGACATATTGCACATGCACTCTGTTGCAGCCAATCGGATCATGTCATGGTCTTCAAACATGTAGCTGTCAATCATTGGAATTGCCTTTTCCTTAATGATTTTCTGGCTAAAAAATAAAACATCCGGAGATTAATCATTCAACTGAGAAACATTGTGTTAAAGTACAATTTTGGGAGCTAATCCTACCTCCTTTCCAGAAGATGCTGATTAGTGCTGGATAGACTTTAGGAATGGGAATTCTGGCTAGCTTTGGCATTCCTTAGTCCAGGAGCACTAAGGGCAAATGCTGTGCACTTGCCAATGTCCTGACTGAGCTCAGCAAACTCAGCACATGTACCACTGAGGGAACAACAGCAATAATACATTTGTATAGCGCCATTCACGTCGGGAGGACGTCCCAAGGCGCCAAGACTCCACATATTTCAGCCACTTACCGGAGTCTCTCATTTATTCCTGCCAAATTAGTCAGTGCCATCAGCGACTCAAAGTTCTGCAGTGCTGTACACTGTAGATGCAAGAGGGCAATCAAAGGCCGGATGACCTCATAAATCTGAAATTCAGAGGAGAACGCAGGCAGAGTGATTGCTTATCCAATAACATTTTTCTTTCTCTATGTACTCAGTCTAGGAAGTTACGGTTAGTAAACTGTTTTAACATTGGAGGTATCACAGCTGTGCCCAATGTGGACCTTGCCCTGTGTCCACACATGTGCACTTTTTAGCAAGGAGAGAGATGCACAAGGACTTTGGATAGTAATCAGAACTGTTGACTCGAGCTATTCTAAGGAGCAAGTATTCTGGGGCTTCCACTGCTACATTTTTTCAAGACAATGCAAATACACTGCCCTAAATGTATTAGTTTATTCAGAAAATGCTTGTAATTGAACACTTTATTTTAGCAATTTATTTATGCTGCATTAATACATCCTGTGTAAAATCATTCTGATGTCAGATTATAGAAAGTAAGCCCCATTCAAATAAAGGCAAAAAAAAGAAAAAGAATCTCATCTGTGGTAAGAGACCCATGAGACTTACTCTCTCTCCTGGAAAAGCAATTTCTGCATTCGAGGTGATTGTAATCTTTGCCAATGCCTGACCTGCTTTTATCTTTCCAACATCTGTACCTTCAGAGGACAGAGAGACCAGAGCCTGCAAGAATCAAGGGAAAGAAAGTAAAGCAACGATACTATGAAATGGCAATTTATTTGGAATATTCATTTAACTTTTCCATTGGAGTGTTCAGCGCTGGAGACCATAGTAACTCAACATACTCTGTGAAGGAAAGGGTGGGATGTGGGGACGGAACTCAGCATGAAATCACAAATCTAAGCCACAGGTGTCATGGAGAGGTAAGCTTGAACACAACAAGCATGGAAAAACAGAATGTTATTTATAATTTATTAACTTCTTTATCGGGATCTTCTCCACCTTGTAATATTTGTTGAATTATTGATGCTTCGGAATAATAGACAAATTAATAAATGGCATTCCAGTTTAGGAGGAATAGTAAATTCCACGCCTGGACGACACACTAAAATAATTCTATTAATGATGATAGACCTACACAGTCAATTGAAAAAATGCATTTTCCTCAATCTTAGATCATGAGCCTCGATATTCCTCAAATCTATTCTCTCCAGTTCCTTGTTTGTTGGGGTAGCAATGAATTACTGTGTTTCATCTATTATAAGCTATTCACTGTGCATCACAAACCGTAATACGTGTATAATATAAATTGACTTCACATTAGAGCCCCCATCATCTTTACATATGAAACAGCTGGAGTGTTATACTAACTGCTGGACTCACCTTCCCTCCTCCCTGGGCGACCACAATTCCACGACCATCTGGGCTCTCTACAAGGGCCAGGAACACACTGAATTAGAAAGGAAGAAAGTCAGCATTATTCTTAGATGGATATATAATTCCGTGCTATACTCTTTGGTTAGTGCTCCCACTTACCGAGATATCATTTCCTTGCACGACTCAGTTAAAGTGGGACTCTCCTTCTTTACCATACACACCAATGCTGACACTACACCCATCTTCAGCAGCTTTGCAATCCTTTTCTCCACGTACTTGGTCTTATCCTGCAATTCCAGCAAACAGCCATTCAGTGGCAGCACCCACTTCACTTTGCTATTTCATTCACTTTAACATTCAAACTGAAAGAAAAAGTAAAATAGAAGAATACTATCCAGTGCCTTACTCTTAAAATTAATAATGAACGTACACACACCAGAAGCAATGTTTAGTGGACATCTCTAAAACTGTGGCTTTAAACATCTTTGTTTAGCCAGGTCTCTGGGACATAAATACTAATGGCTTCAGTAACTGGAAAAAGTTTTTATTCCATGTAAAGCTGGTACCTTTGGGTGTTCCTCTGGGATGTGCTGCTTTGCATATTTAGCCAGCTCCAACAGCTGGGGGTCAGGTTCCTCTTTATCGTAACTATTTGTGCAGTTCACAAGGGTTGAAGCAATTGCAAAGAGAGCCGTTTTATCCTCTGACTGGGAAAAGGTAGAATGACATGGTTAGACACAGCCATAGGGAAAATAAAACCAGCCATCGATCACCAGCACATTACCTAACAGGAAGATACAAAGTATTCTATCACAGTAATGTACAAACTGGGGAAATGGTTGGACTCTTTGTCAACATCCAAATCTAGAATCGTTTGGCACTAGGGTGATTCTCTAATCAAGAGTACATTTACCGACCTTGCATGATTGTGTGAAGTGATGAGATAGAGATAAATTACATTTTTATTTCTGTACCTTTGCAAGTTCAAACATTGCATGCATTGCAGGCTGGTCCTCCACAAACTCCTCCTTCACATCAGCATCGAAGGTCAGGTATGCCAGGCCCTCCATAGCCCAGCGCCGGGTACCAGACTGAATCACTTCATTACACAACCACCTATCAGGGCAAAACAGCAGCAGGATCAGAACCAAAGTAAAAATCAAGACCTCAAACTTCAGTCCAAGAACTTTGCTGAATATTCAGTACCACTTTCCATTCAGGATGAACCTCTCACGCAGTTTACAGACAAAGATGTTGACCAAAGGCATGGATACAAGAAAGAGGTTTTTGAGAGAGTTTTAAAGTTAGAGAAAGTGAGGGAACAAAATAAAGGCAGACTGTTGCAGAGAGCAGGACATAGTGCCTGAAGCTCAGCCACCTATGTAAAATAGAGAGCGAGGAATGATCAGTAGACCAATGTTAAAAGATCAGAGGGCATAGGTGGGAGAGAAGGCTGGAGAGAGGGAGCAGCAAAGTCATTAAATGATTTGAGGATCTTAAGTTGAATTGCTATGCTTGTGGGAGCCAGCGGAGTCTGATGTAAGTGGGTGCAAAGTCTGGTTTGAGAGACAATACAAACTGTTTGGAGCTCCAATAGCCCAGAAGGCTCCAGCTCTATGCTGATCTCAGTAGGGAAAATAGTTAGGGTGCTACAATGGCTGTTTTGGGGAGAGTTTCAAGATCACTATCCAGTGCCCCTGCCTGGAGGTGCATGTGTGTGGATGTTAGATGAGGCCCCAATTAAGCTTATCCGTGATGCCCATCAGGGTGAATTACATTTGCATCAATGCATTTGCTTGCATATGAAGAATGGCCACTTGTGTGAGGAGCTGTAGGCAGCAATCACACTGAATTTTTATAGTCATAATTACCTTCACAAGGGATAACAAATATTAGAAACAAACCCACCTGCGACACTGCTTCGCTAATTTGCAAGTTGACCCTTCAGCAAACTGCTTTATGCTACAATCAGTGCCCCCGGCAGAACCCACCTTACACAAACCCTGAAAACACAAACAGAAAAATCTGTATACGTCACAGTCAGAGAGACACACAGCACAATTCTACAGAGGTTTGTGCCACGTTTTAGAATATCAAAGCATGTCCCTTAATGTAGAACTGAGCCATTCAGAAGCTCTGAGATTCTTTTTCCTGATTTCAGTAATCTCAGTCGGTGAGGCCACAGCAATGTCAGGAACGCCCCAGGCTTGATGGGCAGGAGGGTTAAAGGGAGAAATCAAGCTTTAATGATAAGTAAAGCCAAAGTAAATATAACAAAACCCTACTCTAATCCTAATTCCCTGTTTTTCCATACCTTCCTTTATAATCTTCCTCTACAAATCTATTTCCTTTTAAATGTGGCTATGATCTCCATCTCAATAATAATGTCAGCACACAGTACATGAGTTCCAAGTCCTGATGTGGGGCTTCAATCCACAACATTCTGACTCAACGGTGAGAGTGCTACTAACGGAGCCAGGCTGACACACAAATAACCATTTGTGACAAAGTATTCTGCATTCTGTTAATCCTCTGCATAGAAATGTTTCTTCTAACTTCCCCTTAATTGTTCCAATGACATTCCTGATGATGAGACCCCAAACCATTCCTTAGCTGGGGGTTGGAATGCAGACAAGGGGGTCACAATGAGTTTATCCAAGGTGTGGATAAGTGGTTTTCTACTATGCATGTAAAATGCTGTGGGATGGCAGAGAGATCTGGGGGTACAAATGAAAGGACATAAACGGCAGACACAAAAAGCTCTGAAGACGACAAATGAAATTCCAATCAGATGGTTTAGTGCACAACTGTAGATGTACTGGCACTTACCACCAGAGCTCGGATCTTGATTTGGTCGTTATCGTTCTTTTTGTAAATCTCTTTCAGGAGCATGACACCATTCGCAGTGATGAAGGAGGCACGTTTAGATTTCCCTGCCGCGTGGATCAGCGCTTCCACTGCCACCAGCTGGTCAATTTCCCGCTCGGAGGCACACAGAGAAATCATGCACTCCAAGATCCCACTCATCTCCAGAACTCGGTTTCCCACCTCCGAGGGCCCCTGGAGGAGCGTGGAGGCTGTCTGAATGGCTCGCAGCTTCCCGTTCATCCCTTGAGATTCAAATTGGTTCCTGAATACCAGAAATCACATGGAAATTTTAAACGCTATTAATATGTTTGAGCATTTAACAGCTTTCTTCAAAAGCTCAACCAATTTATTCAGAGAGCAGTTGAGTCATACTCTCTAAGCTGGAAGGCCTGAGGTTTAAGTCTCAGTCTGTGATACGTTAGCTGATCTAAGGCAGGACAGTAAATTGCCTACTGATCAGACGCAAGACTGCTATCACGTGACCCAACCTCCACAGCAATAACCGGATTTACTTCCATTTCTCAAGAATTAAGCAATTCAACATTCACCCCTGATCTGCCCGTGCCCCTACCTGACATAGTCCTCACAGAGCTTGTGGAAGTTTTCCCGTTCTGCGTCACTTTTCAGATCATCGTACAGCTTGCTCATCAGCACCGACAAGCTCATGCGACTGCTCTCAGTCACCACCAGGCTCCCCGGGATTTCTGACACAGTCTCAGCCACTTGCAGAATCTTCTTCATTCCTGATGAGAAATGGAGTTTCCATGGTTTATGGAAAGACTAGACATGCAGCTCCATGGACAGAGAAAAGGCAAGAAAAATGGACTTTGGGAGAATGCCAGACAGCAGGGCTTAGAGACTGAGGGCTTGACCACCTAGTGTGGAATGGGGTAAGTGAGGAATGAGCAGCAAACCAAAGTCTAAAGAGTGGAGAGTGCAAATAGGGGATTAAAGCTGACAGGTCAGGTGAGGGGGAAAATCATTGAGGGATTTGAAAATCAGGACAAGCAAGGTTGATGAAGTCAATTCAATGAGGTACTAAACAAAGCCTGTCAAAGATTGGAGTGATGGGTGTGCAGAGGGAGAGGGTATGGGCCATGGAGACCACTCACCCTGGTCAATCACCCAGATTGTCATGGAGTTGTCTGGATCTCGTAGCGATTTGCGGGGAACATTTTTAATTAGAAGATTTATGGAATTCTCTCGGCCATAAACTGAAACCTCTTGTTTTGTCAACATCTCAATCAGGTGGTAGATCATCGTCCTCAGTTCTTTGGAGGGATCTGAAATTTGACAACAAAAAAAAAACCTCTTGCATGAACAAACACCTTTACTGAATGGTATAATACTTATACTATTCGGGACAGAGTACCATGAGTTGGATCATGTTTTAAAAGTTCTGCAAATAATATAAAGAACATTTTGTTTTGTTCTATCCAAATTCATCAATTCAAATTGGGTTGAGCTCTGTATACATCACTAAGCCGACAGTGAGGCAACTGAATAGAGTGGAAACTGCCCCCTACCTCTCCTCCATTCTCCCCCTCACCCATCTATGCAGCCTTGACATTAGCACTTCAAAGAGTAAACATTTAAACACATGCTGCAATTATTCTCCAACACAGCAACAAACACACGCAGGGACGTCATACCCACCGAGCACTAGTGCCTCCTCCTTCCCTCGAACCTCACTTTTTATTCCACCTTTCAATGCTTCGAACATGCCCTGGAGAACACTGCAAGCTGCCAGGGAGACCTGCTCATTACTGACGGACATCACACGGCAGAACTTGTCCATTCCCATCGTGTTCAATATTGCCATTGCCTGCACAGCACAAGTCAAATATCATAATACTCTCACATAATCTGTTTTCCTCTAACTCGTTCCATCTCTAACCTCTCACCCAAAGTGTCCTTTACTTAATTATAAACTTTGACAGAGTTGGTAAGGTAGTCAACCGAGTTATACCGCAGCCAAGCCGATCCTGTCTTCACCCACAGATATGTGCACTTCACATATGGGCACCTTCCTGCAGGTGTCTCAGAGCAACAACAGAGCAAGCTTTGTAGGAATGGAAAAGATCTGAGGAGCAATGACTACAATATCAATTAAAACAGAAATCGACAAGCAAAGTTGTGATTGGAGATGTTGGAGGTGAAAAATGAGCAAAGATCAACTATCAAATGATGAGCCTTTCTTCTATCCTGTCAGGAATATGAGTGACGGGCTAAAAGATCCTCTCCTGATATGAGGAGTAAAATTAAATAGTATTACAGGTAACAGTCAGACAGTTAGAAACGCAGCACAATACGGTGTTCTCAAGTCTTTTCTGCTTGTAAGCTGCTTGGTGACTGACCCGAGATTGATGACCTGAACACAATCCCACAAGAGTCCGCAGTGAAGCCAACATGATATCGGTGCTTCCCGTGTCCAGCATCTTTTGCAGAAGGCGCACTCCATCACTGCGGAAAATCCTTTGCGCACCCGCATCTTCCCGAGCAAGAACGATCAGATTCTGTACTGCCTGCAGCAGGAGAAAACAACTTCAATTATATTCAGGCTGGGAAAATAATAATAATTCTTGCATTTGATTCAAGTGTCTCACCATGGTGAACTACCTCAAAGTTCTTCACACGGCGAGTTACGTTGCATTGCAAGTAACGTATGTCCGCAAACACAACAGCTAATGTGTGCCAGCAACAACCCACACTAATCAATGGCCAATTCCATCGTTTTTTGATGAATTTGGATATCAACCAGGACACCGAAAGAAACTCCCTGTTCTTCCTCCAAATAGCACATAGAGTTAACGTCCACTAGAACTAAGGGGACAGGCAGCACTTCCCATTAAACATCTTTCTCAGGACTGCAGTGTCATCGTAAACACAGAGATTAGTTTATTTCCACACACTTCATATTTGTCTTGGGACCAGGTACAGGCCTATTGGTGCTGCAACCAACATATATTCAAGTTTTGTTAACAAAATAGATATGAAATTAAATATTGGCAATTACTTTAAATTCATGGGTCCCAGTTGTGGCTGAACATGACCTCTTTAGAGTAACCAATCTATTGTATAATAGATTCAATAAACTAAATGAAGGATAGGTCAACCATATTAATTCTTGTCTGGTGAATCTTACAATATTTTGTAGGAAATCCCTTCTGAGATGAGATCTCTTTGGAGACATCTCTTTTCAAGGCTTGACAGCCCTATTCTATCCAGTCGTTCCTCATAGTTCATCTCTCTAACACTGGGGATTATCTTCCTTGCTCTCCTCTGCACTGCCTCCAGGGCATAGCAAGTTCCTTGAAACCCAGGCCAGTCTCTCAAAATACAGACCTTCTGCTTCTTGTCAGAGTCCTTCTCCCCAGCATCCAGAAGGATATTAAACATCTGCTCAACTCGGGCATCGGTGGAGGATTGTAGATGGACCTAGAACGATAGATACAATAGAAGTATTTGTGAGAACGAGCTTCTACCTTCAAAACACTTGTAGGATTCAGAACTCAGCAATAATAAACATGCATATATTGGATCAGAGTGAGAAAATAAATCTTTCAATATTTATCACCCTTTTTAGCACTAATACAATTAGTTTTTTGAAGCAGACATAGAAATCTGTGCCTTCTCTTTATTTCCAGACCTGCAACATTATATTGCATTAATATTTCTCTATTAACTCTGCCCATAATTGGGCAGCTCATCTAGATTTTTCTCTTTGCTAAATTTCTCTTCTCTTATCCTTTTTTGATTCACCTTTGTTTCTCTTCTTCCTCACCTCCACCCTCATTCTCCCCTTACCTTCTGCTGGATCTGTGTTGCAATTAGGCGCAGCGACTCCTGGAAGACTTTATTCTTTGGTTCTAGGACCGCACACCTCTGGTTGTCTGCAAATGCCTGATCCAACCTCCCCAGCTTCTGTAATGCCTGGCTCCTCCGAAAGAGCGCTTTCACATCCTTGCCATCAGCTTCGATGGCTGGGAACAAAAGGGAGAGGTTCCCAGTCACTAAATGTTCTCATACATGCCACAGACCTGTCTCTACCCGTATCACCATATAAACAAGATAGATAAGAGCATCCAGTGGGGGGACACAGTCCATAGAACTGGCACTTTTCAAATAAAAGAACATCTCAAAAGTACTTGCGCTGTACAATGCGTGGGAAAATAGGACATTCAAAAATATTCAAAGGAACTGTCAAAAAGATATATTTTTAGGTTCTCAAAGAGGAAGAAAGTAGCAAGGCAAAGTGAATTTTCAAAATCCCATAAGACAGTGTCGTGATGACTGAAGGCTCAACCACCAATGGTGGTGTTTAAGGGAGTGAGGAGCAAGTAATAGACCAGAAGAGAGAACATGAGCTGGAACGTAGGACTGACTTTCGTAGATACAATGGACTGAGACCAGGAATCCAATAGGAGGCCAATCAATTCACTGAACCTACGCTGGTGCCAGCATCAATCACTCACCTTTAGAAGCATCTGCTTCAGCTTTGGAGTACTCCTCCTACATAAAAAAATTGAAGAAATTAGGATCACTATGTCCATGGAATTGAACGGATTATAGATTATATCAACACTGTAATTTATCAGCTCAGTTTTGTTTCACTCACCAACTTGAGATAGCAGGCTGCCCTGTTGCGGTGTAGGACTGCAGCACTTGGTTGCTCTGGAGACAGCTTGATCGCTTGTGTGTAGCAGGACAGTGCTGCTTCATGGTCTCCCAATTTAAAGTACTTGTTGCCTTCTTCCCGCAGCTGTGCCAGGCTGACCTACAGTACACACACAAAGAAGAACATATTAGGGCAAATCTCCCTCCATGCCCAGTAGGTAAATGCAGCACATGGATATACAGATATATTTTTTTCTGAGTTAACAGATCTCAGCTGGGACAGGAGACTGGGCTTAAATTAGCCTCAGCCCTCCTAGTTATAGAGAGGGGGGAATCAGTCAATGTATCCCTGTTCCTGACCCATAACCAGATACGCCCAACTGGGGAAGGTGCAGCAGGGATGGATCAGGAGCAGAGAAGGTGTGTGGATGCCGGGTGAGGGCAGGACACCATTGGCTTTGGTTGTTGACAACTCCTTGCAATCAAAAACAACCTCTCTCCCTGCTCTCCTGCATTAACTCATTCAACGCCTGTGTGAAGCGAGGACACGGCCTTTTGGAGGGCGGCTGAGGAGGCAGAACGCAGGTCAGTCAATCAGACAGTGCCTTCAGAGTGGGGTGTGTGTGGGGGGGAGGGGGGGATCACTGAGAGGATTAAGAAACGAAGGGAAGCCACACAATGAGTCTCTCACTCTCTCTCAGTCAGTGGCTCCTCAGCCCGAGGCCGAGCCCGGGACCAACTTCAAACTCAGCTCCACATCCCCGTGTTTTCACTCTACCCCTCACGGCTTCCCCCCAACCTCCCGCTCTTTCACTTTCTCTCGCTCTCTCTCTCACCGTCTCTCCGTTACAGACCGACATCCCGACCTCGGCTCCACTCCCAATCGCAGGACTCGTTATTCCGGTTACTTCCGTCCGAACGTCGCACGAGCTTCCGGCGCGAAGTGCTGACGTCATTGGCGCCTTGACTTTTTGTTGATCAATGAGCGCGGCTGTCAATCACTGACCCCCGCCCCCCCGGGCTGTCAATCACTGACCCCCCGCCCCCCGGGCTGTCAATCACTGACCCCCCCCCCGGGCTGTCAATCACTGACCCCCGCCCCCCGGGCTGTCAATCACTGACCCCCGCCCCCCGGGCTGTCAATCACTGACCCCCGCCCCCCGGGCTGTCAATCACTGACCCCCCGCCCCCCGGGCTGTCAATCACTGACCCCCCGCCCCCGCGGGCTGTCCATCCTGACCCCCGCCCCCCCGGGCTGTCAATCACTGACCCCCCCGCCCCCCGGGCTGTCAAGCACTGACCCCCGCCCCCCCGGGCTGTCAATCACTGACCCCCCCGCCCCCCGGGCTGTCAATCACTGACCCCCCGCCCCCCCCCCGGGCTGTCAATCACTAACCCCCCCGCCCCCCCTGGGCTGTCAATCACTGACCCCCCGCCCCCCCCGCGGGCTGTCAATCACTGACCCCCCGCCCCCCTGGCTGTCAATCACTGACCCCCACGGCTGTCAATCACTGACCCCCCCCCCCCCGCATCCCCGGGCTGTCAATCACTGACCCCCCGCCCCCCTGGCTGTCAATCACTGACCCCGGGCTGTCAATCACTGACCCCCCCCCGCCCCCCTTGGCTGTCAATCACTGACCCCCCGGGTAGTCAATCACTGACCCCCCGCCCCCTGGGCTGTCAATCACTGACCCCCCCGCCCCCCCGGGCTGTCAATCACTGACCCCCCGCCCCCCGGGCTGTCAATCACTGACCCCCCGCCCCCCCCCCCCCCCCGCTGTCAATCACTGACCCCCCCGCCCCCCGGGCTGTCAATCACTGACCCCCCGCCCCCCGGGCTGTCAATCACTGACCCCCCCGCCCCCCCGGGCTGTCAATCACTGACCCCCCGCCCCCCGGGCTGTCAATCACTGACCCCCCGCCCCCCCGGGCTGTCAATCACTGACCCCCCGCCCCCGGCTGTCAATCACTGACCCCCCGCCCCCCCGGGCTGTCAATCACTGACCCCCCCGCCCCCCCCCGGGCTGTCAATCACTGACCCCCCGCCCCCCGGCTGTCAATCACTGACCCCCCGCCCCCCGGGCTGTCAATCACTGACCCCCCGCCCCCCGGGCTGTCAATCACTGACCCCCCGCCCCCCGGGCTGTCAATCACTGACCCCCCGCCCCCCGGGCTGTCAATCACTGACCCCCCGCCCCCTTGGCTGTCAATCACTGACCCCCCCCCGGCTGTCAATCACTGACCCCCCGCCCCCTCGGCTGTCAATCACTGAGCTGACACTCTTATGTTGGTTCGTCTCCACAACTGCTCCGAGTGGCGTTCGCAATCCTCTTTGTGGTATAACAATCGTTGCATTTGACACAGCGCCTGTGATCACATCCTCGAGACGTCTCAAAGCGCTTCACAGGATATACTGTAAAGTGGATTGACTGTGTGTTTTGTGGGCGAAACGCAGTGATCTGTGAGGACAGATTGTGCAGATGCTAATTTCAAATTGCCTTTCAGATTCTTCCTTCCACAATCCCCACCGCCTTCCTATTATTTCCCATTCCGTCTCATTTTTTTTCTCATGTCCGAAAATTGGACCTCACACACCAAGTTGCAAACAGGAGGGGGTGACGTTGCAGAGACTGGGAAACACGCTGACACAGCGTCAAGAAATAACATGGCCCCATAGAATGTGATGTTCAACAACCGCACGAGGCAAATCGGACACAATTACAAGTTTATTTTCCAGCGTTTCCTGATTTCTACGTTGCAATTCTACTTCCATGTCCATCATTACAGCATACGGGTAAAATTACATGACGTAGAGGCAGAGCCCCGTAGAGAACGAAATTGACCACATAAGATTGTCATATTTCAGTCTGTATGAAATTAGTGCGGGACTTAAAACAAAAGGCTACCGCAGTGTTCAGGGGCTATTCAGTACACAATGAGACACTCATGAGAGCTTCATATTATTTGGAAATGGATGCTGGCTCTGAACATAGGTACTTTCAGGCTATTTTAAAGTTGCTACTAAACACACACCGAGTCCAGAGAGCAGACACGTCCAATGATAGAGGAACCTAAACAGACTTCCAAGACACTCCGTTGATCATTGGCCCATTGGATCACGTCATGTTTCTGAGATGCACTTCCTGCTCTTCCGAATGCTGCAACATTCGGGGCATCCGCACGGACAGCAGCGGGTGAGGTGTCTACCAAGGCTGGTCCTGTTCAGCGTGCAGTAGTACAGCATGTCAGTCACCAGCAGCACTGCCAAGCAGAGCCCATATAGACAGACTGTACTTAGTGATCCATACTTACTGAAAAAAAACAATGGAACAACTGATGTACAGGAGCAATGTCATAGCATCTCAAAGCACTTCAATGCTAATTACTGTCAAATGTAGCAACTGAGCACAGAACGACTGTTATTGCACATCCCAGTTTAGCGTGGGGATGGATCCGCACTTTCCTGGAAGCTTGGTACACTTCCAGCTTCCAACGCTTGGCCGGCTGGCTTCCCGCACATTGCATGATAATAATAATCCTTGCATTTGATATAGCGCATTAGTATGTTGTTGAGATCTCAAAGTGCTTCACAGATAATTCTGTAAAGTGAATTGACTGTATATCTTGTGGCCGAAACACAGCAGCCAATGGCGCACAGCAGTGTCTCACAAACAGTCGTGGAGAGAGTTTCTTAATTACATTAATTAAACCACCAATTAATATGATAGTTTGGGCCCCTAAACTCAGACCCAGCACTATAATGTGGGGTACTAAAATATGGCCTTATGTCCACCAGAATCACAAGGCAGAAATTAAGTTAATAAATACAATCAAAAACCAGGATGATGATCTGGAAACGAGCAGAAAAATTGGATCCAACATAGAATATAATTGACAATAGTATCAAGTAGATAATTGCTACCTACGCGTACAAGGAGGGCAGTGTGGGGTTAATTCCAGTCATGTTCTGGAACTCTGCCTGATTGCAGCAGTATTTCAGGGTCCGGTTACTCCGGTGGCAGCAGTAAGCGTGTTTCTGGTCTTCGTTGAGCCGTGGGCAGTGGAATCCAAAGTGGTACAGCTCAGCGGAATCCAGGTATGACTCGCAGAGCCTATACTCAGAGGCAGAGGCTGAACACACAGAGTTCACGGTCAGCGTCAGATCACTTGATTACAGATTTACAGTTTAAAGCGTGGGGAACGTCAGCCGCGAGGAAGCACTTTTTTTGCTGGAACAATCGCTCACCACTGGAAGAAAACATTCACACCACGATCATTCTAGAATCACATAATCACATGGTTCAGAAACAGACCATTCAGCCCATTAAATCTCAGATGGAGGTTTTCTCTACATAAACCAAACTGGTCGCACTCTTCTGCTCGCTTCCCCAACCCTTTAATATCCCCTTTTGCAAGCATCTATCTAAATCGCTTCTAAAATAGCTTTTGGACTCTGCATCAGCAAGCGTTTGTGTCAAGTTGCAGTAGTCCTTAACGTGTTCCTAAACTTAATCCTGGCAGCAATTACTACTGTCTTGGTCATATCTTGATTTACTCCCGGTGGTTCCCTCTCCCTTGTACCCAATTATGAAACTGATCTCCACCAAGTTGGATTTTTCAATGTTTTGAAGTAACAGCCTGAAGTTTTTATTTTTTGCCCCTTTAGAGAATCAAAAGCATATTTTTGTTAATCCTTATTTTCTGGACCCAATGAAAATCGTGCTCACCACAGGCCAGAAAACGTTATCAAGGTCAGTGCCTTGGAGCTACTTGGTACATACCCATTAATGGTCGCTCACAGAGAAGGAGGATAGTCAGGAACTGAATGCCCAGCGACATTGTGACCCACACCTTGTGACCAGGACCATCAGTCTGGGAGTTATCCTCATTAGGTGGCAATAAAGCCTGAAACAGGGATATCAAACATATAACACTGTCGAGACATTTCAAAACGCTTCACAGGATACACTGTAAAATGGATTGACTGTATTTTGGGGGCAAAATGCTACAACCACTTTGCGCTCAGCAATATCCCACAAATAACCATAAATTTTATTTTTGGGAGTTTGTTGGCCAGGACACCGGAAAAACTCCCTTCTCCATTCGAATAGTGCCGTGCGATCTTTAGGATCCACCTCAACAGGCAGACGGGGTTTTGGTTTAGTTACTCGTCTGAAATATCACATTTCATTGCATATTAATTGCAATTTAATTTGCTTCATGACCGGGGGTTGTCAGTCTCAGCAGCGTGCCCTACACTTCGCAGTGGCCTGGAATTCAAACCTAGCATCGTACCTGCAGACAGATCGAGATCAGTGAACACCTTCCCTGTTGTTGCTGACTTGGTCCAAGAAATACATCCTCCTGTAAAGCTCACTCACCACTTCCCTCAGCGAGCCCTGCCCGGCTCATGACACTCACATGATTCGCTCCTGCAGTAATTCCAAACAAATTAGTCACATCCATCCATGGCTCTGACACTAATTACTTGATAATGAACCTGAATTATTGCAAAGAAACAAGATCCTTGTGAGAAGGTGAGGCAAGGAGTGAGAACAGTACAGAAAGAGCGGGAGAGGGCAGAGAGAGAAAGCGAGACCGACCGACAGACAGAGAAGGGCAGAGAGATTGAAGGAAGTCGGAGAGAGAGAAGTGAGAGAGAAAGACACTTGGAGAAACTCGCTTCTGTTTCTGAATATTGTGGGATCTTTAACGTCTACCAGAAGAACAGTCAGACAAGTTTAATGTCTCATCTGAAGGACAGCATCTTCAACAACACAGCTCAGTGGTTAGAGCACTCGCTTTGCAAGCGAGAGACCTGAGTTCAATTCCAGGCAGAGGGTGAAACCTTGGGCAAGTTTCCTTACTCCACACAGAGCCTAATAATAATCCCTCCAAAACCAAAAAACAATAATAAATTGGTCATTTTCAATCTATGACTGTTTGTGGGACATTGCTATGTGCAATTGGCTGCCGCGTTCGCCCACAAATATACAGTCAATTCACTTTACAGTGTGTTCTGTGAAGTGCTTTGGGACGTCCTCCCGACGTGAAAAGCGCTATATCAAATGCAAGAATTATTATTATTATTATAACACAGCGCCCCACCAGCAGTGCCAATCTAGACTGTGAGCTCAAGTCTCACTTTGGGGGGGTTGAACCCACAACTTTCTGATGCAGAGGTGAAAGTGGACCCCACTGAGATTCCCCTCAGCAATGTGGAATCTGGACCACCTGACATTACTACAGGAAACACACATGCTGATGATCAGTGATGTAAAACTGTCACTTCTTCCAAGGGCACAGTTGTACCTTAATAATAATAATCCTTGCATTTGATATAGCGCTTTTCACGTCTTCTAGATGTCCCAAAGCGCTTCACAGAATATGCTGTAAAGTGAATTGACCATTTATTTGTGGCAGCCAATTGCGCACAGCAATGTCCCACAAACAGTCGTAGATTGAAATTGACCAATTTATTATTGTTTTTGGTTTTGGAGGGATTATTATTAGGCTCTGTGTGGAGTAAGGAAACTTGCCCAAGGTTTCACTCTGCCTGGAATTGAACCCAGGTGTCTCGCTTGCAAATGCCCTAACCATTGAGCTACAAGACTGATATAGTGCCTTTTCACATCTTCAAGACGTCCAAAATTGCTCCACAGAATATACTATAAAGTGCATTGACTATATATTTTGTGGGCAAAATACCTTGTTCATACTTTGTGCATTAACAAGAAGGGTTTGCGGGACTCGTCAACGTGGGGACACTTACTGTAAGAATTTTTTTTAAAGAAACGTCCAGGTAACATTTCTGGTGCTTGTAGCAGACTGGAGTCCCTTTGACTCCCCACTCATACCCTACTCATGTTCACAGATCCTCTTTGACTGTGCTTTTGTTCATTATTCCACTCCCCCCACAACAAAAAAACTCCAGTGCCCAGCCAACAGGGTGAAGCACTTTGAAAGACACTATTTAAATGTAAATTGTTTTGTATTTTGAAATGATTTCAGAAGTACTCCTCTCTTCGCCCCTCCAAAAAAATAAACCGAATCAAACTTTTACCTGAGAATTGGATAAACTGAAAGAAGTTTCAACAGAATTCCATTCACGAGTGGTTTTGAATGTGCAAATATCACAATTTTTAAAGAAACCGAATTTGTAATTTTGAATGTTAGAATTGATAACTTTCAACCTGAAACTTACCAGATTACGGGCACTTGTGAACTCATCGGGTCTCCAGATACCTCCGGGCAGGTCTGAATAACTGATCCTATGTGTAATTTTCTTATTTTAAATGCAAAATACTGTAGTTTTGCTGCTGTTCTTTAGAGCAGATCCCAGCTTGAAGTTCCTCACTGTTTATTTTTGCGCTGTTCCTCTCTGCAAATTCTGAGCTGCAAATAAAGGTCCTTTCTGTCTTGAGCCCATGTTAATTTTTATTCCCAGATTAAAGCCCACCGGAGCAATATGATCGCTTCAAGTGTTCTGAATCTAATTGATGTGCGGCAGTTTTGGGGGGAATTGAAAGCCTTAGCAACTTTACTCTGCCACGCCACTCTCCTAGCAACGGACTCCAGTCTCTCATTGAAACTATGTAAATTAATTTCCTATTTTCCTCCTTCTGGCGCTGATGGTTTATTGCCTTTGATTTCCCCCTTTGTCAATTAGTGTGATGAATAAAGTATTTCAAATCTCTCTGCAGTAACACAGGCACACACTTGGGTTCTTTATCTCGTCTCCCCCTGATGGTGCTGATCTTGAACAGACAGACTGGTCTGAGCAAATGTTAAGGGTGACAGTATTGTCATCAAAACCTTTTTAAAGTGAGAAGGACTCGGCCAGTCTGCAAACTTTTACCAGTTTTTTTTTTGGAGGGAGCTCTTTATACACAATGTCACTTACTGCACATTGCCACGAAGTAACGATAGTCCAAGTTCCAACACTTTCTTTTTTGAAAAAAAATCTTTTCTTCTGCCTTTGTATTACTCGTGTTTTGCATTACATTTCCAGTTCCATCCACTACATTGATCCGGAGCACAGACACATTTGCACTTTAATAGTTTACATTAACAGCCGCCCTGAATGACATCAAAGCCACGGTGATTTACACAAGTGAGATGAAAGTCTAAAATTCTGCATTTTCTTTCTATTGCACCACCTGTGGCACCCAGACAGGAAACTGGTTGTTGCATTGCGGCTGAGCCTAGGTTTGGTGTGTTGCAATACATATTCCCTTAAGATCTAAACCCTGTAATCTACCTTTAAGCAATTCTGTTCTTACTGTCCTAAGATCCAATCAATCCGGTGTTAAATTTAGTTTTTTTTAAAAAATATTTAGTCGCTTAGGATGCCATTCAGCTCATAGAAATAGCTCTTGCATTACACAGGGCAACTATTTAATTCGATTTCCCCTTTGATACTTGTTGTTATATACAATCTCCCTTTCAACCCTTCTATCGAGTATAACTTTGGTATTCTGTCCCTTATTCTCAAGATTCTTTCACCAATATTAGCTCTATTATTAAGGTCATGTTCTCTTATGCTGGATTCCCCCAACTTAAGCAAAGTCATTCTCTATTACTTTGTCCTTTATTTTGAACGCCTCAATAATGATAATCTTTGAATTTGATATAGCACCCTTATCACGTCTGAGACTTCTCAAAGCGGTTCACAGATTATACCGTAAAGTGAATTGACTGTATATTTTGTGGGCAAACTCAACCCCCTGACCCCAAGAACCCATTTACGCTGGGTCTCTTTTAAAATTAAGAAACCCAGTTGAAGAGACAAGTTTCGTAGAGCCACCATGGTACAGATAGAGATGGCAAAGAGGAACTGGATGGCTCCTGAGGTAATTAATGTCAGTTTGGAAAATGTCAAGGTCTGTAAAGTTTGTGTTCATGAAAAGCATTATCCAGTGTGTGTTTGGTTAGTAATTACTGATTGCGCTGGGGGAAACTCGGAAAGTGCCGAAGTTCAGTAGAACTGGCGCATGTGCATTATAAATATATTGAGTAGCCCTATAAATATTTTTTTGTGTACTTAATGTTGTTTTTGTTACTTACGTTGATATCAAGTATCCAAAGGTGTCAGTTTCAACAATTTGGCTGGTAACTTACCTCACTATTATGCAAATGAAGGATTGGAAGTGTACTTCTCCCCTTTTGGGCAACTGAGGGGAGGATTCTGATTGAATCATAAAAATGACATTGATTACATCAAGTAAGTGGTTCAATACAATTACCATTGGGTACCTAATTTGGGAAGGTGCTCAATGCCCATGAATGAAATGGTCACTTTTTTCTACCTGATTTCAACAAAAGGTATGTGCTCTGACTATTGATGAGCAGTAGTCAGAGGTTGGTTCTTCGTGCACTTTATATTAACTTCATTACAAGTGGCTGCTAGCGTCTTTAGTTTAAATGCAATTAATGTTTGTTATTTCATAGCTGTGTTTGTTGATATTTATCATGTCGTTTAAGATTTAATGCCGAGGGTTGTGGATTTCCTCGAAGCTGCAATAACATTCTGTTGAATTTACTTAACCGTGCTTTCTCGAGCTTTCTATATAAATCAAAGGAGGGAATCAACAGACAGGTACAGCCTAGGACGTAGGTATTCAAAAATAAACCTCTGATTGACTGAAGCTTCTCAATTTGCTTTAAATAGCAATTGGTAGTACCTGTCATCGTGGAAGAAATCATTCATCAACTTACACCTAGTTATAGGGACTTGCATTCATTAATGAGGATTGAACACAGAGGCCACCCAGTACACTCTGTGAGGGGGAGCAAGCCATATTGTGGGTGTACATAGGGGGGTAAGAACCGTCTCAAGGTGAATAGTTGAAAGAGTTCTGGAGTTTCATTTATGTGGATGGGGAAATGCAGGCAGAGTTCTTGCAGATTAATCTAGTTAGGTTGTCCATTCCAGAGATTGGAATATGTGCTCTGGAAAATGAAATTGTACAGAGCTGTGCACTCGGTGAAGTGGTTCAGAGCTCATTCAGTCCCTGGTTTTATTGAAACCTGCTCATCGTCATGGGATGATTGGCTCAACCCAATTGTTCCAGCAGCCCACAATAGGTAATTTAATATTGCTTACATTTGATAAATTGCCTTTCAAGTCAGGAGTACATCTCAAACTACTTCACAGGATATACTCCTAAAGAGAAATGACTTTTTAGAGGGTGAATGCAGCAGCCAATTTTATATGCTGCAATGCACCACAAAAACTCTTTAAGTTAATGACCATTTTTTAAAAAATTTGGGGAAACTTCTCTTCTTGAAAAGCAGAGTGGATCTTTAACATCCACCTCAACGGGCAGATGGGACCTCGATTTACCATCTCAATTTAATGTGCACATTCACTCGTTTTCCAATCAGGTAAATTTACAAAAAAACAACTGTGATCAGTAAGTCCAGGACCTTTTTCACTGTTGACAATAAACTGAATTAGATTTGCAAAACTTCAGCAGCCTCTCAACACAATGATGCTCTGAGGCTAATCCTGTTCAAAAACATCTGCTCTGGGTATTAACTGATCATTGAAATACAGCTCTAAGCAACTGCCAAAGAATTTTCATAAAGGTTATTAAAACAAATCTAGAGTTGATACCCGATTCTTTATTAGAAATTTCCCAACACAAAGCATAAATATTAATGACGAGTAAAAACTGATTTGGCTGCAGTAAGTGGTTTAATATGGATGGGAGTCACTGTATATCTTTAGAATTAAAATCTGACGCAGTAATGTGGAAGTCAGTTTTATCGGTTTGGTATATAATGTAATTTAACTCACTGACCAGGCAGTGGTTTTAGCGAGTTTATTAACTGAATGTTTGAGCCGTATCAGCCAGGACTACAGCACACTCGGACTCAGGTGTTGGATGTGGGAGGAGAAAAGATTCCATTCCCGAGATCTCAACGTCAGACTTTATTGAGGGATTTTAAGATCTTATTCGGGATTTTCTTAGTTTTAATTCTGATGTTCTAATTTTAAAATAGCAGCCCACTTACCGTAACTACATTGCAGTTATTCGATAAGTTTCTTCTCAATTAACCTCAAAACAATAAATCTGCAGAAGCAATACTTTTGAGAAATAAAAGCTACTGGGCAAAACATGGCTAAAGATTATTTTCCTGTTCGATTCTGCAATTGCCATACACCATGATTGTCATTAAATGCAAAAAGAGCACAGGACTAATGTTGGCTTTGATATCACAATATTGACATAATTACTCCAAACAAAGCCCTATGAAATCAAATACACCCAGGGCTGGAGGTTTGAGCTCATAGCAAACAACAGATATTGCACAAATACCCCCACTCCCCCCAAGAAAGGTGTGTGAACGAAACCAGTGTGATAAATAGTCTAGTGTTACCACATTTCTGGGTATGGTGTGGGGCAGAAAGAGAAAAATTGAAACAGACGGAGCATCAGCTCTAAGTGATTTACAAAAAAAATGCATCTTTATAAAGCCTTAAGCATCAACACATCTCAAAGCGCTTTACTGCATTTACTGTCAAATGTAGTGAACTTTTCATCGGCAAACAGCTGCCATTCTGCAAACAGAGGGGGCCACTAACAGAATAGAGGTAAATCGTGATTTCTCACCAATGTCTGCACAAACTGGCACAAAATGAGGAGACTCCTTTCATGTAGTGTCAGGAGATCTTCCACCCGAGGATAGGTAGACAGGAACAAATTGCTCCCTGCTTTATTTAGATTGCAAGTGTCATCAGTTCGACAGTTAAAAGTCCACATTATTGAATAGAAAACAAAAGTCCATAACTCATGATGCCTCTTTCAGAAACCCTAGGAAATCCTCTGTCCCGTTGCTGTGTGCAACCGTGCATCAATTCACACACCATCACCAGCTTCCCTTCGTCTTCTCTTGATATGTAGAATCGGCAGAGGTCGACTGCAAAGGCTTTCTTCCAAATGCCCACACGCTCGTACTACATTCAGTTTTATCTTCATGTCCATGGTTTAGTGTTCTGTCTCTCCCCCCCATCCCAACCCCCTTTAAAATCACAGTTATAATTATGTGCAAAGGCTAAAGCCCACTTGGCTCTTTCAGATTCCTGATACTGAAATTCAGTCTTTCTTCTCAAGTTAAGAAACCACAAGCCACACTAAAGGAGGCGATGAACGAAGTTCACATACCGCGCAAGAATTTCCTTCACTCCAATGTTATCCTTACGACTCGTATATCTACAAGGTTTGTTTTTTTAAGCACTGTTTCGGAAGTCACTGTCTGGTGCTGTCGTCGAGTGCAGTCTAATATTCACACAAGTTTGGTCCTGGGTTACATTGCGTTTGTGCTTCTCTGTACTGATCGGCTGGATTCCAAGCACCGAGTGCTCACTCCTCATATACAATCCTGCCACAGTCCTACTGCTAATATGCTGCTAGCTTGTCTTTACCTGTAACCAGGAGCTTGTTCAAACCATCCGGATCTGGAATGTGGAAACTTCCATCGACTTCATGGAAATAAGGCCACTGTTGTTTAACGGCTCAGACGGATAGAGCAGGGACAGAGACGTGGGTTGGACACTCCGAATGTCTAGGCCTTGAAACAGATTCTCGATTGAGAGCTGCATAAAAACATTATGGATTTAAGCTACATTTAAATTATCGGGATGTTTGAAAAGAAGATGCAGAAGAACCCTGTTATAACATGCTCTATCTAATGCAAGGATTATTATTATTATTATGTGGTAGTTGATCACATCAGTGACATCACTGCGCACGGGCACAGAAAGTCAACCAGCTGCAACAGTGCAAATTGCACTTCAAACTGCAATTTATGTTTCAAAGTAGGGGTTCTACAGAATAACAACAACTTGCACTTATATAGCGCTCTCTGTGCAGGGCAGCAACTCAGAGCGTTTAACAATAGCAGAGCCTTACCTTCCAGAACTTGGAAGGTAAGGTTTAAAGGGTACACAGAAAAGGCAGAAAAATAAGATTAAAACATCTAATCAACTGTCAGAGCAGGTTCATGAGACTGAATGGCCTCCTCCTATTGCTGAGTGCATCCTACCTTGCCATGGGTGGTGCTGCAATTGAAGCCCAAGGTCTTGGCCTCCAGGCTGCAGTCAAATCCTTTGCGATGGAGAATTAGTGCAGACTCCGAGCCGGGGGCTGAAGCCACCTGCAGCACAAACACCAGAGAAAGTTAGTCATTCAGTAGCTGAAAGTCAAGCTTCAGCACAAACTAAAAAGCGGGGCTGGTGGGTGGAAAATAGATTAGAAAAAACAAAGTGCATGACAATACTTAGAATAATAATCCTTCCATTTGATATAGTGCCTTATCAAGTCATCAAAACGTCTCAAAAGTGCTACACTGCATATACTAAGTGGATTGACTGCGTATTTTGTGGGTGAACGTGGCAGCCAGTTGCGCACAGCAATGTGCCACAACAACCATAGAATGCGTGACCAATTTTATTGGGAATTTGTTGGCCGGAACATCAGGTGACAGAAACTCCCTTCTCTTAAAAAGTTCACTTAAAAGGTTCCTGGATAAATATTGGGAGTTGAGATTGGGGTATGCTGCTCTGTGGGAAGCTAGCATCAGCACAGAAACGGGGAATAGAATTAAAGAAGCATCCAAAAGCCCAGACTATGAGTTCAAGTCCTGACATTACCAAGAGAGCTAGGAGGATACTGAACAGTTAGTTTGCTTTTCTTGCTCCTCACCTCGGACTGCAGAGTTCTTAGGTTCAGGATGTGCGTGTCGCATGGCACGCTTGCCGAGAGCGGCTTCCAAGACCTCACTGGCGGAACGATCTGGGGCCGGGGAATCACCGGCAGGGCCATGACCTTGTGGTTCACATACATGGAGGTCATGTGGCTCAGCAAAGAGGGAAAGCTGACTGGCCTGCCATCCTGCACCTGTGAAAACAAGACACCGGATGAAGACGCCTGCATTTGATATCTAGGTTAATTCGGTCTCACCTCTCACTATAAATGGAGACTACACTGGGTGGTAAGTTGATCACCTATCTGCCAATTATCCCTGAATCATTTTCCTGCTGCTACTGATTCCCCTGCGGTCAGTGTAGCAAGCGATTTGCAAACCTCGCCAAATCAAACTGTCAGACATTGTCAACCGGAACTAGCAATTAACACAACAACAAACCGGGTTTACAAATACCCAAACTTAATGTTGGGCACAACAAACACTTCACCCAATGGTTTCACCATTTTGCAATTAGCCTATTTGAAGTCCTCACTGCAACACCAGGGGTCAGCAGTGAATGACAATGATACACTTCTTCAGTGACAGCTGCTGCTCAGCCAAGTCAGTACTCATTCATCTTGTGCATTTTTTTTAAAAGGATCACTTTTGTGTCTTGAGCCTAGACCCAGCACAAACTGAGTGGAGACGGTCTGAAACTCAACATCACATGGCTCCTCTTTCAGCCAGAAGTCTTGTAACTTCTCTGGTCCAGGTTCAACTAACCCACTACGTTTTAAGGCTGAAGTGTAATAGGGAGAAGAGGTGCTTCACTTGCCTGAAATAGGAACGCCTACATGTGAATTACTCTCAACCACCAGAGACAACATGAAAATTGTCATGGATCCAGAGCAGACATCAGAGCTGCCTAGTTTCTAAATAAAACTCGCTAAACATTTAGAGGTCAGTCTGCATTAGCTTTAGATCCCAGTAGATACCTTCAGCACAACACAGGTCTTTACTCTTAAAACTGCATTTCTGTAGCACACAGAACGTAGCGGTACAAGTACACAAAGCCACAGAGCTAGCTAGATCTCATTTAGCAGCTACAACTCACAGCACAAGAGGAGATGTTCACTGACAGATTCCCCTCCCTCCCCCCGAAATGTTACCTCTTGGGTCCCAGTCGAGGAAAAGATGGAAACAGCCAGCGCCTTTAACATGGAGTACAGCCTTGAGAGAAAGCTAACATGCTAAAGAGGGAGGGCGTGGGGTAGGCAAAGGGGCGGGAGTGAAGAAAATATTGAAATGAAACATGAACTGAGAGAATGCAGGACAGCAACAGGTTAATGCCCACACGCACACACACCACACACACACACACCACACAGTATTCACTGGCTGGGCTCACATGTGAAGACCACAGTCCTTTGTGATATACATATGACAGTCTTCACCCAAGCTTAAGCACAATACACCTCCCAAATACACTCCCATCTGGATTATACTCATGGTGTGTCTGAGCTGGACAGGACAGGTTCACATATTCTGCAGAAAACTCACTCACAGGCAGTTATTTTTGAAATGAACGGGAAAGCAGAGAATGAAGTGTAAACAGTGAGCCGCAACATTGCAATCGATATGCAGCGAATCCCGATAAAACCCGCAAAGTGGGAAACAAGAACACAGCAAGCCTTGAATTCTCAGATCCACGTAACTCTTTGCTTAAAATCTAAGCTCTTGGTAACGTCTGTTTGCTCAACACTCGATACTCACATCTGAGAAATAGGATCCACGCTCTCTTTAGTTTTTAATTGTTCTTAGAAATCATTGCACACCTAGGAATATTTAAGTCTACCTGGTCTACACGGACTCAGAGAATTACGGGTTATGTAAAGTGATGGACAGTTTAAAATTAAAATGTACTTTGTTCGAGCTCTCTCTCTTCTCCAGCAGGATGCGGAATTGATTGCAGGTCACTTTGTTGTCCTTCAGCCCCTGCCCCAGGCCCCGGTTATCATCCTGCATGAGCCGACGGTCCAGGATAACCTCCAGCTGACCTGGTAAAAGAGAAACCAAAGATCGAACGGATGTTCAGGATTAGGGAGAGATTCGACCAAATAAACAAGCAGCAACTTTTCTCCTGGTAGAATAAGAAAGGCCATTCTGCTGCGTTTCACCCACAAAATATACAGTCAATTCACTTTATAGGATATTTTGTGAAGAGCTCTGAGATGTCCTGGAGTCCTGTAGCTCAGTGGTTAGAGCACTCGCTTTGCAAGTGAGAGACCAGAGTTCAATTCCAGGCAGGACAAAACCTTGGGCAAGTTTCCTTACTCCACACAGAGCTTAATAATAATCCCTCCAAAACCCAAAACAATAATCAATGGGTCATTTTCAATCCACGACTGTTTGTGAGACATTGCTGTGCGCAATTGGCTGCCGCGTTCGCCCACAAATATAGTCAATTCACTTTACAGTGTGTTCTGTGAAGCGCTTTGGGACGTCCTCCGGACGTGAAAACACTATATCAAATGCAAGGATTATTATTATTATTATGTCTCAATGACGTGATAAGGCGCTAAATCAAATGCAAGGATTGTTATTTTATTTTACATATGCCCTTAAACCCACACTCCCACTTCCCCAAAACACCACTTTATCTTCACCTCTGGAAGCTATAGATTACACAAGTGTAAGCACGAATTCTTCTACCCTTGAGCAAAAACAACCATTTTTGGACCACCTCCTAATGACTTCAAGAGCTCGAATTATAATGCACCAAAATATCCCAAATAAAATACCAAAGGTTACTGCAATCTATAGACAATCCTTTCCTTACACAAACCAGCATCCACCACCTTAGATCTAATGTGTTCTGCCTATTTAACAGAAACAACACATGTTAACTCTAATTCGGTGCTATTAACTGATGGTTCGGATAGGCAAAGCTGCACACTTAATCCTCACCGCTGTGCAAACTGGACACTCCCAGTGCCTGTGCCGTGTGCAGAGTGAGCCGCGAGTGCTCATCCTGAATATAGGCCATGGTTGACATTGGGTAGAAATTGGCTTGAAGAGGCAGCTTCTGAAGGTATCTCCGTGGCTGAATCTAAAGTAACGCACAAATCACAAGGAAAGCACTTTCAATATGCAGCATTCTCACTACTGGTGCAGCATTAACAGTGTAAACGCTCTTTTCCTGGGGGTCAGTTTGCCCAGGATCATTGAGTTCTACCTCCAGTTGTCTTCATACCAGAGAGCCACTCCACTGACGTGCCGCTTGTCCACCCATTAGGAGCATTTCCCAGCTCAGGTGGCTCCCAAGCTACATCCAGCCCAAAGCCAGATCCCAATGTATGGGATGTTCTGTGGAGCCAGGTTATGTCGTCAGTGGAGAGACTCCTTAGTGAGAGCGCAGACATCAAATAAGTGAGAAAGAGAGAGACACTTTAATTAAAGCTTATTTGTACTGTAAGGAACCACTTACCTGAAAACCATTCAGATCGGTGAAGAAAGTGTCTCCACTCTTGATGTCGGTGGACAACCGCATTGCCAGCTCCCGATTCATTTGATCATGAATGTCAACAACAATAGAAACATCCAAGGAGAGTCCCTCGACCCCTGGAAATCAAAGCATTAGCAGGTAAATCACCTTCATCTACAAGGAATTATTCCACAGGTTAGAATGGGAAATCAGGCCATTGATGAGACGTTTCAATTAATTCCTTTGATCCTGTGAAAGCTATATGGTTCTTTTGTCCAACAACTGGAGTTCATTTATGCGATCAACAATATCAGCACACCTTATTGCACAGTCACAATGTATCTAGCACCCAATATATAGACATGCAAAGATACCTTAATGCATAGAGGATTAATATCTCAAATGTAAAATCAGTGCTAAATATGTACATATAATTTCTCCAATCACTTTTACAAATGTGTGCAGCTTCCTATTAAGTGTTTTAACTATCTTCTGCTTTTGCCCCTTTGGTTATTAGTAGATCACATTAAGTCAACCAGAAATGGTACCTAATAGTAATCCTTGCATTTGATATACCGCCTTATCATGTCTTCGAGACGTTCAAAGTGCTTCACAGAATATCCTGTAAAGTGAATTGACTGTATAATTTGAGGGCGAAACGCAGCAGCCAATTGCGCACAGCAGTGTCCCACAAACAATTGTGGATTGAGTGACCAAATTATTATTTTTTTGGGAAGGAATTATTACCCATGGAAAAGCGATCTGCCAATCGACTAGTAACCAGGTTCCTACTTGCTGCTAGTAAACAGAGGCTTGTGGAGTAAGGAAACTTGTCCATTGTTTCGCCTTGCCCAAGAATCAAACCCAGGTCTCTCGCTTGCAAGGCGAGTGCTCTAATCACTAAGCTACAGGAATCCACAAGATAGCTACTATGGGATCTGAATGAGATGCATTTTAGAGGAAGCGAAGTAAACACAGAAGGGAATAGAAGGGAGGGAGTAAGGAGTGGATGGAGAATAGAGCACATGGGAGTACAAACACCAGGATGGACTAGCTGGGCTGAATGGCTTGTTTCCGTGCTGGAAATCAATATAAAGTTTATTTAATATTTAGCTAGTTACTGTATACATAGTGTACTGTAAACTCAAGAAGTATGAATACATGTAGTAAGGTAATCTATAAACAATAGCACTCTGATACAGGTTACATACTTCTGAAAGGGATATAGCATGACTATTCTTATATATTCTTAAATACAAATATAATATATTTTACATACAAATGGTGCTTATTTTCACAGAAAGAGATACAGTAAAAAGTACATTAAATCAATAAATACATCTAGTATGTAGACAATGTAAAGCTACTAAACAGCAATAATGGTTGGAGTTAAGAATGCACATCACACAGGATAAGCAATCATTATTATAATCTCTTTAAACAAATGCTTTATCAAAGGGTTTTATCTTCACTGCAGTGCCAGGGAATTGGGACAGGTATAGTTCAAGCCTGAACTTCAATTCTGTTAAAGCAGACTTAGAGAAACCACAGCGGGTTGTTTGGACACAAAATGCCAAACAAACAAACAGAATCTACAATATCTTTTAAAGGGAATTAGCCAAATCCTAGAAAGAGAGATTAAAAAGTATTTTGAAAGGACAAGGAAGTGAGATTGAATGGAGCTCTTTCAGAGAGTTGGCTCGAACACATTGAGCCAAACAATGGCTTGCTGTGCTCCAAATTCTATGATTTGGAGCTCAGTGCGGCTAAGACAGAAATTGGACAAATCTCTCAAAGATCTTCAAGGAGTGCATTTAATGCTCACTTTTCACTACTGACAAAGAAGCAGTTCCTGGGAGGTACGAGCCCCAACAAAGAGGGACGTTTGTGAGGGATAGAAACAACTACAATGCTGTCGTTCCTATGGTACAGGTGCTCAGGACCTTACCTGGCAGATGGTAAAGGCGAACATACTGGTGGAAGTTCCGATTGGAAGTGTTGACCTCAGAGACCAAGGGGCCTTCAGTCACACGAGTAACAGATGGGTTTTCGGAAAAGTAGGCCTGAAAGCAAAGCACATTCCAGAGAGGTCACTCACCACAAATGTTCCGATTCTGACAATAATATGATGTAGCATCTTATTATGCCATTCAAATGTCTTAAAGTGCTTTTCAGGATTTATTGTAGAGTTTAACCATTGTACATTTTTAGGTGAACGCAACAGCCAATTTGTACACAGTAATGTCCCACAAACCACCGTTAAATGGTCAGGTTTTTATTTTAAGTGGGGGGATTGTTGATCAGAAAGACGGCAGAAACTCCTTTCTCAAGGATCGCCGAATGATCTTTAACGTCCGCCTGAACAGGCAGACGGAACCTTGGTTTATCATCTAAAGGACGGTATCTCTCACGACACAGCGCACCCACAGCACGGCACTTGAGTGTCAGTACCGATGTGGGACTTGAACCTACATCCTTCTGACTCAGGAGGTGAGAGTGTTATCAACTGAGCCAGGCAGGTTGACACTTACTTCTACATCCCATATTCAAATGTTTGGTTTGAAGTTTCAGCACTAATGGCAGAAGGTAGTGAGACTGGGAATGGTGCTGGATGGTGCCAGGATAAGACTTCTCTCCTCCCGCCCAGCACTCAAGAACCACCAAAGGAAAACGAATTATAATGTTCTTACCATGGCTTCGCCATTGGGTAGAAAAAGATATGCCCCACTCTTGTCCTTAGTTGGGCGGGTACCATACCACATAAACTCCACCTGGATCTTCCGTTCCTGCTGGTCATCTTTCCGTCTAATACCCTGAAAAGAAAACAGCAGGACCTTGAACTCAAGACCTTTCGTTTGCATCGGTTGTACACAGAGAAGCACATAGTAACTAGTGACAAATTAATGCAATGGATTTGAATTGCCCCAAACCTCCTCGTCAGTGATACAAGGAAACAGTAATCAGTGCATAAACTCAGGAAATAGTGAATATCTGGTTACATTTCCCTTTAGTGCACATTTCATTATAGGAACATATTTTAGCTAGAACTTTAATAATAATAATCATTGGGATGTCTCAAAGTGCTTCACAGGATATACTGTAACGTGGAGTGACTGTTTTAATTTGTGGGTGAAACGCACATAAACAAAAGTTCACAATAATGGAGCAAGAAAATAAAAGCAGCAATCCCTCCACACTCCCATAATTATTAAACTGTATCTCGGAAACACTCAAGCTTTCTCTCAAGAGGATGTAACTAGTGCTCCTCTGGGGGTTGGTTTATATAAAACTAAAAAAGGAAGGTTCCTGGCGTTGTGCATATTTGTAGCTGCAAATTTGCATAGGGTGACCTTGTGTGGAACCAGCGCTTACGTAAAAATATCACAACTGGTAATTCAGGGTATTGACGTGGAAAGTGTTTCTTGCTCATAGTCTAAGAATCTTACCTCCAACAGCCCCGTCACCCCATTAAACCAGACTTGCATATGCTGATTCTCAATGAAGAAATTCTTGGTTGAGGACTCCAGGATCTTCACGCTAAACGGCTCCCTCTTGTTCACACTCAGGCCTTCGCCGCGGAGGTAGATGGCCGAGTGGGCTCTCACCAGAGCGTGAATATTAAAGGTCTGGGACAACTGGAACACACTGAGTCCCAGAGCAGGAAGTCGAGCCATGAAGGAGACCTGTGGTCAAAGGAGAACACTAGGCAATAAAAAACAGGCAATAAAAAAAAACAAATTTCTACTTTAACTTTACACAGAATAAATGTGTTTAAATCATTCACGATCATTAGATGAATCATTATTAGCATAAGTGTGTTAAATCACGTACCTCATATACGTCATTTGCCATGTTGGTGGCAGATTGCCACACGGGGCTGATCTGTGTGGGCAGAGGTTGCCCATCTTCAGTTGCAACCTTGACCCGGTGAGAGCTGGTGCGAATGGAAATGATGCAGAGACGCTCTTGTTCCACAGGGTTAAATGTGACCAAGAATCTGGAAAGTGACACAAGAAACTAGTTACACATTGCAACAAATTAAAACTCTAGCCACAGGGTTTCTTTCACTGCTCATTCACACTCTAGCATTCAATGGAGAGAAGGCAACTCGTACTGAATAGAGGTAGGTTTTTTTTAAACCACCAACAACAAATTATATTTATATAGTGCCTTTCACTTTGGAAAGGCACTCTCGAAATGGTCATTCCCTATCTGAATGAGGGGAAATTTTCATGTGATTTTTGTATAAAAGAAATCCAAAGAAAAATAGTTTCCTGCCTTACATACTCCTAACACAGGGAACAAGGAGCCACACATCTGCAGGGCAGCAACAAAGGATTGTAAGGCCTAATGAATTCACACCAAGTATTGATCTTGGTTACTGTACCTGGGGAGAGACTCCAGTTTAATCACGGTTTTCTCCGGCAACGATTCATGGTTTTGGCGCTTGTCATCCTGCAATCAAAATAGACACAACAATTCACCACCAAACCAACCTACAACACGCTCAGCTACTGGCCTCAAATGGCTGAATGCTGTCAGTCTAGAAATCTCAGACCAATTTGGGCGAGGGGGTAGGGGGGAGAAGAGACATTTTCAACACAAGCTAAGAAAAATTGACTGCAAACGTGCTCAAAGCAGGATCAACAAAGGGTAAACGATTGAACTAAATATCACAAACAGCTCCAATACAAAAAGCATGTGAATACAATGCAATTTACATTTATACACAGTAGCACCTTTCATACTGGGAGGACATCTCAAAGCGCTTGATACCCCTATAAATATTTAGGCATCCAACTTTATTGTGCAGACCAGGGGCTACGGATCGTCTCCAATGATGCAGACTCAACTTTGGATTTGAGGTGGCAGAAGTAACACATAAGCTTTCCAGCTTTATATTATTAAATGCCCAGGCTGTTAGCCTTATTATAATGACTCTAGCGGTGGTTCTTATGCACTGGTGGGCCTGCGGGGTCTCAAGGAGATTTTAAAATTATTTACCGGCTGTAGGAAGAGTGAGGACCGGTCATATCTGTAGGTGTTCTTGTCCTGTAACACCATATAGTGCGCTGCGTTAATTATTACTCGCTTCAAATTCATGAGGGAGGTCACAAGCCTGTGGAGGTAAAGTGAGAATAAAAATTATTAAGTTAGACAGAACACAAACACAAAGCCAGTCATGTTGTCAAAATGAAATCCTGATGTGTGCCAAACCCCCTAACATCCTGCCCCGCTCCCTCTGCTCAGCGGGCTCCGGCCGCTTCACGTCCCCTGCCTCATCAGCCCAACCATTGGTAGGCGGGCCTTCTGCCACTCTGCCCTCACCCTCTGGAACTCCATCCCACAGTCCCTCTGCCTCTCCATCTCCTTTGCCACCTTCAAGACCCATCTCAAGACCCTCCTCTTCAACTGTGCTTTCGATCACCCTGCTTCCCCCTTGCCCTCCACCCTCCCCAATCCTGACCCCCAGCTCGGGTCCAAAACACTGACTGTCCAGCTCCTTGGGACGTCCTCCCGACGTGAAAGGTGCTGTACAAGTGTAATTTTGTTATGGTTGTTGTTGAAGCATCAATCAAATAAGTGCTTTAATAATAATAATAATAATAATAATAATCCTTGCATTTGATATAGCGCTTTTCACGTCGGGAGGACGTCCCAAAGCGCTTCACAGAACACACTGTAAAGTGAATTGACTGTATATTTCTCTTCCAGTAAACTAAAGCTCTGCATTTGTAGTTTCCACCCACAACCCAAATACAGGAACAGCAGCCGATCAGATATACGACATTATATCGTCAGGGCATGTATTTCATAGGAATTTTTGTTAGTGTTTTCTGGGCTGGTGAGATGGTGTGACTGTGCTCCCGGCTGCTGTAGGAACTGCATGCAGCACGTGGTTGACTATTTGGCATTTCTACACCACGTTGTCACATTGAAACAGCTCAAGCGCCTCACAGGTATAATAATAATAATCCTCGCATTTGATTATAGCATCTTATCACGTTGTTGAGCTGTCTCAAAGCGCTTCACTGAATATATTGTAAATGGAGTGACTGTATTTTGTGGGCGAAATGTGGCAGCCAATTGCACATAGCAGTGTCCCACAAACAGTTTGTGGATTGAGTGACTTTTTTTTTACACTTTCCCCAAGCAAGATCTCACAAACAGCAATGAGGTGGATGAACAAATGATCTGGTGGATTGTTGGCCAGGACAGTACAGTCTAATGGAATGCTGCCCTTTGATCCTCTGAACCTACAATGACTGATTGCAAACCGAACAGAATTTTTTTTGCCACATACCGGACACCATAGTCAATCACGACCAATTCTTTGCGGTGCCAGTGATGGCATCATGGTGCTGGAAGAGCCCCAGGTTCTGCCGTGCTTCCACCAGAAAGCTGTAGTCAGACACAGGGTATCTGCCGTCTGCGCCTGAGCGTCGAGCGAGACTCAGAGCCAGGCTGTACAGAATCTCAGCAGCTCTGCAGTAAAAACACACCGTTGCACAGGAAAGTAAAGCCAGACATTTAAACAAATAATCATATACATTATTACAAAATCAGTTTACCTCCCCCACCCTTATAACATTCCAGTGTAAAACCACTAGCCAGACCTGAGCTCAGAGTTTAGTCTGACAATCCAGTGCAGTAGTGTTGGGGGGGGGGCGGGGGGGGACATCTTTTAATGAGACCCTGAAGATCCCATAACACTACTGGAGAAGTCTGTGTTGTTTTTTTCCCCCACACAACGTGTCTTATCCCATTCTCTTGCTTTCTCACATATCGTTAATACTTCTCATTTTGAAGCACCTATCCAATTCTCTTATTGATAATAATACTTATATTTGGTATAGCACCTTTCACATTAGGCACTGTACCAAATGTAAGTATTATATTTAATACCAAAGCACTTGACAGGATTTACAATGAAGTAGGTAAATGTTTTTGTGGGCAAATGCAGCAGCCAATTTGTGCACAGCAATGTCCCACAAACAGCCATGAAGTGAACAGCCATTTTTATTTGGGGGATTGTTGACCAGGACACTGGGAGAAACTCCTTTCTTGAAATCTAATAATTCATAGAGAGAATTTCACACTCCAACCACCCACTGTGTAAAGATTTTCTTCCTAACCTCCTCTTTCAACTCTGATTATGTGGAATTTCAGCGCACAGTGTTTGTGAATCTCATGTGATTCGAACCCTACTATACCTGAGGTGCGATTCCAACTCTCGATCTAGATTCTTATAGAAGGGCCGGGAGGTGAAGTACCCACTCCAGTAATGGTCCTCCCGGTCAGCGTATGCAAAGAAGTCGCCGCTGAGGACAGGGTAGCCCACCGGCCTGCTGCCCGGGCTAACGGCATTCTTCTTATAAACAGCATCGAAGTATTCAGAAAGTGTCCCAAACTGAACCTGCACACGGACAGCCAGACAGAGGTCAGAGCAACACAATGAAAGGGGGAAATTGAGATGCTGTTCTATCCATCACAGGACAGATCTGCAACATTAGGAATGAGATTGTGGCCAGACAAGCGCTTTTAATTCATAAATTCTTAAAGGAATCTCTTCAAACCCTTCCCACTCCACCACCCACTCATACGACCAGGATACAGCTCCACGTTGTACGCCCATCTCACCCTAGAAGTAATTATATCCTGCTCAGTTAACACCAAGAGCATTCGTGAACTGAATTAGTTAAAAAGGGCTAAAAATAAAACAAGGAAAAGATCCCAAATCTTCCACAAAATAAAACCAAAGCCACGGGAACCTGAATGCTCAGTACTTGCTTGCACGTGAAGTTCTGGATGAGAATTCATGTAATCGAACAGTTTCTGGTAATTCTGCGACTGCTGATCCCACTCCAGAGCCTTATCGTAGCGAAAATCATCTCCGAGGGGAATCAGAACCACTTTACTACGGAACAGTTTGGACTTCTTCCGGTATTGATCCAGCAGCAAGTTCGCCCTGAAAAATAGACAAACTTGACTGAGAGAATAGACGTGATAGAGGCCAGTGAACCGGTGGCCATTTCTGTAAATAGTACATTTTGTTCTCTGCGAGCAATGATCAGTTAATGAGAAAACAAGAGACTGAATAGAGAGGATTGTCCAGTAGATCCTGTGCCTAACAACAAGAGGATACCTACTGTATGGTCAACTGCTCCAGCTCATTCCCTTCCTCCTAAAATCTGAAAGGCTTTGAAACACCAGGCTTGGCACCAACTAGCCACTATTTAAATTTATCTTATCTGGCCTCCTGTTCCCTTCAATCCCGGTGATGTTCTGTGGACCCGTTTACCTGGGTTTCTTAACTTCAATAGTTTAATAGAATAAAATATTTCAAAAGACTAACCAGGACAGATGGACCATAACTCCATTGTACAGTTCTTACAGATAACCTACCATCTGCTTAAAGCTCAAATTAATCATATTTATAGAAGTATTCAACGCAGAGAAAAGCCATTCAATCCATCATACGTATCCCGGCTCTGCGTAAGAGCGATCGGTTCAGGCCCTCTCCTCTGCCTTTCACCTATTAGTTTTCTCTTAATTTTCTTTTTGTCGTTATAAGTCTAAACACATGTACTGCAGCTCAATGTCACCACTTACCGCTCTTCCACGTTCTTGTCTGTTATGGGCTTGGGAGGGACTTTCCACGGACAGCTGACGCGTCCACCCGGTAAGCGTTTGAAGTCAAACTGGCAGCAGATTTTGGGGTCAGGTCCGCAGGTGTGAGGGACGTCATAACTGTAGAACGGCATAAGCTGACATAAGATGTCAGTGCTAGAGTCAGTGTCTAGAACGCAGAACAGGAAACACAAAGTAAAACACGCTATTTAGTTTTAGAAGTGTGGCATCAAACCCAGGCAGCTTCTCATCAACGTGTAACCAGATCCCACCCTCCAACCTCCCTCCTAGAAACAAGCGTCTCATATTCAGGACCTTATTACTCTGCTCATAGGGAAGACTCTTTTGATAGATCCTCACACAGGTGTGGTCTCAATGACAAAAGTGCTAGATATTACATGTACACACACGTCATTCACAACAAACAGCAAATCTTGCTGCTTCTTGGAAAAGGCAGAGGTATTATGGTAACGCTTTTACTCGCATACCCCAGCTCTGTCGCCACATGAACTCCAGGCTCTTGGTAGCTGCAAAGTGTTTCTTGATGGAGTAGTGGACCCTCTGGATGAGCATGCTGGTCAAATTGGAGCGTCTAAGCAGGTAGGCCATGGTCGAGCTGTGTCCAAATGGATCGATTGCCCAACCAGATCTTGGGACCACTCCTGGAAGCAAGAGTGGAGATTGTTCATTTGAATGTACAAAAGGACACATAGAGGAGGTTTATTATCAGGACTGTACTAAATAGAGTTAGTATTATATTTATTTAGTGAGTCTAGTTATACTTTCTCTCCTGATGCCCAGCCTCTTCTGTTGGATGTAGTTCCACAGATGCTGGTTTCCCTCTAGTGCTCTGTTCACATGACCAATGTTCTCCGGCCTCCTGCTCATCCCTCATACCCTTCACCCCACCATTGGAGGTTGCGTTTTCTGCCACTATGCCTGAAACTCTGGAACACTCTTCCTCAATCCCTCCGCCTTGCCCTCTCTCTCCCCTTTTTCAAGTCCTGCCTGAAAACCTTCCTCTTTGACCGTGCTTACGGCCACCTCTCCACCTGCTCTTGCTCAGAGTCAGGCTCCACCACTGTTAAGCACTCTGAGACGCTACCCTGTTTGGAGGGCGCTATATAAGTACGTTGTTATTGTTGTTGTTGTTTCAGCCGGCAGCAAGTACCCTCAGCCACTCAACTGTACAGGATATCATGGCCAAGGCTGAACCTTCCTCACTCGGCTACCACACATGCCACATTACTAATAAAGGGGCAAAGAACAGAAACTTGGCTGGTTTTCCCTGCCCTAACTCCGGGAATGATGGACAAATTTAGCTGCTCTATACATCTCCGTCTAAGACCTGCAAGCTCAAACCAGCAAATTCCAAGTCCATAAACTGCGGCTTTGTCCAGAGATTTGGCAGTGCCCTGGAGGAAAGCTGTGGAATAGGTGGTGAAATAAAAATAAAGGCCATTTTAGTAACGCACATTAAACTAATTGTCTTTATTTCCACTTTAAGCAAGTATCCTCAGCCACTCAACTGTACGGGACATCACAGCCCAGTCTGAACCTTCCTCACTCGGTTACCGCACGTGCCACATTAGTAGTAAATCTGTAAGACGGATTCTAGAATCTACTCCAGAGAGAAACTTACCAACATTTCTCACCAGCCACTGGTGCCCCTCAATCAGCTGGTCGATCATTGCAAAATAGTGAGAGTTTGCTTCATCGGTCATCACCCAGCCTCCCGTCACAAACTCCAACTGACCATTAGCTGCCAGGCTAGATAAGAGCACACCACACACTGGAGGGTAAATACAGCTCAGACACTTCATTTGAATATTAAAATAAATCCAAGGGGACAGTCAGCTTGACTTTCGATAGACACAGAGCGATAGATAAACTGCTTAACCTTCAAATCCCAGCTTGGGTCCAAAAACCCTGACTGGCTCATGCCCTGGGACCTCTTTTCTAACATGAAGGGCGCTATACAAGCGTAATTTGTTGTTGTTGATGATAAAAAGTTCTTCGCAAATATCTATCTTTATTTAGCTTCGAAGCTCTTGACATAAAAAGGATTTTAAAAATTCAAAGCTCTTTCTTTTTCCCCTCCAATGTGGACGTGTTCCTGTACCTGCAGACTGCTGCCCTTTTCTGAGCGTCAATGTTGTCCCACCACTTGGAGAAGAAAGAGATCTCAGCCCAGATGAAGCGTCGGCGCTTGTCCTCCTGAAGCTTCACCACCATGTTGTTCAGGATGTGCTGCGTCTGGTCCTGGTAATATTTATCAAACGTTTTGATCCAGCCTGTGCGCGACAGAAAGTAAACGTCACCGTCCGCACGGTTCAGAACTACAGCTCTGACAAGTGTCACAGAAAGGGAACCTCGTCATTCCACCTTCATAGAGCAATTCATTTGTTCACTCCTTTATTCCATCTCAAAGTCGATTTTAACTGGCACAATGCAGTGGCAAATGCATCGCTCAGCAGAGGCATATTACAATAGAATGCTACAGTACAGAAATAGGCCATTCGCTTTAACTAGTCCATTGCCAATGTTTATACTCCACACCAGGCTCCACCCCTCCTAGTACCCTCTATTCCTTCTTAAAAATGTTGATGCTTCAGTGACAGCGAATTCCACATTCTCACCACCCTCTGTGTGAAGAAGTTCCTTCTAAACTCACTTTTAGATCTTCTAGTGGCGATCATATTTATGCCTCGTCGTTTTGGACTCAGCAACCAGTGGAAACAGTCTATTAAATATCCACCTCATGGAATCCTTTCATAATCCTAAATACCTCTTATCAGGTCCCCTCTGAATTGTCTCATCTGCAGAGGAAAAAAAACGTCTACACTGTAATGCATCAGACAAGGGTGACAGTAACGATGCCACAATTGGTCTCAATGTCCTTGAGTTGGGGGGGGTGGGGAGATCGTCCCAGGGTTCCTGCTTCTGCTCCCACCTCGATTGCAGAAAACACTGTGTGGACGTGGCATGCTTGTGCAAGGTTTGCAGCGCTATGAATCAAGAAGGCCCTTTGTCCCAACTCATCGTATCTATCCAGAATATCCACCTTTCCAAGTTGTTAACCTTCTAAAATCTTCAAACCAAAAGCTAGAATCCTATCGAAACTGAACTCCGGATAAACATCAAATAATAATCCTTGCATTGGATATAGCGCCTTATCATATTTTCGAGATGTCTCAAAGCGCTTCAATTTTTCTTGGGACCAGGTGTCGGCTTAGTCTCCCCTCCTCACCTGGGTCGTTGTGGGAGTGCGGCACCACAAAGACCTGCAGTGGCTCCTCATCCCACTCGGCCGTGTCGTACGTGATGTCAAAGCCCTGTTTCCAAGCCCCACCGTCCAGGTTGTCAAATTTCAGCATTGAATACACGTCCAGCATCTGTTAAAGCAAACACCATTTCAACACTGCACCCTGAAAGAGCCAAACAGTTTAGTTAAAAACAAAGGACAAAAATTGCCTCGTTTTTCCTTTTTCCCTCCTACACCTTTGCCAATATTTCCCTGGTTTAAATGAGGAGGTTGGATGAAGTCACATGAAGTGTGAAAACCCTCCCGACAACACTCACAGCCGAGTCTCTCACACACAAATAATCAAAACCTGGGGAAGTACCAGAAGGTGACAGTTATCTGTACAGGCAGAAGGAATAAAGAGAGTGAAAGTATATTCAGTCGAGACGGAGGACATTGGGGAGAAAGATTAATTAAAAAGTATATTAACTCAAAAAGATTTAACAAAAGGCTTCAAGCTGCTGCTTCACATTGAAGGATACAGCGGCTTAAAATTCATTGACAACATAATGTTATTTATATGCAAGATTAAATCTCAGCAAGGTTGCCGACATGTCAGGAGAGATTTTAAGTGATGACTCGTGGCACTGATCCTTGCTGATTAGATATATTCAGAGATCTGGAGGATCGCCATCTGGTTTAGTGTGGTGTGCATGTAGATATTCATTTTCTCCTCTACCTGGAGCTCAGTTTTCTCCCCTCTATTTCCAAGTGCAAACTGGCAGTCTTGTGGTGAGACTGAGAGGAAGGTGGGATAATTGTCCATGGGCAATATCCAGGAGGCATTGTTCTGGTATGAGAGCATTCCCGGCAGCCCATCCGAGTTCTCCGTCAGCTCCAGCACAGAGTCTTTGATGTGACCGATTATCTGGTGATTTTCCTCCAAAAGCTGTTCCAGTTGCTCAATGCGATCCTGGAGCACCGAGATCTGACTCTATAAGAGAAAGAGTATACATTGTCATTTACTCTCGCCCGGGTCCATGGTACGGGTTCCACAAACCAATGTCCTCTCACAAAGCCGATCTCAACTTCTACACGATTACTTCAAAAGTCTGAAGCATTTCCCCTTCACCAATTCTGTATAAAACTCCTTCATCCGGCATTTCAGCATGACATTTCATCATTATGCAATACTGTACAATACTCTTGCTATCTGAAGTAAGACAGATTAAATAATTCCACAAACTCTGATTGAAATTCAGCAAAGCACATTTGCTAGCTAGATTGGAAATTGGTTTTATGGATTAATTATGTTCTGGGTAGGATTTGTGGTTTCCAATGTATTTCTTGAACAACTACAAGCCATCAGCCTGAGTGGGTGGACTTTAAAGGTCACACAGAGCTATTCAAAATAGAAGGCAGCTTCTCCCAGTATCCCATTCAATATTCCTCAAGATAAATTTGGGCATTCACTTCACAGCTATTTGGGGAACAAGCCTGTGCACAAACTGACTGCTGCATTTACCTACAAATACAGTTCCTACATTGCACAAAAAACTTTGAAACTCTTAGAGACATTCTTCATGTTATAGACACTATGCAAGGATCCTGACCAAACTTAATCTTGCAAGCAGTGCAGCGCATTTCGCCCACAAAATATACAGTCAATTCACTTTATAGTCTATTCTGTGAAGTGCTTTGAGACATCTAGAAGGCGTGAAAAGTGCTATATAAAATGCAAGGATTAGTATTATTATCGGGCTCTCATACAAGGATTCAGTCTATTAAGAATCTGAGGCACATAATAAGAAATCATTGACGCTACCCCAATTACAGGAATTAGTTTTACTCCAACACTCCCAAGTGAATTATAAAATAATTCCATCTTCCTGGCAATGAATAGAATTACATCCACCTATACTGTCTATTATGAAACTAACCCAGAAAGAACTGCTTAAGGAAAAATGTCAAGGGTAAACGTCGTGATTGGTGTGTGAATATATCAGTCAAATGGTTGAGCAGATATTACATAAGTGGAAATAGAAACAATAATGGCAGTACTAAACACGCCTAATAATAATCCCTCCAAAAAAAACAAAGCAATAATAAATTGGTCATTTTCAATCTACGACTGTTTGTGGGACATTGCTGTGCGCAATTGGCTGCCGCGTTCGCCCCCAAACATACAGTCAATTCACTTTACAGTGTGTTCTGTGAAGCACTTTGGGACGTCCTCCCAACGTGAAAAGCGCTATATCAAATGCAAGGATTATTATTATATTATTATTATTATATATTGGAATTTTTTAGGAATAGGAAAAATAGTCAGACCAACAAGGGCTCATAGCTTTATAATAAGAACAACAGAAGTGAATAGGAAATGCAAAAGAATTCCTTTTAGCAAAAGGGATTGGAGTGATCCATAAAGGAAGGAATTAGACAAACTCCTGGAAAAGATTTGGAATTATTAGACAGTGATACAGATATTGCAAAGGAATCTTTTGGGCAACTAGATAGGACGTCCTCCCGATGTGAAAGGTGCTCTACAAATGTAATTTTGTTGTTGTTGTGTTGTGGTTAGATCAATGGTCTTACTCCTGCTTGAAACGGATAATTACTGTGTAGTAAATTGTAGCGCTTTAACTGTATGTTAAAGTACTCCAATTCACCGCACATATCAGATGTGTAACCCATTGATGCATTTTGGTGAATTTGGAGGGAAAGCGGAGTTGTATTGGTGTGTTGACAGGAGAAAACCTGTGTTCTTCTTTCAAACAGTGAAACAGAAATACAGCCCACAACATACATAGTCAATTCACTTTACAGTATATTCCGTGAAGCGCTTTGAGAGGTCTCAAAGACGGTGGTAAGACCCTATATCAAATGTAAGGATTATTATCATTATTACTACACCGTGGTTAGCATCCGCCTGTAGGTCAGTCAGAGGGACCTCAGTTGAACAAAGGACAGTGAGTGCCCAGCGCAGCCCCACGCTGACCCGCAGGAGCCCGGAGCGTGTACACTGGCTGGCAACTATCTGCAAGAAATTCCCTCACTACTGTACAGTAACTGGCGCAGAGTGAGCGACTCCTGACACAGCGATGCCAAAAACAACAAGTTTGCAATGGAGAAAATTAGACCCTGGAATGTTAGTGCAAAGGTTTTTTGGAGTGCGCGAGTGAGCACCAGAGGGCTTACAGGGCAGGCGAGAGCAAACGATGTATGGGGCGGTCGGTGCTGGGCAGGGCAGGGCAAGGCAAGGCAGTGCTGGGCAGGGCAAGTGAAGGGCAGGGCAAGGCAGTGCTGGGCAGGGCAATGCTGGGCAGGGCAAGGCTGGGCAGGGCAAGGCAGGGCAAGGCAGTGCTGGGCAGGGCAAGTGAAGGGCAGGGTAAGGCAGTGCTGGGCAGGGCAAGGCAATGCAGGGCAAGGCAATGCTGGGCAATGCAGGGCAGGGCAAGGCTGGGCAGGGCAATGCAGGGCAAGGCAGTGCTGGGCAGGGCAAGGCAGTGCAGGGCAAGGCTGGGCAGGGCAAGGCTGGGCTGGGCAATGCTGGGCAGGGCAAGGCTGGGCAGGGCAGGGCAGGGCAGGGCAATGCTGGGCAGGGCAAGGCAGTGCAGGGCAGGGCAAGGCTGGGCTGGGCAATGCTGGGCAGGGCAACGCGGGGCAGGGCTGGGCAGGGCAATGCTGGGCAGGGCAAGGCAGTGCAGGGCAAGGCTGGGCTGGGCAATGCAGGGCAGGGCAGCGCGGGGCGGGGCGGTTGCTCTTACCCTGGGGAAGTGGACCCCGGTTTGCCTCCTGTTCGGGTCGTGCTGCACCCGGTCCAGCATCAGGTAGAGGGAGAAGACGGCCACACAGAAGATGGCGCCGCCGCACACCGTCACCTGCTTCTTCAGCTTCATGTTGGGCCGGTGCCGCCGACCCGCTAACCGCCGCCCGTCCGTCTCCGTCTCCGCCTCCGCCTCTCGCCCGCCCCCTCCGCGGCTCCGGGAGGGGAGGTGGTGCCAACCCTCAGCCGCGAGAGTGCGCCGCCTGGTCGGCCGCCGCCATACTCCAGCCCCCGGCCCCGGCCCACCCGCTCCGGCTACCGGGCGCTGAAAGAAGCCGCCCCACCCCCTTCCGTCCTTCTCCTCCGCCTCCAACCCCCAACCGCCGCCGCCGGTGTGTGGAAGGACAGAGCGGTCGGTTGGTGTCGGGGCCCCGGGTTTCACGCCTCCTCTGAGCCGGTGTCAGACGCGCTGTGGCTCGGGCCGCCGGCGGCGTTCACCCGGTGCTGCTCCGGCACAGCGCCCCCTGCGGGTCAGGGATTGCATCTACCGCCACAGTCCTCCCTCTTTCACTCACTCACACACACACACACACACACATACAACAACAACAACTTGGATTTATATAGCGCCCTCCCACCCCGGGACGGCGTCTCAGAGCGCTTTACAGTAAGGGATCCCGGGACCCGGGAGGGTTGGGGGGGAGGGGGAGGGTTGAGGGGTTGGGGGGGAGGGTTGGGGGGGAGGGGGAGGTGACCAAAGGCGCGGTCGAAAAGAAAGGTCTTCAGCAGAGATCTGAAAACGGGAAGGGAGGGAGCGAGACGGAGGGAGTGAGGAAGGCAGTTGCAGAGCCTCGGGGTGTAGTGACTGAAGGCATGGCCGCCGAGGGTGGAGCGGAGGACTCGGGGGGACGAGGAGGAGGCCAGACCCGGAGGAACGAAAGCAACAAGTGCTGTTTTGAAGAGAGAGGTCAGAGAGGTCGGGGGGTGCAGAGGAGTGCAGGGACTTGAATACGAGGGTGAGGATCTTGAAGTGGATCCTCTCTGGGATAGGCAGCCGGTGCAGTCTGGTGAGGACTGGGGGGATCGGGGAGCGGAGTTTGGTGCGGGTGAGAATGCGGGCGGCAGAGTTCTGAATGAGTTGGATTTTGTGGCTGGTGGTGGAGGGGAGACCGGCGAGGAGGGCGTTGCAGTAGTCCAGCCGAGAGGTGACGCACAACTGGTCCCAGCGCTGGAGAGCGAGTGTCGGTGTGGCTGGTGGGGTGGGTGGTCCAAGCCTGGGCAAGGCAACAGAAAGCCTGCCAGGCATTGCTTTCAAGCGCTCTGGGACGCCACCCTGCACGAGGGGAGCTATATAAATGCAAGCTGTTGTTGCTGTTGCTTCCGCTGCCAAACTCTGCGGTTTTAATGCGATCAGGATCACGGGGCACGCTCTGGGGGTCCCCCCAAGGCTTTGCTCGTACCCATCCTGTGCCTCATAACTCCGTAATTAGGTGAGCAGGGTGTGTCTCTCCGCTGAGAGAGAACCGATTCCATTGCGGAAATGGAAGTTTTCACACGTAGATGGCATTTGTGGAACTCTCAGTCTGGTTTGGGTACTCTTAAGCATGTCGATTGGTTTCCACACGTGTCAGACACCCGACCGACTAAAAAAAAAAAAATCTTTGTTGGGTGCTCGGTTTTCCCTGAGAGTGAACGCTCAGTTTGCCTATACAAGTCTGAAAGTGTCACTTATATAATAATCCTTGCATTTGATATTGGGCCTTATCACATCGTTGAGACGTCTCAAAGTGCTTCACTGGATAAGCATATATAAGGTTGACGATAGAGACAGGTCAAGGGGAAGACAAGAGAAACTTGTTTGAAGAGAGATCTACTCCCCAGAGTGTGACCCTGGGAGGGAGATTTGAATGTAATGAGAGACTTTGCTTGCATTGTACCAATTTGAACTAAAGTAATAATAAACTATAAGATTTGTTTCATTGAGTGACCAGACGCATTATTGGTTCAAGGCTAATAATATCATGTTCAAATTTGTGTTCAAATAATAATAATCCTTGCATTTGATATAGCGCTTTTCACATCTTCTAGATGACTCAAAGTGCTTCCCATAATATATTGCAAAGAGAATTGACTATATTTGTAAGCAGAACACAGCAGCCAATTGCGCACAGCAGTGTCCCACAAACAGTTGTGGTTTAGTGATTCTTTTTTTTTTGAGGGATTATTATCCTCGGAAAAGCAATCTGCCAATCGACTAACAACTGGGTTCCTAGGTAAAAAGAAGCATGTGGAGTAAGGAAATTTGCCCAACATTGCGCCCTGCTGGGAATGAAATCCAGGTCTCTCGCTTGCAAGATGCAGCAAACCACCGAAATGCAAATTAAATCACTATTTTATTCCCCAATACAGTAGAATAAATTTATAGTACTACAGGTACAGTGTATAATAAACCTTTGGACTATTTTCACAGTAGATTGCAGGACACAGGGGTCACAAAGTTTCCAGTTATGTACACAGGACAGATGAGGTGGTGGTGGGAATGTAACACAGTATATCCAAAACCCAGCATACATACACATGTAAGCATGCCAAGCTAAAACTCAGTTTTAACTGCCAGTATTGTCAATGTCTGCATTTGTGACAGAGTACCAGACCCTTTCATAGAATCATACAGCACAGAACGAGGCCACTCAGCCCATCCTGTCTGTGCCGGGCTCTTTGAAAAGAGCTATCCAATTCAATCCCACTTCCCCACTCTCTCCCCAGAGTCCTACAAACTTGTCCTCCCCAAATAATTATCTATCTTTGTTCCAGAATGAACAATTTCTCATCGATGCCTTCATCCCCAGGTTCATTTCCACCTTTTCCTGATTTCCAAGAGCTCCTGATAAATGGAACTGAAGGTGGGACGTTTCTTCGGGTTGTAATCCCAACAACGCATCATGATGTTGTGCACCTCCTCTGGGCAGGACTCTGGGGCATCCAGACGGTAACCTGGAACAGGAATGACCATAGGTTACATGTGCTCGATAGACAATGATTTTTAAAGTGTGACCATTTCTCCTGAATGTGTTGGCTCAGCCTGGGGATACGAACACCTCCAGTTTCTAACTTGTTCTTCACTTAGTTTGCCATATGGCAGTGAGTGAGGCAATGTTAACATTGGGTAATGGAACTCTTTCCATTTTCAGTCAAAAGGTGTCAGCATTGAGCCATTGCGTCAAGTACCATATAGGTTAGACACAAAGTAAAGCTCACTCTGCACAGCCCTATCCAGTACTCCCATGCCAGAGAATAACATAATAATCCTTGCATTTGATACAGTGCTGTATCACATCATCGAGATGTCTCAAAGCGTTTCACAGGAATTACTGTAAATTGCAGTAACTGTATTTGCAAGTGAACGCAGCAGCCAAGTTGCACACAGCAATGTCCCACAAACAGCCATTAATTGAATGTCCAGTTTTATCTGGGAGATTGTTGGCCTGGATACAGGGAGAAACTCCCTTCTCTTTTTGAAGTGGAGTGGGATCTTTAACGTTCACCTGAACAGGCGGATGGGACCTCGGTTTTTAACGTCTCATCTGAAAGACAGTTGTGCCTAGGTAGAAGAGGTAAAACATGCCAAAGCAGTTTACATTGATATACAGTACATGAAACTGACCAGACTCCCTCGATGCCGTGCGCTACTGTAAACTCACCTTGTTCAACTTCCTCTCGAGTTTGCTGATTTGTCATCATGGGATACGGCGTGCCGCCCAGACTGAAGGTCTCCCACAGCAAGATCCCGTAACTCCAGATGTCACTCTCTGTTGTGAATCTCCCTATGAAATAAATACACAGTACACAATTCACCTTGCAGTATATTCCGTGAAGCGCTATCAGACGTCTCGACGACGTAATATATCAAATGCGAGGATTATTATTATTTAATATTCTCCGCGATTCGATTTGTAACGTGAATACACCCAACGAAATCACATACCGTAATTGAGGGCCTCCGGTGCTGTCCACTTGACTGGAATCTGCTTCATGCCTCCAGTGGATGAGTAAACTCCATCCTCCTCCTCTCGTGACATCCCAAAGTCACTGATCTTCAGAATGTGCTTCTCAGTCACCAGGCAATTCCTGGCCGCCAGGTCTCTGCGGGAGGAACACAGAACGGAGTGGGAGGGAACACTTTTAATATGATCACCAAAAGAATTAAAGGGGAGGTTAGAAAATAAACATGTCTTGACACAGTGGGTGGTTGGAATGTGGAGTTCTCCACCACACATTGTTGCTGAAGCAGAGTGCATCAGTTAATGGTTATAATTATCCTTATATTTCCTGCAATGTCAAAACAGCTGAAGGGCTTCACAATGATTGTTGTTAAATGTAGTGACTGTGTGTTTGTAGGTGATCACAACATCCAAATAGCTCACACCGATTTCCCCCGAACAGCCAGGGGGTGAACGACTCATTTATTGGGAAGATTCTTTTAAAAGGGAATTAGACAGATGTTTGTAGGCAAAATTAGATCAGGTTGATCATATGGAGAAAAGTACAGGCGCTGATTTCAATGGTCAAACAGTTCCCTTTGTATGTAGTAAGATTTCGCAATTCTATACATGTCTGTGATGACATTTATAACTAAGCAGACCACAACTCACCAGAGCTCGTATCGTATCCCTCAAGCTTGATAAACATGTCAATAAAACTTTTGTTTCACAGAATAAATCCCCCCCCACCCCCACACCCCCTACGGTCCCCACTTGCTGGCCCTCGTATCCCCGCGAGCACTAACCTGTGGATACAGTGCTTGCTCTCCAGGTAAGCCATGCCTGCAGCCGCGTGCTCTGACATCTTGATCAGGTCTTTGGTTCGAAGCCGCTTCGCTTCATTCCGTAAAAATGTCAAAAAATCGCCTCCTGGTTTGAGAAAACAGTCGGTTACCCAGCACCGGTCACCTGGCGCCTGGGGCTGGCCACCCGGCACCCAGGGCTGGCCTCACCAAGGTGCCCATCATCACCCTTTAGGTCTCAGCCTGGCTCAGTTGATTGTACTCTTGTCATTGTGAGTCCAGAGAATGACGGCAGCCACGAATACCTCTTTTTCTCAGCCTTAAGGCCGTCACCTTAAAATTTAAGATGATGCATTATTGCAGAAAATTCTTAAACTCAATCAATGTGGTGGCTGTGCTGGTAAGCACTGCGGAAAAAACAGCTTCCAAATTAAGACTGAATTTAACGATTTTCCAAAATTCTGCATGATCTATAATTTAAGGCTAAAACCATGAGAAACTTCAGCCCCCATTAAACAGGATTGAACAGGCTGATTTTTTCCCCCTGCTTCATCCAGCAGCTAAACCAATTATAGCCCCAGTTGCCTGCCCGATAAGATCCTTAGCGCTAACTGACTTACGAATTCTCCTTGTTAATGAATATCAACCTCACAGACCAGCATGTGCTGCTTTGCTTACCTTCTACCAGCTCCATGACAATGTAGATTGGCTGTTTCTGAGTGCAGACTCCGATCAGTTTCACAATGTTTGGGTGGCTGTACTGTTTCAGGATCCTGTGGGAAGGAAACACACAGAACCAGTTTGACTTTGTAATGGGAGGACGTTAGCACGGTGTTAGCAGGAGTTGCACTGTTAAAGCCACCACACAGCAATGCTGAGATACGTTTGATCCACGTTCAGAACATTTCGACCAAAGGAACCCTTGTAGCAGCTGACAGAATAGTTCTGAATCGTGTACCGAACAAGCATAAGCCCTGAATTCCTCATGGGCTTAGCCCCCAAACTGTTGTCTTAAAATTGAAGATTCTGCCAAATATTAGAAAATGCTTAAATATAATTTTAAATTGGAATTTTTTTATGATACCAACTGCTATCAAATGTGACCAACTGAGCAAAACTGGTTAGCGAGTGATCAACTGACAAATGGTTTGATTGAGTGGTGCTTTTTTTGACTGGCTAAGCCTGTGGTCAATTAAATAGCATCAGGACACAGAGCTGTGCTGGCTGCTCGGTGCCTCTCACTGACCTGGCTTCCATCAGGAACTTATTCTTCTGGTCAGAGGGAAGGCTCTCGCGGCACATCTTCACTGCCACCGGTGTGTTGTCGTTCTTCATGCGGCCACTGAACACCTCCCCAAAGTTACCCTGAAACATACAGAAAACCAGAAGTGAAACAAGTCGCAAAACGTGACCAGGGTTCAGTCAACTTTCCTGTTGTGTCTGGGACCAGGCATTCAGTCTCGTTGAGAGCATCCTCTGTCACTTGAGTTTGGACAGTGAACCTGCTTAGAAGATTGAGCTGACTTGAGCTCATTGTCAATGACTGACACCCAGCGAGGAGTTGGCAGGAGTGCTGCACCGTCTGGTCCAGAAGAGAATTGAAGCTTAGTTTCCATTTTCTCTAATAGTGCTTCAGGAGGCATTTAGAATAACATAGCGGATATTCTTCCCTCATCCAAATTCACTCCTAAAGGTAATTTGTTCAGCACCTTGGGACGTCCTCCCGACGTGAAAGGCGCTATACAAATGGAATTTTGTAATGTATTGTAAGTTCATTGCTATTTACTGGCACAGATTGGCGCTGCCCTTTACAGTCACTACAATAACTAAGGTACGTAATCAACTGCAAATGCTACTGCTAGCTGTGTTTCCACACCACTCACCCTTCCGATGCGATCTCCTAGGATGACTTCATCATGGTCCAACGCCCATTTGTCCTGTTGACGAACACACATGCTCGTCAGTATTACACATTTGGGAAGACGGTAAAGAGTTGGGGCAATCCCTGCATTTGATATAGAGCCATATCAAGTCTTCAAGACGTCTCAAACTGTTTCACAGAATGTACTGTAAAGTGAATTGACTGTATATTTTGTGGGCAAAATGTGGCAGCCAATTACGCACAGCAGTGTCCCACAAACAGTCGTGGTCCTCTTGCTTGTGAGGCGAGCGCTCTAACCACTGAGCATAGGACTCCACAACTTTATGTTGTGGGACCAGAAGTGCACACAGTATATGTGGCCTGACCGGAGCACTCTACAACTAATCATAACTTCTGGGCAGTCTGAACTCAGCTGATTGGTGGTGGCGGTCATTTAATATGTTATCATTCAGATAATCTTCCACTTTACTATCAGAGTGTTGTGTCAGGTTTTAATTGGCCCACTGTTGTGAAAACGCACCTTGTTCACTGGTTTGACCAGGATGGCTCCAGTTTTCTTGGTGACGGGCTGCCCAGTCTTCAGGAGACTCTCTATGAGGAGGGGGATAGTGGGGAAACTCTCCCCATCGAATCGGTACTGATTCTGTAGAGAAACAGGTAGCAAAAGTGGATATTTACACCTCCCAAACACAGTAGCAACTTGCACTTATACACCGGCTTTCATGAAACATGGGATGAATGTCTTATAGCGACTATTGAGCAGAGAAGTGGGGAGAAAAGAAGGGGAAAGTGAGCCTATTAACCAAAGGCACTGTTAATCAAGTAGGTTTGAGTAGGGTCTTGAAGGCAAGGAGAGCTAGTACAAGGTGGAGGGTTCTTTGGAGCAGATCAACGGTGGTGGGGAGGAGGACAATGTGGTTGAAGGTCTGAATGGAGCTTTCTGCTGGTTATCCCGGCTTATATTCCTCTCATCCAAATTCACCCCAATTCAAATGAATTGGGCGTTCATCTGATTTGTTTGTAGGACAGACACTCTGCTGGTGCAAATTACACATCATGTTTATTAGAACGATAATAATATTTGATACAGCGCTTATTACATCAAAATTTATCAAGGCGCTTTTTCAAAGGATCACTAACAAATGTTACGACTGTGCAGGCAAACACAGTAACTATTTGCACACAATACTAATTCTGTGCTAGCAAAATGGGACGACATTTTAAGTGTTTGAGCAGCAGGTGTGGAGTCAGTTTACTGTTTGTTACTGTGGTACTTTTGAGGTGGAGAGTTTTGGCTTCAGGGAGAAGTGGTGGTGAGGGGAGTCGAGGGTCAGAGGGGGCCAGCTGGATAAATAGAGTGGCGGACTGCAAACCGTTTTCAAACTACACTACTTCTGCGTTTACTTCTCCATTGGCAATTTACGACAGCTCAGGTACATCTAGGTACTGCCAACAAAAAGCAAATCAGTTCAATGATCCTGCAACTTCAGTGTTGAATAAGTTCAAACTCTGCCTCAAGCAGAGAATATAAATTCACACCAGGGTCTAAAATACACCCCATCCCCACCTTCAGCTCTCTGGAGAGGAGAGCAAATTCGAAGATTTTTTTAAAAAAAAATTCAGTTTAAATGAATTAAAGTAATTCAAATCTACTGAAAGATGATTTTTGACCCATTTTTGTATTGAGAACTTGCCAGAGCTCACTATTACTGCAGTAGGTCAAAAGGGAATGGGGGGAGGAATGCGGGTAAATGAGGCTGTGTGTAGTTCGATGGGCCGAATTTTGTGCTGTAAATTGCTACGGTTCTATGGAAGCTTCTAGAACATGGGTTCACCACCGACCAACACTTACGTCCGTGTGCTGGATGATAAAATGGCGGCACTGGCCAGCAGACATGACAGACAGAACATATTCTCCTTTATTCTGGCTCTCCCGCACCAGAAAGTCGCCCTCGGATACCAGCAGTTGTTGTGTTTCCAGCCGGGGGATGGCCCCATGATACCAGTCCTGCTGACACAGCGGCTTCTGGACAGCGGGAATGATAGGCACCAGGGGAGGCAGCTGGAACAAGAATAATAACTCAGAGGGTGATCAATACATGGTCTTCTTACTGGGAACCAACCTTCTCCCCACCCCGTCCCGTGATATGTTAATCCCTCCGAGTTCCATTGATGAGCCAGGCAGGGTGGACAATCACCAGCAGTGCCCTGGAATCCAGAGACGCTATGTGGCTCAAGGTATCGGATCTCCAAGTCCACCACAGAGAGTCACTCAGATCCATTCTCCCACCTCCAGGTCTGTTACAGTAGAGCCAACATCACCTTGGTTACAAACCCCCACCCCGTAAGAGTTTGTACTTTGGATGCATGAGTTGACTTCACAGACATTGGCTTGAGAATGGTGGGAAGAGGGGAGGGAGGGAAATTGGGCACCGTTTTCAATGCCATTGACCCCAATGTCAAGTGTAGTGACTGACGGTCCACGTTGACATATATCAGGAAGTGGTGCTTAGGGACACACATGGTGACTTTTGCTGATAGCATCTGTACTTACAGTGAATTTGGGCCTAAAAATTCCTGAGATGTGACTCTTCAGCGTCTCCAGGGACAGAGCCTTGCTTTCTTTCTCCTTTTCCTTTTGTTATTGGAAACAAAACAGGAGGGTAATTAAACGACAGCGTGCAGAAAGCACCATCCTCTGAGAATCCCTCCCCTACGCATGTTTATACAAACAATAATTAACTTTGTGTTTGTTTAGGTCAGTGGTTATTTCCAACCACCCCTCCACTTTCTGGGCACAGCCTCTGTCACTCCATTCTGCTTGATCTAAAGTAAGAAGCAAGGATGTTCCCAGCTCAGCATCTTCCCAGCTTGTGAAAGCGAACTTCTAAGAAATCGATCCCCCGTGTTTGGCAGAATTGAACCATAGTAATCCATCACACAACAGGAAAGTTATTTTATCAGTGTCGGTGTTTATTCATTCAATTAGACTATCTACCCTGATCTCAATTCCCTGCTTTTTCCCCTTTATTCTTTAATACCCTTTCTCTGCATGTGTTGATCTCATTCTCTTTTAAATACCCAGTAGTCACCCCTGACAAAACTTTCCATGTTCTCATAATCCTCTGAAAGAAAAAATTCTGGCAACTGTTTCCCTTTCACTCTCTTAGTTATAATTGTAACATTCACGCTCTCGTGTCCTCGATTCACCTACTAGCAGAAATAGAGTCTCAATATCTAAACTCTCAAACACTTTAAATGCCTGTAAAATGTATTCTTCTTCCTTTCAACCTCTGCATTTTTTGCAGTCAGTCGGGTGCCTGATACCCATCACCTCTGCTTCAATGGAAAGAGTCCTTGCTTTTACAGAAGCGGCTACACTCCTCGTGTGAACCTTGAGTGAGTGAGTGGTTGACAGGTTGTTGAACCGCAAAGGATTCACGGCCAAAAATGATCCCATCCTCACCCAATGTCTACTCACACATATCTTTAGATCTTTTGATTAAAGGACTCTGGATAGTGATCAGGAGTGATTTCCCCCTTTCCCTAACCCCGGGCACTGGGAGACTCACAATGGAAGAGATGGAGTATCCGTCCTCGTCCAGCTGAATGGCAGGTGGTGGCTCCTTGTTCCCCAGGTCCTTCAGTTTCCTGGCCAGCAACACTCTCTGTGCCTCCAGCTTTCCCTTAGTGCACAGCAGCACATGCATCTGCTGCCGGCTTTCCTCCAGTGCACATTTCTTACTGAAGATGTAGATGCTACAAAGGAACAGACAGAATCAACTTGTTTTATCCCCATTCGCACAGCAATGGCAACTGCTGACTGCAAGCCATGTGTAAATGCATGTGTATTATACGCTGAGTGAAAACCATATGTGAACAATGTGTATAGAGCCATTTACAATTAATAATAATAATAATCCTCAATCGTGTGATTAACAAGTCTTTTCAATGGTTCCTAGTTACATCCTTAAAAGAAAAAGCAGCTATTCCCTAATACACATAGGATTAGACATGGCACAAAATACATCAACAACAACATCTTGCACTTACATAACGCCCTTTGCGCAAGGCAGCATCTCGGAAGCATTTTGGAGTACTGAGTTTGATAAAGCACAGGTGTTTGCACAAGGCAGAACCCGCACCCCTCCCCTTCTAAATTTGTATACGTTTCCCATCACCTTTTCCTCGGGTTCTCTCTCCCCGGTTAAGTGAAGTAGTTACATCACTGTCTCTCTTAAAGAGGCTGACAGAGCAGGTTAATTTGAAGCCATGCGTGTGTGCAGTGAAGATGGGTACAACCGTGCACAGTGCTGTGTTCACATACCGTGATCTGCAGCCAGCCGATCGCTCCTCTGCTGCTATTTCTGTGGAAATCTGCCTTATGGTGGCCTGTCGGCTATCAATCGTGTCCCTCAGTGACTCCAGCTCTTCGTCAGTCGCGGTAAGGCTTGAGAGATGTTTCATTTAGAGAATTAATTAATGGCAAGCTATGCAGTTTTAGCTGGTTAGACTCCAGCAGTTACTCCAACTTGCACTCTGGGGTCTCCAAGCCTTGGCTGATGCCAATCTGCGCCTAGTGCTTTCTGGAATTGGGTGAGCACCACACATCCCTCCAGAGAGAGATTGTTTCCATGCGTAGGTGGGATGCATGGAACTCTGTTTGGTTTGGATACTCTTAATAATAATAATAATAATAATCCTTGCATTTGATATAGCGCTTTTCACGTCAGGAGGACGTCCCAAAGCGCTTCACAGAACACACTGTAAAGTGAATTGACTGTATATTTGTGGGCGAACGCGGCAGCCAATTGCGCACAGCAATGTCCCACAAACAGTCGTAGATTGAAAATGACCAATTTAATTATTGTTTTTGTTTTTTGGAGGGATTATTATTAGGCGTGTGGAGTAAGGAAACTTGTCCAAGGTTTCGCCCTCTGCCTGGAATTGAACTCAGGTCTCTCACTTGCAAAGCGAGTGCTCTAACCACTGAGCTACAGGACTCCACGTCACGACTCCAAGGTGAAGAATTTCCGCAGGTGTCAGACACCTGGCTGACCAAAGAAAAAAAAAATCTATGAACCAGAGGCTAAGCCGCAAATAGTTCTGTCACTACTGCTTTTATTTTCATCAACACATTGTGTAAATTGAGAAGTTACAAAATCAAGGATTTCACAAAATCCAGAGAGCAGGAATTTCTCCACACTCAAGCATTCAGCAACTGGAAAGAAGGAACACTTTGCATTTTGCAAGTAAAAGATTGCAATCTGGGCCTGAACTCATCAAAGGCTCTCTGCTCACACTTGGTTTCAGACTTGTATGTCCATACCTGTGAGACATGGGTTTGAGTAATAAATAGCAGGAACAGTTATTGTCAGAAATTCACTTGCCAAGCAAATCTGCTGAAAGAAAAGAAATTCCGGTGATGGAATATGGACATGTTCCTTCTCCAACTCATGTTCACTATAGGCGACAGTATGCGATGTTACCTGGGACTTCTTCCACTTGGGATATCTCCAGGAACGGAATATCCAATGATATGATAATAAGCACATCATAGGACATGTTTTTCATGCAAGGCTTTTCAGTTTGAAAGAGTTGTCGCTGAGTTGTTAGAGGTACCTAAGATGCTAGATGGGATCAAGAAAGTAAACCCAGAATAGCAAAAAGAAACAGGTTCTAAAAATAATTATCTCTGCATTTGATATAGCGCCTCATCATATCGTCGAAATGTCTCAAAATGCTTCATGCGATCTGGTTTGCTTTCGGGACATTTCTCGGGTCAGTCAGACAAAGGGTCAGAAAACCAAATGCTGGCTGCAGAACAGGCTTTGTAACTTTATGACATTGAAACATCACTACTTAGCGATGTTTGCGGTGAATCCTGTCATTTCAGTTACAGATCGTGTTGCACTTTTAGCACAGCCATAGCCACTTTGCAAATGTTGCATTTTCAGCCACCACACACACTCACACTCGCACGGGTTACACACACAAACACTGGACACTCACACTGTATATACACTACACATAATCCGCACTTTACATGGTGCACACTCATACACAACACACTCCATGTATTCTCACACACACAGACCCACACACACGCGCAGACACACCCGTGTGCACTGGTCACTGGATTACCTGTGTTGCATGGACTCCAGTGTCAACTCATTCAGCTGCAGCTCTCCTGGCTGTAGGTTATCCACTTCATCCAACAGGCTGGTGTCAAATGTCACGAGTGGTGGGACCTCAGCTACTGACCTGGGCCGGGCAAAGAATAAAGAGATTAAAAATGTCAACAGTGATCAGGAGCAGGAGATCTGGCTGATTCTCCTCCCAACCTAGAGACTAAGGTCAATTGTAGCCCCCAATGCTGCCCTGACTCAAATCAGCTAATTTAATGCAATGCAAAGCTGGAGCCCAATGGCTTTAGAGCTGCACCCGTTAGAAAAGTAAATTGGGTTTGAAATACCTTCAGGAGGAGGAGGAAAAATACTACACAAAAGCTGAATTTGTGTCTTTTTGAATTTGTGTCTTTTTGAACTCTTGGCTCAGTTTGTACCTGTTTTGCTCAATGAAGCTTTCGTACTCTTTTCTTGGGTCAATGGCTTCAATGGCTTCAGTTATCTCTTTGTGAACACTCAGCACCTCTTCCTGCACCAGGCTGGTGATCTCATGGTATTCCTGTAGAATTTCTTTCCTGTGGGAGAGAAGCAAGAGAATTAGACCAATCGCAGGGAAAAGTGTTAATCTGGCTCAGTTAGTAGCACTACTTCTCTTGCCCTATGAGAAGATTGTGGGTTGAAGTCTCACGTATCTAGTCTAACACTGGAGAAGTGGTGTATTGTTGGAATAGTTTCCTTTAGCTGAGACGTTAAGCCAAGGATGTGTGTGCCTCCTCAATAGAAAAGATTTGAAAAGTGCAGGGAGTTTCTCCTGGTGTCCTTGACGTGAATGACCACAGGCAAATAGAGAAAGAGACAGTTTCTTCCTGAACCTCATGAAGGGGCAGAGGAACCAATCTGCCACTGCCTCTGTCTGCGTTTGACCTGTACCTATTGCCTGTGACATTGACAACCATCACTTAGCAATAGCAGCACATCTGCAGCAAGTTGACCCAAGCTGCAACATGCTTTACTCTTTCTCCTCTTCACCGGAAATGTGATGGTGAGAAAGGAAAGACAGTAGTGACAGAAACCCCAAAAATGATACCTTTTAAACCCCAGAGGAACTCATTCTGCTCATTGCACTGAGACCCTGAAAAAACATTCTGCAATTCTTGTAGATAATTGCACAAAGTAAAGACATTTTCCTTTTTTTTCTTCCAATTCTCTCTCCATTTTCCGACTCCAATATTCCTCCTGCCTCCTCTCCTGAAGGCACTGCTTTGTGCTGGGGTTCAGCCCCACAAACACCTAATGTTCTCTGGTACCTCACCCAAGTGTTTATTCTTTGCATTCCAAGTCAGTCTGTCTTGGTCAGTATCAGGCACAATGGTTGCGTGCGAAAATATCAGCACTGCCATTATTTTTTCTGGTCTTAGATAGCAGCAACTTAGAGCCTCGTGTCGCAGAACACAATTCTGTCATAGATTGAGTTAACGAAACACAATTGCTGGCGGCTTTGGGCCGAACCATTGTGTCAAAATGGAGGAAGGCAGGTCACATCTAAGCAAATGTATAATTATTGAGTGAAACATTTGATGCTTCTTAACAGATTCAATGTAACCTGAGCTCAGTCCCACTCTGCAAAAACAACTCATCACTGTGTTACAAGAGGAAGTTTGAAGCAGTGACCAGCAAAGGTCCTGAATGCAGAAACTGTAAAGTAAATCGAGTGAAGACCTATGTAGGTTATCTGGATCTGACTGTAGCTCAAAGCTACACTATTCACCATCGTGATATGCGATACCGAAAACACACTGTGAACCTCAAGCAGTCTAGCATTGTAACAGGAAATCTCTATCAGCAATGTGTGACATAGAACTTAAAGATACAATTGTAATCCCGTTCTATTGGCTGCTCAAACCCTGCTGATGCAGTAGGGGAAAGCACAGGCATCTCTTTGTGCCAATGACGCCAATAATAAAATCCCTCCAAAATAAATATTGGTCACTCAATTCACCACTGTTTGTGTGCAATTGGCTGCCGTGTTTCACCTACAAAATACATAGCCCATCCATTTTACAATGTATTCTGTGAAGCGCTTTGAGAAGTCTCAACGAAGTGATACGGTGCTATATCAAATGCAAGGATTATTATTACTAGTATTATTATGTTACTGACCTCACACTTAGCCCGACGCTGAAAACGCGTGGATTTGTTACTTGCCACTTTTTGTTTAAGAGATTTAAAAAAACAGTGAATCGCAAAATGGCAAAGCACAAAGAAAAGTTGTTTCCCCACCCCACCACTCTCAGCATCTCACTCACTGACAGTTATTTCAGACCTAAAAAAGAATAACAAATGTTGTGGGAAGTGAGTGGGAGAGTGAGATTAGACTGGGTGGCTCTTGTGTAGAAAAACAATAGTGTAGATTTCATGGGCTTTCATGAGTCAAAGTACAGAGAGAGAGGCACAGACAGGCTAAGCAGATGGTATCAGATACTTACAGGATGTAGACCATCTCCTCATGCAGCTCCTGTAGAGAGTCTAGGAGTCCTGGCAATGCCTGACGATAGTGAGACTGGTGGTGGAGCTCAGCTGATCTCACCGCCAAAACATACTGGTTGTGAAGTTGGTGCATTTTCATTGTCGTTTTTATGTACTTGTCTCTCGTTTTGTCTCGATCTTTATCTGAATGAGACGTATATAAATCTGTGAGGGTCCAGCTCTCCCAGGTCAGGTACTGCACAGGTTACATGCAGAGTAAAGTTCCCTCTACACTGCCCATACCAGCACTCCCAAGTCAAGTACAGTACAAGTTAACTGCAAAGTAAAGCTTCCTCTGTTCTGTCTCATCAAAGGAGAGGCTGTGGCAGAGAGAGTTGGAGGTTTAAAAATAATAATAATCATTGCGTTTGCCATAACACCTTATCACATCGTTGAAATGTCTCAAAACGCTTCACAGGATATACTGCAAAGTGAATTGACTATATATTTTGTACATGAAACGCGATAGTCAATTGCACACAGATGTGTCTCACAGACATTTGTGGCTTCTGATGAGTGAAGGATCATCTCTCAGCAGATGAGCCTTTTTGTTGGAGAGCAAGACACAGTGCCGAAAGAGACTCTTACATTTACCAAAACAAATGGACCAACATTTCATGAAAAGTTTCAAGGCCAATCTTATTAATTAAAATGAAGCCTTACAGCTGATGTAAGCAAAGTTGTCCATAGGTTAAGACGTCAGGTTGGATTCATTTACAGAAAAAAAATGTCAAGTTATGTCTCAAAGGCAAGCTTAGTTCCTGTAAGTAATCCACAGTGTGGCAAATGCTAATTTATTAACATTATTTATTTATCACTTCCTCAAAAGTAAACGGATTCATGCCAAAAATGTTTTAAAAAGCAAAAAAATTAGTAAAAACCCCATGTGAGCACCTTCCAGCAGGGGATCAATGCCAAGGAATTCTGATTGATTCTTGCCTACTTAACCTGTTGTAAGTCACTCCACTTTACAGTATAATCTGTGAAGAGCTTTGAATCGTCTCAACGACGTACCTGACTAAGATTAGTCACTCAAAGCAGGATTCAAAACTTTCTTGAATCATTCCTCTTTGACTACGTCTCTGGTCAACACCTTTCATATTCCCTTTTCCCTTCCCTGTACAGTCATTCCCATTGTCCATTTGAACCACTTCAAGCGGTTCATCCTATCTAAAAGGTGCTAAAAAGTACAAATTGTTGCATCCTTTTCTGTGCAGTTCCGACAAGTTCAGTGCTGACATTTAGGTATCAGCCAAGCTCAGTTGGTAGCCCTCTCGCCTCTGAAAGTTTGTGGGTTGAAGTTCTCATTGGGACTTTGAACTCACAATGTAGGTCAAACTACATGATGTTTGACCTTTGATGTTTGACTTACATTGTGAGTCTGGTGGTGCACTCCATTGGCAGAGATGCTGTCCTTTGGATCATACATTAAACTGAGGCTCTATCTGCCTGTTCATTTGAATGGCAAATCCCGATAAAGGTACTATTTTGAAATAGAGGAGGATTTTATCTCGCAGATAAAATTGATCATTCACTTCATTACTGTTGGTAGGGCATTGCTGTGCACAAGTGTTCATCCGCAGACTATGTAGTCACAGTACTTTACAGTAACTCCTCTGAAGTACCTTGAGACATTCTCCTGACATGAACAGCGCGACACCAAATGCAATGATTATTAGTCTATTTTCTTTGTAAAGCCATACACATGTAAAGGATTTGTGGCGTCTTTAGGCCACACCGCACTGTATTTACATTGAATACTGTTGTTGGTAAAGCCAGAGAATCCAATGCCCACATGTTCGATTCTCCAGGATCACTGTTCTACTGTATAAACATTTCACCCGAGTAGAGTACAGGGTGTTCAAAGCCCTTTGTTTTTTCTCTTTTCAATGAAATTTTCTGTTGCAGTTACTGAAACCAGTAACTTCCTCATCGCTCCATTCATGTTACAGAAGAGTCGCACCGAACATGGCTAGGGATCATGTATTGATGGCGCTCACACGTACACCAATCCTCCGGACGTCTAAACACAGTTGAACACTTGTACTGAATACAATGAAGTACTTCTAAAAAAGAATTGCCATCATTCTCCCACATGCTTCAGTTATCGGTCAGTGCACTGCAGAAAAACAAAACACGGGAGGTAACAGGGCTTTGTGAACAGCCTGATCGCATGAGGATTGTGGGATCTCTGTGTGCCACACTCACCTCGGCTCGCATCTTGATATTTGCGTTTGGCCGAACTTGTGTCCTTGGCCTGCTGACGATAGTGTGACCGAATTTTGTCCATTTCAGTCTGAGTCACCTGCAATTCACAGCAAAGCAGAGAATTTAGAGGTCCTTTATCACAATACCTTGCTAGCCCCTTCAGAGCTATTACCTACAAGATTAACACCCACGGGTTACAGAGCAAGCAATCCACTGCATTGGGTCACTCGATTGTCAGCAATCCTTCGCTGCTCTGCTGAGAGCAAGAGTAAGTATTGCAGCTGCCTGTGTTTATGAGCACAGTATCCTGCTGCCCACACACACTTGTCTCCGTGAACTCCTTGTTACTCGCTTTGAAATGCAGCCCACATTAAAGCCTCGGTCACGTAAATTAACCGACAATAACAACAGCAATAACCTGCATGTATATAATGCCCTTCACCCAGGATAGCGTCTCGGAGCACTGCACTATTATATTGGACATTCCTCAAGGGTGGAATAAGAATTCCCTGGATCCGGTGGCAGGTGATCTTCCTCCCCACCACCGACTGCCCTCTCCCTCAACACCATTCTCAACTCTGACGTCCTAAGCTGGGTTGTGCATTTCTCAGTTGCAGGGTTGTGGCTTTTGCTCAGAGCAAAACATGAGCTACTGGGTGAATGCATAACTCAATTTCACGAATAATAGTATTGATTCACAGTTTGGTTTGGATATGGGTTTCCGTATGTGTCAGACATCCGGCTGACCAAAAAACAAGAAACAGGTATCCTTTGGGGGGAGTGGTTGGTAATCTCCACCGACATCTAGTACATGATGAATATCTTTACACAAGGTATCCCAGCGGGAGACAGCAATGGACAGAACACAGCAACGCTCTGCATTGTACAGAGAGATCGACAAGATATATACTTGTTCCCCAGCAGGGTATTAGATACAGCAAACAGGCAAGTTTCAGACCCACAAAACCAATAGATATTGGACACAGAAAATATGGGCGTACACACAGAAACCAGCAAAGTATTAGAGGCAGTGTTACTTGGTGAAATGCTCCTTTCATTTCCTTTGTGGAAAACCTCAGTCTTTCACATCCGTGAAGAAACTGTAAAAGTGGACAATGAAAATGTTGCAACAACATGAATTGTGACATCGCAGCACAAACAGGGAAATTAAAACGGAACAATGCAGAAGTTATGATTTGCTGACATAGAAAATGTCGAATTCCCAGAACTTCGCAAAATTTAGGCAGGAGGCCTCAAGGTTGATAAGTCGCAGTGGCTGTGCTTTTCTAAGACTGTGCTATTCTAAGATTAAACAGAAACGTTTTCAAAGAAAAGTGTTGTACTTCAGGTGGAAACCTGCTGCCTTCTGTTCACACTCAGTAATAACACTCACCGAGAATCAATGAGTGTTGGGGAAAGGGATAGACTGAGCCAAATTTGCTTCTCACTTAGAATCCTGAAATAGGCATTTTACAGCAGGGAGAGTATGTTGGTTAGCATAGGAACCCAAGCTGTTTTTTTCCCTCCCTAGCCACAGAGCACTGAGCTTCTTTGAGCCCAGGTGATCTCCACAAGGGCTCTCTCCTGCTCAAGGTCTGGAAAAGGGGAAGGTATTCAGCATAAATTAAAGGTGAACAATAACTAGCTCTGTAATAGTGGTGGTGGTGCCTAGTCAGCACCTTAGGACGTCCTCCTGACGTGAAAGGCGCCATACAAATGTAATCTTATTGTTGTTGTTGTTGGTGGTAGTGGGGGGTGAGAGGAGAAATGTTCTAAGTTGCAGCAATTCGTAGTGGGAGCCATTAATAATGACTCCAAATTACAAACAAAGACTTCTTGTCGTAACTGGAAGCAGGTCACGCTGAGGCATGTGAAATCCACTCCGATGAGATGCTTGCAGAGCGGAGTTCCCATGGGTCGGAGTTGATACAGCTCCAGTTATTGGAGGAATCATAGGAGCATAGGAATTAGGAATTAGGAGCAGAAGTAGGCCATTCGGCCCCTTGAGTCTGCCCCGCCATTCAATAAGATCATGGCTGATCTTCTAACCTAACTCCATCTGCCCTCCTTATCCCCATATCCCTTAATCCCTCTATCCTTTAGAAATATATCAATCTCAGTCTTGAATATGTTCAAGGACTGAGCATCTACAGCCTTCTGGGGTAGAGAATTCCATAAATTTACTACCCTCTGAGTGAAGAAGTGTTTCTTCAACTCTGTTCGAAAGGGCTGACCCTTAATCTTAAAACTGTGACCCCTAGTTCTAGATTCTCCTACCAGGGGAAACAGTCTCACACTGTCTACTCTGTCAAGCCGCATAAGAATCTTATATGTTTCTATAAGATCACCCCTACTTCTATATTCTAGAGAATATAGGCCAAGTTTACTCAACCTATCCTCATAGGTCAACACCCTCATCCCAGGAACCAACCTAGTGAATCTACACTGCACCCCCTCTAAGGCGAGTATGTCCTTTCTTAAATAAGGAGACCAAAACTACACACAATATTCTAGGTAGTCATAATAATAGTCACCATTAATGACTTCCTTACGAATTGCCCAACTTATGAAAACCACTATATGTTTTCCGGATTTCATTCTGGCCACGTTTCGTTGCTGGCAGGAAGTTATTGGTGAAAGCTACACAGATGAAGGTTGAGGAGTTGAGCCCTGACATAAGAATTGCTAGGTGAAAGAAGATCAAGTTCCAACCAGTTCACCTTCCACCATCCTGGCAGTCGCATGCACATGTCATGTTCCAAACTATACACTGTACCTCGAGATAACAAGAACATAAGAATTGCTCGACGAAAGAAAACCCAACCTTGATGAAGTCAAAGTTCAGTGACTGCCACTGCTCACTGTACATCTTTTTCAGCTGCTGCTTGTCCCGGATCAGTAAAGTCAGCTTGTTTATCGGCCCCGAATTCACGTCTTCCGAGTGTTTCTTCACAATCCGGCTCAGGACCTCCACCTGGTTGACGATTGTTGTCCACGACTGAAACAACAAACACTTTCAGATTAGCTATATTACTGAGACCGGCTGAGACACCCAGGAGAGGACAAGGATCACGGTGCGGACACCAGCACAGGGTCCTACACCACTACTGGAGTTTGTCTTTCTTCCTTATTTTTTTCAACCCCTTGGTGTCCTGCACCAATCACTGGTTGCTCAGGGAAAAATGAACAAATAACCCAATGGCTATTCACTCATTGACATCCTGAGCCATGAGCAGCTTTAGGCCCAAATCCTAGAAAATAGTCTTCAGCTCCTGTACTAACTCCCCAAAAGACAAAGCAGCCTTTTACATCTTCGTGTTTGGTTTTAAACTGGGACTCAGGGTGAATGAGCTCCATTGGATCTCAGTGTAACACCATGATGCTGAGATCTTTCTGTAACCCTCAGGGATAAGTATACAGCAAGAAAAGACCATTCGGGCCATCAACTCCCCTTGCTCCACAGACCAGGCATCCTACATGGATTCATCCCATCAGCTCTATCTCCAAATACCCCTCATTCCAAAAAAAAATAAGAAAACTCTTAGACTATTTATCCATCTCCACAATTCCACCCCCCCTCCACCCCACTAACATTTCTCCATTCCCTGCTAATCACTGGCCCAGACAGAGGTTTTTTTCATTTATTCTCACTTTCTATATCTCATTGCTTAACCCAAATTCCATGAGCTTTAAGCTTCATTTAGAGTCGCGCTTATGTAACTGTATCAAATGCCTTCTAAAAATCTAAGTATTTGGTATCCAATTGTATCTATTTGACAAGCCTATCCACTGAACCTTTTAAGGTACAAAACAAGCAGGATAATGTAATGGATGTGGTCTCATTACCTTGTTGAGCTGACTGATGTACTCCAGCCCCCCAGGTTGAATACCACTCTCCTGCTTCTCCACCTGGGAGAACATCTGGTGAAGTAACACTGAATATTCCCTATCGCTCTTGATGCGGTTAGTCATCCACTTTTTCATCATCTCCATCAGCCGGAGTTCGGAATCCTGTAGACGAAGCAGCACACTGTGCCCTTGGGAGCACCAGAGGTCACTGCTGAAACCCATCGTGTCCGCTCAACTTGCGTGTGCCTGAGGAATGAGAGAACAAAAGCCTGAGTCTTTTTCTGGCGAAAAGAGTCGTCTAACTTCTGGCTTACGTCTTCGAATCACAACTGAGCTGATCCGACACTCACTGTTATTTAACTAACTGATCCATGCATTAGATAAATGCTCAAGTCAAGCAATTGTAATGGCCTGATAATTCCCAAGACCCAAGCTAACAATATCGAGTTTGTAATTTTGTTCCCAAATTCCATCTAGGCTTTATCTGTCAGACCCATTTTATCTTAACATTTAAGATTGTGCAGAATTGTGAGCAATTTGGATGTCTTTATTTGGAAGCTGGTTAGTTTAATAACTGTGGTAAAATGGCTTCCAAATTACATACAAAGGCAAAGTGTACACTTCTGAAATCAGTCTGATGGACAATGAAATTTGAGAAGAGACACTTCTCTACACTTGTCATTTCATTATCTGTGGCATCTTGACTTCGCAGCTTGGAGGTCAACTAGCTAGATAGCCGAGATCTATTTCCAGCGCTATGACTGCTTTAACAAGTGTCTCAACGGTGTGCTTTTTTAATGTAAAAGAAGAAGCATTTTCTTGGAAGAAACGGAGGGTTATCTGTAGTTTATCTGTGGTTAGTTCAACATGAGGAGACAAATCTATCTACAAAGGGACTGCAAGTGGAGTCCTGTAGCTCAGTGGTTAGAGCACTCGCTCTGCAAGAGAGATACCTGAGTTCAATTCCAGGCAGAGGGCGAAACCTGGGCAAGTTTCCTTACTCCACACAGAGCCTAATAATAATCCCTCCAAAACCAAAAACAATAATAAATTGGTCATTTTCAATCTACGACTGTTTGTGGGACATTGCTGTGCGCAATTGGCTGCCGCGTTCGCCCATAAATATACAGTCAATTCAGTTTACTGTGTGTTCTGTGAAGCGCTTTGGGACGTCCTCCCGATGTGAAAAGCGCTATATCAAATGCAAGGATTATTATTATTATTAAGTGCTCAAGAGATGATTTGCACAATGGAAAGAGAAAGAGAGATAGTCATTAGACTATTTGTCTCCCCTTTGCGGATGCTGAATGTGAACCATAGTGTTTGGGGTTGAACCGAACCATGTAACAAAGTGCGAATTTAATAACCCAAAGTGAAGCTGTCACATTTATCTGGGTCACTCCCAGTATAAGACTCAGTGAAGAAGCTTGTTCACTTAGATTCCTCAATAATCTAGCAAAAAATGGCACTAAGCCCCATCTTCAACAGTTCATCATATTCCATTCAAGGATCTGCAGAAAATTCGGCAAAATATCTTCCTCTTCGTCCCTCTTCCCCAACTAACTGCAGTTCATACATCAAGCACAGTTACGAAGAGTTTCATGATTATGTAGAGTGACAGAACAAGGACAAAGGCTGTTTGGCCAATGGACCATTGTTTATTTTTCAAATGAGTCCCTAATCCTCCTATTCCCCTCTCCTACACCCATCCCTCTATTTCATTCTCTCTCATGTAGGCATCGAGTTTTCTCTCAAATACTGTAGCAAAAATTGATACTTTTTTGCCTCAACCACAGGTTTCGGCAGTGAGTTCTACACTGTCACCACTTCTCCGTGAAGAAGTTCTTCCTGATTGGTCCTGCTACTAGCTATGTTACATTTATAACCTCTATTTTTGGACTCAACAAGAAGTGGAAACAGCCTATTAACATCTGCCTTATCAAAATCTCTTATAATCTTTAAACACCCTTCGTGAGAACAGATGTCGTGGACCCAAAATGTTGACTCACTTTCCTTTCTCCATAGATGCTGCCTGACCTGCTGAGTATTCCCAGCGACTTCTGTTTTCAGATTTCCAGCATCTGCGGTATTTTGTGTTTTGTTTTCACTTTTTCCTCCACCTCTCTCAGGTTCCTAATTTCCAGGGTATTGTAGATCAGGAGACCTGCAAGGTCTCTGCATCCTGCACCTTGCTCAGCATGAAGAAAACAAGTTCGAGCTCTGAAGCTAAGCCTGACTCAATTAGTAGCACTCTCTGGTTTCATGACCCACATCATCAATTAAGATCACAGTCCACTGTGGGATTGCAAGAGTGCAGCATTGTTGGAACTAAATGAATAATAATCCTTTCATTTGGTACAGTGCCTTTCATGTCGGGAGGGACGTCTCAAAGAGCTTCACAGGATACATCGTAAAATGGAGGGACTGTGTATTTTGTAGGCAGACAGCGCAACCAATTTGCATCCTACTCTTGGGAAACTTTAAGCTAGGTGAATCGTAAAAGATCTCAGGCTATTGTACTTTTACATTATATTATTATATACATTAGGCCCACAAAACACAGTCAATTCACTTTCCACTATATTCTGTGAAGCGCTTTGAGACATCTTGAAGATTATTATTTCAAAGGAGAAGGGAGTGGTTCCCGTTATCCTGACCAGCAACCCTCCAGATTAATTAGTCATCACTTTGCAGGGCCTAGCAATGTGGCATTGCCGACACTGGTCACTGACAGGAATCAAGTCATTGCATCCACTATGACGGTAATTGTACATAAAACGCTCTGCGGTAGTTTGACAGTCAAGCACAACAATAATGGAAAGTCTTTCTATGCACGCTTTAAATGTAAAAGATGATAACAATAATCCTTGCATTTGACACAGTACCTTATCAGGTCGTTTAGATGCTTCAAAGTACTTCACAGAATATACTGTAAAGTTAATTTGAGTGTGAGACTGGACATAAGACAAGATCTCACTGGACATAAAGACACATTCATTTCCTGTTCAAGTTCTTACTAATCATTTGAAATGTGGCAGATCTCAAAAGTCACTGAAACCAACCTCCTGCTTCCAGGGTGATCTGTATGATAAAGTAACCCCCCTGGACTTGATCAGACACAAAAAAAAATGACTCGTCTGTACGTTTACTGGGAAGGCAGTAAATACATCCTCAGTGCATTGAACAGTTTTGCACTTTACCCCCACATTATAATTCAATTCTATGATAAATCGCAGCCTGGTTTGCAAGAGCAGAAGTCACTGTGTGAGATCTTTCACCCAAACCTGTTTTGTGAGTGCGTGGCCAGGCATCTTATTGCAACTTTTATCAATTGCATGAGAGCCACAACCCTTACCTGGATTCCTGCCTCCAAAGAATTCAAAGTGAAACACAGATCCAAAGATCTGAAACGACTTTAAAAGTTGAGAGAGTCTGTGAGATCAACTCGTAGCTGTCGTTTTTTTTTTAAAAAAGAGACCGAAGTTTACCAGCAGGAACTTGCCCCAGGACGGTTTTATTCCTGTGACTTACTCTGCACAAAAGATATTTTTTTTTTTGGAAAGAAAAAGAACAATAAATTGTATAGTTACCGGAAGCGGATTTCTGGCAGCTGCAAAAATCCTTTGTTCTTCTGTTTAACTTTTTGTTCACACGTTGTGTGAGTGAGTGTGTGAGTGAGTGGTGTGTGTGAGTGAGTGAGTGACAGTGTGTGTGAGTGAGTGAGTGAGTGTGTGAGTGAATGAGTGACAGTGTGTGTGACAATGTGTGAGTGAGTGACAGAGTGGGTGAGTGACAGTGAGTGAGTAAGTGAGTGAGTGAGTGAGTCAGTGAGTAAGTAAGTGAGTGACAGAGTGAGTGAGTGACAGAGTGAAGTGAGTGACAAAGTGAGTGAGTGAGTGAGTGAGTGACAGAGTGAGTCAGTCAGTAAGTGAATGAGAGTGATTGAGTGACAGAGTGAGTGAGTGACAGAGTGAGTGAGTGACAGAGTGAGTGAGTGACAGAGTGAGTGAGTGACAGAGTGAGTGAGTGAGTGACACAGTGAGTGAGTGAGTGAGAGAGTGAGAGAAAGAGAGAGTGACAGGGAACCGAGTGAGAGCGCAGTGGTGCGGGTCTGTGGGCGGTTTTGCTGCGACGCAGAGAAATGTTGTGCAAAACGTTGGAATCACTGAGAGTTTCGGGAATTTGCCAATAGATCTGCGACTTCCTTCTACTCCGTTAATCTCCGGAACCTCCAGAGGACAACGTTGGCTGTTTCTCCTGTGACTGAGGTTTTGCTCTCTTTAACTCGAGTCTATTTTTTCTTTTGGTTTCTAAGTCTTTCTGAGTTCAAGATTTGTTTGGGTGGTACCTCACTCTCTTTCTTTCTTTCTCTCTTTCTTTCTTTCTTTCTCTCTCTCTCTCTCTCTTTCTCTCTCTCTCTCTTCCTCTCACTTACTCACTGGGTTTCCTTCCTCTCTTCGATGGTAAAGTGTCAAATTTAACCCAAACCTCAAAGCTCTCACTATGTTTTTTTTCAGTAACCCTCAAAGCGCCAGTACCGAACAACCAAACCGTTGCCTTTCCATCTCCAACACCACCAAAGACCACCAAAGACCACCGCGACGACAACAAGATTACATTTGTACAGCGCCTTTCAAGTCGGGAGGACGTCCCAAGGCGCTGGAACACACACACACACACACGCACACGCATGTCCAGTTCCCTGCTGCCCCCCCCCACCCCCCCCCCACCCACCGCTCCCTCCTGCAAAACTCTTCGCGGGGCTTTCGAAGAGGAAGTTGCCCCAGAAGAAAATATCCTATTCCCGTCCACGTCCAACCTCCCACTTGTGTTTGAGAGGTTGCTTCTCTCCCCCAAACGCTTTGGTCAGTGTCGCAAATCGCCCACACCTGCCCTGGCGTGTAATAAACCTGTTGAAAAGTGAGGTGGGGGTGGGAGGGGGGCGGATGGGGAGGTGGGGAAATCGGTACTCAATTAGAGGGCGTTGACTGTGTAATGTTACAGGGTGTTCACAAAGTCCTGTTACCGTCATCCACCCCACCCACTCACCTCCCTGTATTTTTTTCGAACAATTATATATTTTTTAAAGCTGTATCTGGGGCGCTCCCCTACCTGGGGAGGCGCTGTATTAATGCAAGTTGTTGTTTTATTTTCTTTGGCGGGTGAGTCGAGCGTGTAACAATGTTTGGCACCGGTGACTTCCTGGTCACTCCATCCATGATACCCAAGATGTCCCCACCCACTTGGGGAAGGATCGTTATTTGCTGTGAAAACAATGGCGTCCACTCACACCTATCCTCTCGGCGTCTGAATACCTTTAAACACTTGTATGGAATACAATTAAGTATTTCTAACTACAATTCTCATTATTCTAACGCATGTTATTATCATTTTTATTATGTTTCAGTTGTTGGTTAGTGTGTTGCGTGTGTGTGTGTGTGTATATATATAAAAAACACATCAGGGTATCTGGACTTTGTGAACAACCTCTACATTTCACTGACAAGAACTATGGGTGAAATATTCTGAAGACACTTAATATTCTACTGTTAGCTCCTTGCGGTCACAGTAAACATCACAGATCTTTTTTGTGTAGGCGGTACTAATTCAAAGGTGTCCCATTGAAACATAGGCTACCAGTGACAACAACAACAACTACAATAACAACAAATTGCATTGATACAGAGCCTTTCACAAGTTGGGAGGATGTCCCAAGTGATACTGATCTCACCGAATGGTGTTGTATCAGATTGTCGCTATAAGAGTGCTATTGGCAGCACTCTCATTTGTGTCACAAAGTTCCAGGTTCATCTGGCCCCTGACTCAGAGGGACTCCGAGTTCACCATCAAGGCTTCACACCACTGCAGTAAAGTGCAAGGGAACACTGCATTGCTGGAGATCACATGCCATCCTTCATCAGAGCATTATAAACATTAGCAGCGCAGAAGGGGGCCATCCACCCTATCGGGTCTGCATTGGCTCTCAGAGCAAAGTCGTCATTAATCCTATTTTGGCCAACATTTAAAGTTTTAGACAGTATTGAACCAGGGATACTGGGCATCCACAGAGAACGTGACACAGGGCTCATCCTGAGCAATGAGCGCACGTTACTCGCCCCATTTATAAGGTGACAAAACATGAAAATTACATCATCTTTTGGCAGAATTATAACAACAAATTATAATAATTTGTGACAATCACCAACTTGCATTTCTGTGTCAGAAAGTACTGAGGTTTTTTTTTAAGAACTGCCATTTCCTCCCCAGTGGGTGGTGTTGAGTTGCAGAAGGCTCAGTGCTCTCATCTTGCTCTGCTCCGCTCATCCCCACTGCTCGGCCAACTTACACATATATTTTGAGATGGCTCTCTATATATATATATGTGTGTGTATAATACTGACTTCCTGAAAGCGTGGTGGAAGACAATCTGATAACAACTTTTAAGAGTAGTAGATAATTATTTGGGGAGGACAAGTTTGCAGGGCTATGGGGAGAAAGCGGGGGAGTGAGATTGATTTGGATAGCTCTGTTAAAAGAGCCGGCACAGACATGATGGGCCAAATGGCCCCCTTCTGCGCTGTATAATTGTGTATGATATGCTCAACGTTTCCACCTCAATATATATATATATATATTTTGGCCACAAAATACACAAGCAATCCACTTTACAGTATATTTTGAGAAGCGCTTTGAGATGTCCCAATGACATAATAAGGCCCTATATCAAATGCAAGGATCATTATTCCACCACACTATCTATCTTCAAGTCCTTCTTCAACTGTGCCTGTGATCACATCCCCTCCCTGTTCAGCATCCACAAAATATACAGTCAATTCACTTTACAGTATATTCTGTTTTGAGACGTCTGGAAGATACGATAAGGCGCTATATCAAATGCAAAGATTATTCTTTTTTTTAAACTGCCACTGTGAAGCATTTCGAGTTGTTATTGTAAGTGAAGGGCACTGTATAAGTGCCCTGGACCACAAGACCAAGAGTGGTAACCTCAGCATTTTGGGCAATGGTCGCGGTCACCATTGCCAATGTTCAATTAACTCCAGAGACACGTCACCAGCTGCGAAAAAAAAGGTTTGGAATGTTTTTTTTGTACTTGTTTATTTTTGGACAGGAATCAATCGTTGGCTTGAACACTGCAACACTGTGTCCTCGGCATGAATCCTGCACTTACTGAGCACAAGCATTACAAAGTACTACAGTATATATTGTTGCCTTTAGTACATCCAATGTTTGTTTTTCAACATGGAAGTTGTCCTGGAAAAGATTACTAACTTAGCAGTGATTTAAACCAAAATCAAACTGGAATTTGATTTTGAAAAGGCTTTATATAAAAACTTTCAGCTTCTGAACTTTCATCTCAAACCAAATTTTTTTCCATGCTTTGGTTCAATCAGGATTCAGTGTCAGAAGGTTTCACTGAGGGCGTCCAGCGTATAATTGAAAAGAAACACAGAGCCTTTGGGGGAGTGGTTTGGATCATTATGTTTTTCCTCCCAAAGTTTCTACCTGTTCATAATTTAGAAAAAAAAACTATTGGCACAGAATTTGCATCCGTTGCCAGCAGCGGAAATTTGCCAGGCAGTGTTCTCAATTGCAGAAATAAGCAGTTTTTAAGTTAGTTAGACTCCAGCAGTACCCCAACACACAATCTGGCGTCCCCAAGCCTTGGCTCTTGCCAACCTGCGCCTAATACTCTCCAGAACTGGGTAAGCAGGGTGCATCCCTCCAGTGAGAGAGTGTATGTTTTGATTCCAAGACACAAGAATTTCTATGCGTAGGTGGCAGACATGAAACTCAGTCTAGTTTGGATAGTTGTAGGCATGGTGATGGGTTTGTGGACACGTCAAGACACCCGGCTGACCAAAAACATTAAGGACAATTGTCAGCCTGTCTCAGAAACCAGTCAGCTTTACAAAACTGGATACTAACGGCACCACCAAGTGGTACAAATGCATCATTTCACACCACTGAGATTACAACACCTTGGATTTTAATAAATTTAGTACTGTTCAGCAACTACATTGTGGCCAACTTTGTTTGTGTGTGTGTGTGTGTGTGTGTGTGGAGGGGGGGATGGGGGGGGGGGGGGGGGTGGTGTGTGTGTGGGGAGGGGGGGTGGGACATGAGTTCAAAAAAGGAAGAAATATTTTTTTAGAAAAAACAGACAAAGTTCTATACCTGAATAAAAAAAATTCTTAGCTGAAAAAATCTGAAAAAGTGCAGCTGAATATGTTTTGATAAGTAATGATAACCTTTGCATTCGATACAAATGCAATGTTAAAACACATCAAAATATGCTCAAAATATCCTCACAGGGAATTGCTATCGAATGTAGTGACTTCTTTTTTTGGCAAGTGTAGCGATCACTCTGCAGACAGCAGATTTAACAAACAGTCATGAAGTCAGTGACAAATTTAACAGGAGTGTTGGTGGTGGCCAGAGCCAGTTTGCTCAGCTGGACGAGTGGAGCTGGATAAGATGCCCAGTGCGCACATGAAAGCCTTTGTGGTGAGGTCGCAGATAGAGAGGAGGAAGGTCATGGAACAGTTACAACAACTTGCATTTATACATTGCCCCTCATGCAGGGTAGCATCCCAGAGCACTTGAAGTTACCGTACATGCACAACACTGAACGCTCCAAGCACCTGGAGTTCTGTGGAGTCCTGTAGCTCAGTGGTTAGAG